CAAAGCCTTATTCCAAAGTTATAAGGGCCCCTATATTCACCGGAAACTGAAACCTGAACTCACAGATCCTGCGAACTTACCAGGGCATCCACTCGCATCCTCAGATGAGGGTTTGAGGCTCAGGAATGTGTCCGACAGAGAACACTTCAGGGATATGCTGCTGCTTTCCGGACCTCAAATCCAGGCCCAACAGCTTCAAAGCTTAGCTGAAACAAGATGTGGGTTGGAGTCTGAGGCATGCAAAGTAGAGAGAGCCTTCCACAGCTTCGTCCTTGATGCATTTGGGGTTTGCGGCCTCAAAAGGGTTTCGGACTTCGCGCCCGCCATGAGTTGAATTTTAAACATATAGCTCTGCTGCGTTACCTACACGCAGAGCCTCGGCAGCCATGAGGGGGCCACGCCTTGCATTGTGAACCGTCCCAACTCATGGCACCAAGTTGCCAAGCTGTCAAACTGAACCCTAAAATTGCAAGGAGCATGTTCGAGCAAGGTTGTTGCGAGCGTTGTGAGTTCAGTCTCTGAGTTTCGAAGATGAAGCAAGTTCGCCGCCAGAAGCCTCAACTTCAAAGACTGGGCCGTCATGCGTCTGAAGCCCTACCTGGAGGGTCGGGGGACTTAGTAAGTAGGTAGTAAGTAGACTTATAAGTACCCTAAAAGGGACCCTAATTGGGGTTATGGTACTTATAAGTCCCTAAAATAGCCAGTTACTAAGTCCCCCGACCCTCCAAGTAGTTTATGCCCCGTGCCTTGAGTCAAAGGTGAGATCCCGAACCAAAAGATTCAGGCGGCCAAACCCGAAAATCCAAGCCTTGCCTGGACATGCCTGCGTAGACCGAAGCCTTAAACCTTATGTGCAGAAATCCCAACAAGAAAAGGAGCTCAAAAAAAAAAAGAAATCCCAACACTTTCAAAGATGGATGCCGGCATAGACCTAGCCCAGCACAAACAACTCCTCTGAGCCCCGAGCACTGCACAGAATCCCCAAGGCGACAAGCCAAAAACCCACGGTTGCCAGAAGGCACAATTCGCAGCGAACCAGCGCAAGCATTCAAAAAAAGGTCTCGCTTCTTCAAATTACAGAAATCCTGGATTTATGTTCGTCGTTGTCTTCGCAGTCGTGCTGGTTTTAGCAACAGCAGCGGCGACAATAGTAGCAGTCAGTAGTCGTTGTCGTGGTACATGTGGCCCCAGTGATAGCGGCGATGGTATGGTCGTGGTATTGCTAGTGGTAGTGCGGTGCGGGGTGTTGGGGTAGTGGGGTAGTGGCATAGTGGTGGTGGCAGTGTTAATGGTAGTGCTGGTGGTCGTTGTGTCGTTGTCGCCGTCGTAGTCGCAGCCACAGTCGCAGCAGCAGCCATAGTCGCAGTAGCTCTCAGGTAGAAGTAACTTAGTAGTAATCATCGCCGTAGTGGTAGTGGCTGTTAGTGGTAGCCGTAGGCCGGTAGCCTGTAGTGGTAGTGGCCTTGACAGTGACGGCTTCTTAACTTTTGGGTCTTTACGATACCAGCATTGATGAATCCGTTGGGGAAGAGGTTGGACTTGGTTGCTTCAAGATTTCTTTCTGAAGTGGGGGCTTGCTGTCGCACGCCCACATCATCGGCGCAAGGATTGTCGGGTCGTGGCCACAGCTCAAGACCAGCCGGTAATCATGCGAATGTTGAAGTTGCTGGATGACGCAGGTTATTGTTCACATTCACTGCCCCGAGATTGAGATGCGACTTCATGTTTGCTAACAATCAAATAATCAGCGACGAGACCGCCGCTAACGTACTTTGAGACCCGGCGTGTCGGTTCAACTGGCACTGAAGCCCAAATTACCAATACTATTTTTAGGGGGTTCCTTATTATAAGTACAGTATAGTATGATGGGCCCCAAAACCCTATTACCCACCACTAGCCCCAAACCCCAGCCACTTTCACCAGTTCTGCCTCGAACCTGCCGCGGCCGCCATGGAGGACCTGTAGACAGGCACAGATACGGACAGCATGGCACACGGCAGACGGCCACGATCTCTGCAGGCTCGGTTTGCCCTAAACCCTAAACCCTAAACCCCCTTCCCTCAACTGCGAGGAGGAAAAGGGCCGTTCAAAAAAAAAAAGAAAAAAACCGCGGAAGGAAAAGAGGGTTCAACAAAAAAAAAAAAAACACTAAACCCGAAATTAAACGCCGAAAGCTCGGCCATCTCGTCCCCTGAAGCCCCAAACCTCTAGGCCCGTGTTCCAACAAATCGGAGTTTCCGAAAGAGGGACCCCAATATAGTACCCTAGATAGTAGGATCCTTATTATAAGGACTCCAAATAAGGTACCCTTAGTTTTCGCAAACCCCCAAATCGCATGGGGATTAGCCACGGGGACTCTCTGGTCGAAGCCTGGCAGCTTCAAAAATCCAAAAACTTCGAAACTTCGCCTGGCGCGGGCAATGCTTGCAGGTTCATGGGTAGTTATAAGTAGGGTTTTCAGTCCCCTGATATGGGTTATAGTTACAGTTACCCTACATAACTCCACTTATAACTACCCATGAACCTCCAAATGCAGGTATGGTGTTTGGCCTACCTTTGCATGCTCAGCGCCCAGGCTGTGCAGGTGTGGCTCGGCTACTGAAAGGTACTGTGCGGGGGTTCACGGTTTAGGTTTCAGGCTACTGGGAGGTATTTGTTTCGGGGTTCTCAGAACTGTAATCCCAACTTCGGCTCCCTTCAGAGACCTGGATGCAACATGCATTCAGACAGTTGTAGGGATTCAGCCGTCTTAGGCGTGTATGGTCAACAATGTCTGCTGTTAGTAACTGCTGCGCCCTTGGCCAGCACCAGCGTCGTTAGTTTTCGCTGCCATTGCTTTGTTCGTAGTTCTGGCCGTAAATAACATCGGAACCTGATAAAGAAACCCTTGGCCTTTATTAGGTTTTTTTTTTATATGGATCCTCATATTTTGGGGTTATAGGGCCATGGTTGCTTTATCAGATTCCTACATCAGCCATCGGCTTTGCGATGCGTGTGGTCTTCACCTTCCTGAGTTCCTAAGCCCTGAGGCCTAAACCTAAACGCTAAACCCAAAATCCTAAACCGCAAACTTGCAGAACTTTCGCAAGGCTTGTGCATCCCGTCAGGAAGGCTTCTAGAACCGCATGTGAGCCCAACACTCATCCAGCCTGTAGAACCTTTGCAGGAACCGTCAAGGAATCCAGCAAGGAAGCTCCAAGGAGCCTCCAAAGGAACCCTGAACCCTAAAACCAGTGCCGAGTTCCCAGCTGTGCGACACAGTCAGCTGGGCGGGTGCCAGAAAACAGAGCCGAGTTGTGAGAGCGTAAAGATTTAGATTTCCATGTGCATTGGGGTTTCCGGGTTGATGCATGCTTTCAACCTCGCTGCAGAGTTAGAGAGGATTCGGTGGTGGAGCTGAGGTTCGGGTTCATCAGCTGTGATTGAAAACATGGATCGAACAAAAGCCACAGGCCCGAAATGTGCCAGAGATGGACTGTCAGGCAAGTGAACTTCCAGATGAGCAACAACATTGCGTCGTGGCTGGCACCTCGAACTGGCAAATTGATACTCTGAAGGGCTCCTTTTGTCCCAGGGTTTATGCTTGGGTTGGGATACAATCAACAGAACCCTGCATGACATGCACATTCAGAGTGAATGCCCCAAGAATTCTGTTGTGCTTCATCTCCCTCGCCATTGTCGCACAACGTCCACTGTAATCGTGATGCCTATCACCCCCAGCACCTCATCGTCAGCATCGCCACCGCCATCATCTCTTCAATCACCACCACCACCATCACCACCATCATCGCCATCACCATCTTCATGACCACGTCAGTCTCACCACCACCATAATCAGTCATAGTCACCATGACCACAATCCACCCTCATGATCTGCATTTTCGTCATCCGTCTCGTTTTTTCGTCGGTGCCGACCCCAAGTAAGCAAACCCGCTTCTTGCAAAGAAGGGCTATGACGGGGATCCTCGTCTCACGCGTCAGTAAGCAGGGGTCCACACTTGGAGGTTCATGGGTAGTTATAAGCGGGGTTATAAGTAGGGTAACTATCATTAGAACCCATGTAAGGGGACTGAAAACCCTACTTTTAACTACCCATGAACCTCCAAGCAGATGATCCGAGGTGAGCGACTATGGCCTGGAAGTGGGTGGGTCGATCACCATGGAGCTGACGAACAGCAGACTGGAGTGAAAAGCTCTGGGGGCCGAGATTCGTCGGGTTAATGTAGGAGCTTAAGTAATTACCAATGCTATTCCGGGGGTGCCTTATTGCAATTAAGAGTATAATATACCCCGAGGGTCTGTTCTGATTAGACAGGCTCCTACAAAAAGGGCTTAGAGTCTGCTCAGGGTCTGGGTTTAGGCTCTTGCCCGCAGAACTCCATCTGCAAGTGCCTGTTGGCTATAGTCTGTGCTGTCATACGCGTTTAAGCCCGAATGTGGATGCTGATAAACGAAGAAGGGCCGGACCCCTTCACCTCAAAACCCCAAGTGATCCTTGCTTGGAGGGTCGGGGGACTTAGTAACTGGTTATTTTAAGGAATTATAAGTACCATAACCCCAATTAGGCTCCCTTTCAGGGTACTTATAAGTCTACTTACTACCTACTTACTAAGTCCCCCGACCCTCCAAGTGAGCTTGCCTGCCCAGATTTGAAGAACCCCACAACTCCACGCAGTTCAGGATATGAGACATGTGTTTCGGCCCAGGTCAGCCGGCCAACGACACCTATGTGAGCCTTGCTTTGACAAGCGGAATACAAGGGTATCGTATTTCGGGGTCATGGGTTAGTGGGATGCATTACAGCTCAGTAGCTTCTTCCGTTCTCAACCGAAACCCCCAAGTATTGAATCCCGTAACTAAACGTCAAAATCCTCAAACTCACCCGCGCAAGGCCTCACGCCCCTAAGCCTCAAACCCTCAATTGGAACCTCTGGCTACGACTTGACTAAAGCCAACTTGGCTCATACGTTTGGCCACCCTGGAAAGTTTCACCTCTCCTCATGTCGTTGTCGATCGACACGTTCCATCAACGCGGTGGGCGCTGCAAGATAGTCGAGTCCGAAGAGGGCGAAGCATTGCAATGTAGCGCAGACCAAGTGGCAAGGTGGGAAGCGAAGCAGAAGCAAGAAAGGAGCATGCAGCATCAGAAGGGCCGAGTGCAGCAGTCTCATCTGTGGAAGGCCAGGGCTCAAGTGGACAAGTTCCTGCAACACCACGGCATTCACAGTGACAGCTATGATGTCAATGTGGCTAAAAAGTCGTTTGGCGGGTTGTACCGAACCTATCCACTTCATCTCGCAGCAAAGGAGGGAGACTGGCACATGGTTCGTTTGCTCCTCCACTTCGGCGCAGACCCTTTGCAGGTGGACAGCTGCGGAAGAACTCCTCACGACTGCATGGGGCAACTTGCCCGAGTGGATAAGAGCTCAGACCGTCACGCACTGAAGAAATCCCTCTTTCCAACATTGGGCTCCGATAGGAAGCCGAATTAGTTTTACGCTGTGGTATTTTTCGTCCTAAACCCTAAACCCTAAACCCTAAACCCTAAGCGCGTAGCTCCATGTCGACGTGACCGGACCCATGCTGTGCCAGCGCATACTGAGACGCTGGCGCAGCAATCCAAATGCCACAGCAACCCATTGCATTGAGCCTCTCTGCGTGGCAGGAATTCGAAAGCATCATCCCCCGTTGATGGGCTGCATGAGGGGAATCCGCTTCTGCTTTTTGCCTTAATTAGCTGTATGTGTAGACAATGTCAGCAGTCGAATGGTGCTGCCATGGAAGGCTTCTGGCCCGACCTCAAGCCCAGACAGTATCAAGCAGTCAACCGTCAAATGCAGAGTTCACAGGGACAGTAGATTGAGTGCTGATCATGTTGCCACGACGCAGTCAAGTCAACATTGTGCGGACCCATATCACTCTCTCAGCTTGGCGGAAATCCTTGCCCGACGCGTAGCAAGCAGCAAGCCCTTTAGAGTAGCTGAGCCACTTCTTATTTTACGTGAGAGATGCCCCGGCGAATTCATTGACCGCGTACTCGCGAGATCTTGACGTGAACGAAATTTAAATGTTAGCCGTGGGGCGAAAACGCCACATGCCGCTTGGATGGGCTGGGACGAACAGGTCCAGCTGCACCCGGGCCGGTTGGCTACTATAGACATGTGACATGTGGGTAGTTCTCTAAATGTTCTCTAAATTAGGGTCCCTTCTTAGGAACCCAAAAGAGCGCGGCACCCTGATACAAAAGACCCCCGGTTTCGGGTTTAGGGTTTAGGGTCCTAGAGATGATTGTGGGTCGTAGACTGGCTAGACTTGAGTCCAGTGGCAAAAAGGGTTCTAGAGAACTACCCATAAGAAAGTCGCTGTCTCGCGGACTGAAGGCCTGAAGCCTTGCCTGCCTGGAGCGAGCAAGAGAGCTTGGCTGTGCCGAGTTGTGAGTGCCGAAGCCCTGAACTCCCACTTGGAGGGTCGGGGGACGTAGTAACTGGTTGTTTTAAGGAATTATAAGTACCATAACCCCAATTAGGCTCCCTTTCAGGGTACTTATAAGTCCTACTTACTAAGTCCCCCGACCCTCCAAGCACCTCCTGATCCCCTGGAAAGCCCTTACACAGCTCTTTATGGAAGCCCACGCACCACCGTTAGCCTCCAAGCTTGAGCTGCAACTCCATAGAAGCTTTGTAGAACCGCAAGAAACGGAACCCATGCCACATTGGAGCAAAGCTTGAATATTTGCCTTGAGGCCTTAGGCCTCGGCGTTCCTCATTAATAGTTATACTACAATATATCCCAAGTGCTTGAGTTATCCAGGCCCCTGTACACGTAGCCCCCTTGTAGAAAATCAATCTTTCTACATCACTGAAAAGCTGAAAAGGAGCCCTTAACGGAATTGAACCCTCGTCTATTTCTTCGGGCCCTGATCACTGGAGTAGCAAAGGCAGCCTAATATGGGGCCTTGACAATTACCGATACCATCGTGGGGGTTCCTTATTACATTTATAGCATGAGGAGCCCCACAACCCTTTTCTAATTGTGAAAGCCCCTATACTAAACCCTTATAGTAGCCCTTATATTAGTCCTTTCAAGGACCCCTTGAAAGGGACCCTTATTCCAATTGTTACTTCCCCTATAGTATTCCAGCCCAGGCTGATACTCACTCGCGGCCAGCACCTTTGACTCTTCTGAAGATGGGTTAGGGTTTAGGGTTTAGGGGTTAGGGGTTAGGGTTTAGGGTTTAGGGGTTAGGGTTTTGGGGTGGGTTTAGGGTTTAGGATTTAGGGTTGAGGGGTTCGGCGCATCGGTCCCTGGCATATGCGTAGTCCAGGTGTAAAAGGGGTTAGGGGTTAGGGCACGATTTTGGGATGTTTCCTTGACAGGTTCCTTTAAGGATTCCTTTGCAGATTCCTTTGAGGCTTAAGGGATGCCATAAGGGTGCTGCAAGGGTTTAGGATTTTGAGGGTTAGGGTGTAGGTCGTGGGGCCACCCCGCGCCCGAAAGCCTAAGCCTTTCAGGGGATCCATGCTCGGGAGCCAAGTTCCTAGGCACTTGCTACTGACAGTGATAGCCACCGGAGGACAGAACACTGGAATGACATAGTACTAGTTGAGTCATCTTGGAAAGAACCTTGAACCCGGAACCCTAAACCCTAAACCCCTAAGCCCGGAACCCTAAACCCTAAACCCGAAGAGGGTTTAGGGTTTGGGGGATTAAGGCCGAAACCCTAAACCCTGAAAGTGCTTCGGGTTTAGAGGGTTTCGAGGCTTGCTGGGTTTGAGAGGCTTCCGGATTGCCGCAGAGAGTTTATACAGTAGGGTGTAGTCTTCTTTCAGAGAGTTCTTATTAGGGTTCTGCCAGGGTTTTAAAGGGGTTTAGTGTTCGGGGTGATGGTGTGAGTCCAAGTGGTGAACAAAGATCTGAGCCTTGCATCTTGAGCTCCGAGTCGTTAGGATGCAAGGTTTGCGTTTGGCAGTTTTGGGACCTTGTCCTGCCTTCCAGCATCAGGGTTTATGGTTCAGAGTTGATGGTGTTTAGGCTTTAGACGGTTTAAAGTGCGAGGCTTCTGGAATGGCGCGATGCGGATGACAACCTGGTGATCCTGACGCCTCTTAACGACAAGGACACTGTTTGGGTTTAGGGTTAAGGGCACTGCATTGCATGCTAGGATAGTTTCTGGCTCTTCGAAACCCCTAAACATCTAAACTCTTAATCCCTAAGCCCACCCTAAACCTCTCAACTCTAAGCCCCCAAACCTCTAACATCCCTAAACCTCCAAAATCTTGGACCCTCAACTCAACCTCTACAATCCCTAACCTCTAACTTTAAACCCCTAAACCCTCAACCTCAAAACCCCTCAACCTCTACAATCCCTATGCCTAAACCCTATACGCTTATAGAATCCCTTCAGATCCCTGTAAAGCACCCTTATAAAGGAACCCTTACAACTACCCCTGAACCTCCAAGTACACCTCGGAGAGGCGGCGCGGCCCTTGAACAGTTTCCTGGTCAGCGCCTGGCGGTCGAATCTCCGGGAGCACCTGCAGGGCACCTTCCGCGCGGAGGCGCTCCGACCCTTGGGGGTTTTATAAGGGGGGGCTCCTTTTAAAGGGGGATTACAAGGGTTATAAGGGTTCCTTTAAAGGGGGTTATAAGGGTTCCCTGAATCAGGGGATTATAAGGGTTCCTTTTAACAGGCTCTATGAGGATACTACAAGGGTTTAGGGGTTTAGGGGTTTAGGGGTAGAGGATGCAGAAAGGGTATTAGGGGGTTCAAGGTGTAGGGGTTACGGGTTAGGCTCTGCTGTTGAGGGATGTTTGCTGTCACACAATCCAAGCCCATGCTCAAAAATGGTTCAGGGTTTTGTTTTGGTTTTGCTGTTCGGGTTTTGGGTGTTTGGAAAGGGCAGTCCTCGGAAGTGAGGGCGTCCTGTCATTTTACCTCTGGAGTTCAGAGACCTTGGATCACTTCCAGCTCGGGGTATGGGGCCACATCTTCAGAGCAGGCGGCAGAAGGCGTGGGAGCATGTTGCTGGTTTCGATCATACTTTAGAAGCTGCCCCCCACCCTGTAATAGTGAATATAAGGATTATATTAGGGCCCTATTATCTTCCTATTATACCACTATTACAGGGTGGGGGCCCCTTCTAACTCATACTAGTGATTGCGAACGCAAATACACGAGCGCGGATGGTAATGCCAATACTCAGGCGGATGTGCAAGGTACAAAGATGCGCATGAACGGGCAGAGATGCATACCCAGAGAGTGTGCATGGCATTGTGCAGTCGGGGCTCCCAGGGGGGATTGGTCAGGGATGTGCTGCGATGCTGCTGTTTTGGGGCCAGATGGGCTTTTCAGAGCATTACGGACCCTAACCAAGAACCTGACAGCAGGATCCTTAATCTATTCACGCCGGGACAGATGCCTGAAGTGAATGAATGTCATAGAAAGCCTGCGTTACCCATAGAAAGGAATATTCCGTAACTCCCATAGATTAAGGGTCCTTAAGGTAATGCAAGATTTGTATCATCAACAGTAGTTGTAAAGTCCCTAAGTTTTAAAGTCCCTAAGTCCTGGGACTGCTGCCTGGACGTGGAGCTGGTGCAGCAAGACGTTTTGGGTCTAGGTTTGTTTTTGTTAAACCTTTCCCGGCCGACTTCCGCAAGCCTGGATGCAAAAAGGGTTTAATAAGGGGCCTTAATAATTACCTAAACTATCTTGGGGGTTCCTTACTATAAATATAGTAGAATGGGCCCCAAAACCCTATTCCAATGATTAAGGCCCCTATATCAGGGTCAAGGTGGAGATGCGATGGACATGGTTCGACGACCAGGGAGACCATTATTAGCAGAAGACAGGGCCTTGCACCGAAACCGACCGAAACCCTAAACCGTGTAACACCCCGAAGCCGCCGTTGGAGAGCCACATTAGCGGGCCTATAAAAATCTAAACAGCATCCTCCAGGAAGCCACGGGTGGAAGGAACCGCTACAATGTCGTCATCATGTCAGCAACGAAGTCGCACCACGCCTGAAGCTACACAAGGATGTGCTCCAATTTTTTTAGATTGGGTTTATAGTATTTATGGTTATGGGGGCTTTGGGGTATAGGGTTAGATTTGGGTCTGGGTTTCGGGCTCATACAGGCTCTGAGAGTCTGGGCCCTGTGGGATTCCCAGGTTCTCAAAACACACCGAACCCAAAACTCAGAAAGGGTTTCGGGATTAGGGTTTAAGTACAAGATGATTGGGGTCTTAAACTGGCTAGACTTGAGTCCAGTGGCAAAAAAGGGTTTAAGTACAACATCTTCTGGACCGACCCTAATCCTTGAACCTTTTGGGGTCATTGACGCTGGATGCGCGAAGGTAAGGGGGCCTTCAACAAATACAGAAAAGCTCCCGGAACCCTAAACCCTAAACCCTAAACACGCTGAGGCCCCTGGACATCCGCGGCAAGCTTACCTTGGAGAACCCCAACGGGCAGCAGCTGAGTATCCAGGCACGGTTCCGGGTCGTTCCGGGTTGGGATCATGTACTATAGAGGCCTTAATAAATACCTATGCTATTTTTGGGGACTCTTGATTATAATTACAGCATAATGGGCCCCAAAACCCTATTCTAATTATTAAGGCCCCTATAGTAGGAGTTGTCCTGGTCAAGCATGTGAGAATCTATGTTTTGTGACTTGTCGAGGACGAGTGACAAAACATGTGCGTATGTGTGTAGTGTCTGTCTGTCTGTCTGCTTGGCTGGCTGGCTGGCTGTCTGTCTGTATGCAAAATTTGCCGTGTATGTACAAACATATAGCATATATATATATATACACACACACACGTACGCATACATACCTGCATACATACATATTTTTACACACACACACACACACACACATATATATATATATATATATATACATACATGCGCATACATACATACATATATATATATATATATATATATATATATGTGTGTGTGTGTGTGTACTCGTACGTGCGTACATGTACAGATGCATGCATGCATCCTTACATACATGCATACATTCATGCATACATACATACATGCATGCCCACCGACCGACCGACCTACTTACCTACCGACCTACATACATACACATGCATATCTACAGTCTGAACCAGTAGCCAAATCTATGTCTAAATCTACGCTTAAGTTGTATCTCGTCTATATGCGCACACACACACATACACATATACATACGCATATACGTATACATATACGTATACATACGGATATCGATATACGTATGCTTGCATACTTACACACATTCGTATATACATACATATGTGTCAACGGTGTGGCATTGGCAATGGCATCGAAGAGTGCTCTTCCCTTTTATGTTTGGTACTAGTCTTTCTTGCCGGATCTCTGACTGCGCTCTTCCGAGTCGATTTTTCTTCAGATCTTTGCAATTGCAACAGCGATATAGGGTTTAGCGCGCATCGTCTTCGTCGGCATCGACGTCGTCGTCTTGGGGTTGTTGCTGCTGCTCTTGCTGCGTGCTGTTTTGTTGTTGACGTTCGTTTATTGAGTTGCAGTGGGGCTGAGGGGTTGGCAGCCGCGGGGCAGGATGTCTACGTGCCGAAGACCCTCCTTGTTGCAGCGAACATCTACTTGGAAGCCCGGCCGCACCAGTGCAACTCCCCACGTGAGGTGGTAGCATCATGAAGGTTGCCGGAGCAGACGGAAAAGTCCAACGGTAAAAGGAGGGACCCTTAATAAGGACCCCTAAGGTATATACCCTTAATATAACTATTATATAGCCATTATATAGCCCATCATAGGTAAGCGTCCCCATTAAGGGTCCCTGCTTTTCCCGGACGCCGAGCCCTGAACCTGAGCCGTGTGCATGGACGAGGGAAGACGCAACACACAAGCAGATTCAACCCAAAACTGGGCCACTCACCTTTCAACTCTCTGTTTCGGGGGATTTGGAATCCCTATTGGTGCATGCGGTGAGATAGTCTCGAATGAGCAAGCCGTGCTTCATGTTCCAGCTTTTTGTTCTTGGTATGATGAGGATGCATCTCACACTCCCATTGTTACAGATAATTTTGTTGTGACGCTTCATGCTCTACCGGTCGGGTGGAGATCAGATGTCGCTGGCATTTGGCCTGAGCTTCGTATGTCTCAAATCGAAGTGGTGTGATACTGATATTTCTGTGATGATGTCGTACATGGCATTGCTTCAGTACGACTGTAACTTGAATCAGCTTCGTAAGTCGTTGAGTCTCTAGTGCTACATGCATGGCCGCATAGTGGCTATGTGCCGGGCAAATCCAACGGAGCCCCGAAGCAAACAAAACCCTAAACTGGGCTTTCAACGTCCAACCGCAACCCTCTACCCAACACTAATTTTCGGAATTTTAAACACTAAACCCTTATGGAGCAGCTCAGATGACAGCTGTGTTTACTGCACTGGGCCTGATCACCCGACCACGCAGTGGCCGAAATGCCCTGAGCCATGGATGAGTTGGTTTAGGGTTTGGGGTCTTTAGGGTTCTTAAGGTTTAAGGCCAGGGTTTGGGGTTTAGGGCTTCAGTTAAACCCTAGACCCGGGGTCATAGGCATGCAGAGGTCATAGGCATGCAGCGGGCAGCAAGAGCAGAAAGCAGTCCCTGGTAGCTGTTATTCTGACACTATCTGATGATGATGCCATTGTGGTTCCCAACAGAATGAGGGTGGACGGCGTTTAGAAGTATAGCACAGGTCAAGAACTTCGCGGAGCTGTTTTCCAACGTACAGTCGGATAGTCACGCGTTGCGGCTTCAAGCTTTGTGCGGTTGAGGTTTCAATCTTTTGCTAGGCCCGATGCCCTTGTGGGCGTGCATTCCGCGGCCTTCAGCCAGTCACCTGAGAGATTAAAAAGGGGCCTGAGTAGCAACAGCCATTTAGACTACCATGTTAGATTGCCAAAGCTGTGCGCATAGGGCAGCTTGTGTTTTCGAGCTCCCACATTTGACAACAAGAAGAGGCGCTCCTATCATAAAAGTACCTGTCGCACGGCTGAGACCTTTATGTCAGCCCCTGGCATTACTAGGATGCCCAGTAGTACCCTTATTCCGTTTTTGTAGTCCTAGGTTCCTTGTCAAATGACCCAATACCAAATGGATCCCCTTTTATTCCTATATTACTGGGCATCCCAGCATTAGTATCTTCAGTGCGGGCTTGAGAGAAGTTGCTTGAGGCACTGCTTAGCTCTCACGGTCATTTTCCTCCGGGGCGTCTCGCTGCTGCCCCCTGGCTTGCTTTTGGACAGGGGAGTCGAAGATTAGGGTTTAGGGTTTAGGGGTTGTTTAGTTTCTGTCACTCCTTCGGTTGCATCCCTCGTGACACGAGAAGGCTCTGCTGTTGAGGAGATTTTGCTGGCACACAATCCAAGCCCATGCTGAAAAGGGGTTTAGGTCGAAGGCGTAGAGACCTCGTCCTTGCTTTTGGCGTCGGTTCTCCTTGAACCCAACACCCTAAACCTCGCCTGACTTCCGTGCCCGTCCCTTTGCCAATCAATCAAGTTTCTAGGATTGTGTGGAGATTTGAATGCCTTGTGGGCGAGTGAGTGACGCAACCTGAACCCTGAACTTAACTCCCCCCTTCCCCCCGCAGCCCGACACTCTGCACCTTGGGCTAGCTTCGGATGGATGATCATGCAGGGCTCTGGCTCGAAGGGTCAATTCTTGCATGTTTCCTTTTGGGTTCGATCTTGCTACACTTAGGAAAGAGCTTTCCACCACATGCGGTGTTCGAAAGATCTTGTAGCATGAAGCAATGCCGAAGACTCAACATGCCAACACGCCAAAAAAGCAACATACCAGCTCCATACCAGCTCTTCGCACTGCCTTTGTTGGCAATAGCGCTTGTCGTCACGCCAGTCGTATTGCTGCTGCTGCTGCTGAACTGTCACTGTCACTACCATTGCTGCTGCTGCGGTTGCCGCTGCTACTACTGATGCCAAAGATGCCCAGGCTTGGGGTTTCACGTGTACGCGGGGCCAATAGGGGCTAGGGGGTAGAGGGTTTTGTGGGTTTAGGACAAGTAAGTGTTTATGGATTTAGGGCTTATGATTTAAAAACCCGATGCAAAAGGAGCTGATTTAGGGAGAAAGAGGCTGCGTTGGTTGGATTATCGCATCATCGCGACCACCGGCGTTGAGTCCTCCGCCGTAGCTGCCCGCCAGAGATTGATTACATTGCATCTTCGTTTCGGGCTTTGGGAACTCGGGTTTCGGGATGAAGAATTGAACCCCCAATACCCTTGAACCCTTATATAACCCTTATAACTCAAAACCCATAAACCCGAAACCCATAACCCATAACTCTAAAACCCTTAAACCCACAAGCCGCAAACCCCTGACCCCACAAGTCCCCAAGCCGTCTCTCAGCGGTAGAATTTGGGAAAAAGGAGCTCAAAAAAAAGCCCCTAAGCCGGCTTCAGGGGGAAAAACAGCTACTCCTCAAAAAAAGCCGGCTTCAGGGCGTTGAGCCCACAAAGTCACCGACGCCCGAGGCCCAAGCGGAAGCTCCCGAAACCCTCGAGCCACTACTCGTCCCTGAACCAGAAATTCCAGAACCCCCGACTGGTGATGATAATACTATTCCTAGGTTTTCTTTAAAGGGATCTATAAGGGTACCATAGGGTGCCCCAAAAGGGGTTCTTTTTCAGGGATCTATAGGGTTTTAGGGTTTAGGGTTTAGGGTTGATGATAGAAATCCTGCATTACCTTAAGGACCCTCAACTATGGGAATTATGGTATATTCTTTACTACGCGTGATACAGGATTTATATCATCATTCGTAGTTTGTAGTTTTCAACATCAGGGCAGAGAGGAGCATAAGCCGCTCTTATTTTAACGACGACTACTATTGCTGCCGTACCGCAAGCTTCCTCTTTGCAGCTCCTCCTTCTGCTGTTCGCTTCGTTGCACTCTCTTCAGCAGTCCGGTCACAAAGGACATCACCTGGAAGCTGCTTTCCAAGGCTACACGGCAGCGCAAAGCTGGGTACTATAGGAGCTTTAAGTTCCTTATAATAATGCAAGATAAAAAACAGCCCAAAACTCTATTTTAATCTAAATATTAGCAGTAGTGTTTAGGGCTTCGGGTGGCCTATGGCCCACTGCTTGTCACGCCGCGTTATTTCGGATGTCCGTGTATGTCGCGCACATGCGCACAACTGCAGATGATTGCAAGGCATAGCTCTGTCCATACGTTCATGCCTAAATCTTCATAGGTAAATAAGGACATGAGCACATCTGTACATACACACATACACTTACATTATATATATATATATATGCATCTCTTTCCGTGTCTCTGTCCATGGCTATGTCTGTGTCATGTCTATGCCTATATCCATGTCCTCGTCCATGTCGAGCTCCAGGTCCAGGTCCATGTCTTTGTCTCTGTATATATATTTGTGCATCTGCATGTGTATGTGTATATGTATATGTTCATCTCTAGGTATTCATGTATAGGTGATCTATGATGTATGATGTAATGATATATGATATATCATACACCATATATGATATATGTATACACAGCGGGTGGATGAGACAATGTACATGTGCTTTGGTGTTCGCATGCGTCCACGTCTACAGGCTGCAGCAAGGGCCTCTAGGGGTTCCGCTGGTGGACGTCAAGGTCTGGGTTTACTCACCCCTCGCAGATTACATCCTCGGGAGGGTTAAACACCTCAACACTTGTCATGAAAGTTTTTTCGGACTCCCTTGAGGTTTTGGATTCTCGATGCATTTGGAGGTGTTGGGGAAGTTTAGGGTGTGGAGGGATCTCCAGCGTTTAGCCAAGGGAGGGCGCAGAGTCTCGAGGCAAACCCTAAACTCTAAACCCTCATCAAGGCGAGAGGGAAAAACCCTCATCAAGGGGCTGAATCTGTAATGATTCTCTCGGAGTGGAATCGGTATGGATTCTGTGTGGCAGCAGTCAATTGACCATTGTACTTAGAGAAACTCGGACCTGCTTGCGTAGTACGAGCACCAGGCCCGAACCGAGTTGACCACAAGGCCTCCACCCGGATCCAGGGACCGCTTCGAAAGACCAGAGGCTTAGGGTTCGCGGTGTATGGTTTAGAGTTTGGGGTTTGGGGAGACCCGTCGGAAGCCAGGGTTTAGGCTCTAGGATTTAGGCCTCACAGACCCAAGCCCGGATGCAAAAAGGGCCTGACAGACCGACCTGAGCAGGTGCAAAATATCTTAGAGCTCATGTCCTTCCTCTTGATCTCCTTGGGCTGGAAGGCGCTTGTGGGGAGCCGGTGGGCAATCGAAGGCTTAGGGTTTGGGGAGGTTTAGGGCTCAGGGTTAGGGCTGTGAAACCACTGCTCTGCGAAGTCAGGGTTGGTCGCCAGGACCTTCGCGTCTCGGAGTCGGGTGTTTGAGGTTTGGGGTTCGGGTGCCGGCATGGACTTCGGGCACAGTCGTGGGAAGATCGGTTTTTTCGTGATAAAGAAGCCAGGTCCGAAACCCGAAATTTCTCGAGGAAGTCAACAGTTTGAAAAGTAACTTCGCTCGAAGATCAAACTCATCAGAGCAGACACGGCGAAAGAGTCGTGACATGCACCTTACATGCCTGGACTCCAATGATGCACCCCGCGCCACACTTGAGTTGCAGAAGTCTTCGGCACACCACTTCGGGTTCAGGGCTTTGCATTGTTCCGAATCGGAGGGCTTCAGGGGAAAGCTATCCAAGTTGGTCGTGATATGCCCGGAATCGTCGAGCCGCTGAGGGCTTAGGGTTTTGGGGTTTAGGGCTCAGGACCTGCCGCCATAATATAAGGGCCTCAACAACTTACCGATGCTCTTGTCGGAGGTTTCCATACTATAGTTATAGTATAGTGGGCCCAAGACCCTATTCTAATTGTTAAGGCCGCTATGGTGACTTTTGGTTGCACCTGTGTGTGCTGTGGAACTTTTCAGCTTGTGCAGGTGCTGAGAAGCAGCCTGGACGTGTCGGAAATCCGCTTCGCTGTGGCCACTCGACCCCAGTTCAGTTATCTAGGAGCGCCGTGTAATACCCAATCAAGAGCCATTCCGCCATTTTGTCTCTTTTGTTTGATAAATTGCACAGTAACGGCTCTAACTGGCGAGCGCTGCAGCTGTCACTCCTGCTTCTGCCACTAGCAGCTTGATGCTACCGCTTGTTGTACTCGGCTTGCGATGCAGTGGCAGCGGATGGGAGTGAGGGGGTGGGCGAAAGTGGCACGAAGAGCAGGAAGCCATCGTCACCTGATTCCCTGTCACCAAGTGTAGACATGTTCAAGGTGTTGGGAGTAAGTGGCGTGGCAGGGCACGGCGGGTCCAGCAGCCTCTGATTCTTTAGCTTTAGCAACATGCGCTACATGGCAACACACGGGAGAGACCCTTGATGAATCGCTGCGACTGCAAAACCGTAGAAAACCCTAGTGTAATTAATCCTTATCGAGGGTGGGTTTTCGTAGGCAGGGGTCTGTTGTTGCATGGAGCAGCATTTGGGGCTTCTCGAGCTGGCACTAAAATGCAGTAAAGAACGGATGCTGCTCGCATATGAAGACCAAAAAAGTCCGTTCCATGAGGCTGTCTCCATCATCTCCTTCTACTTAGGCGTCTTCCAGGCCGGCACCCCTTGCTTCGGGTTTCGGTTGTATCTTGACCAGACATCGGCAGGACACATACATCTCTGCAAACGTGTACCGGGATTAAACATCAAACATCTTCTTTTCGGACCGGGAGCTCAGCAACTAGAAACTCGTCGACCCCCTATTTTAATCCTCGGGCTCAGGAAGGAGGGATTGCGTCTCATGGCTAGGGTTTTAGCCAGTCATAGAGCCTCTTCCTGGGTTTGGAGTCTGATGCTTGAATACTTTTTTTTGGGTACCTGTTCCTTAAAGGAACCATTATGACATAAACGCCTATACTTGTTTCTCCCTGGTTACTTCGAAGTCCCGTCTTTCTTCTGCACGACGGTGCAAGTAACGGTGGCCACAACACGTGGAGGTTCGATGTGAAAGGACACTTCGGCAGCTGCATGCCCCGGGTTCCTTTTGTAGGGCCTAAAGGCTTCCATTTGGGTGGTTGTCAAAATTTAGGGTCCCTTATTGGGTCCTTAATATAGTACGGCACCTCCTATTTAGGGTACCCAAAAAGGGACCCTATGTTGACAACCACCCATTTAGAATTTCAAGCTCTTAACCAATTGGCCATGTCTCTACCACAATTCTGTCACGAGTCACATTGCTGGTGCCATGTGCATAGCGTGTATCACGTCCGCACTCTTTGCTAAGTCCCGTACCCCGAAGCCAAACTTGTGACCCCAAGCCCTTATCAGGCTCGACAAAGGGTTTAGAGTTTAGGGGTTTAGGGTTTAGGGTATCAGTTGTATGCCGGATTTGCCCAGCCAACACTTCCCCGAAAGCAATACAAGCCATAGCCTCGGGGCTGGCAACAAAGTTCCGTTACAAAATTCGTCCCAAACCACAAGGATTCTAGACCGAGACATTAAGTCCGACAGCATGATAGGTTTCTGGAATGCAGTAGCCTCGACCCGAGGGGGGAGAGAAACGACCATGACTATTGAAGCTTCCATGAGGAGGAGGAGATAGTGATGATGGTCATGATCTGTGCACAGATCATCAGATCAGTAGCACCACAAGAAGCAGGGATCATCACCGTCGTCATGCGTGCCAGAATGGCGAAGTAATGTGACAAGCAAGCGTCGCAACGAATCCTGGTTTAGAATTATGGCATATCCATCTCCCGGAGCACCACAACCCGAAGGCAAAGAATTCCTGCACTGGGTTTGCAGGTAGCAGCTGCAATGGGTCTCCTGCGAACTTCACTTGGGGGTATAAGTATTCACGAATTCACGACTATAGCTACCTTACTTATAACCCTAGTTACTAGTCCCACGATCCTTCAAGTACGATTTCATGGGCCAGGGCTTTCTCGTTCTAGGGCCTCGGGTGCCTAAGCCGCGAACCTCCATTGCAAAACCTGGACCCCTAAAGGGTTTGGGGTTCAGAGTTCAGGGGTTAGGCCTAAACCACAAACTTCCTAAACCCAAAACCTTGATCTCTAAACCACGTTACAGCATGAGGTGGCGTGCACGACGCAAGCCACCTGCTCTGGATATCAGCTCAGCCGCTACATCCTTCACTCCCTGTGCTTCTCGGCTGATCCAGAGAGCTTGCCTGAATCATTTATTTCGGGAGCAGTTTAATGACAGAGGGCTGACGGGTTTGTGTTCAGGTCGTCTGCTGGGATCAGGGCTCAGTAGATGTGAAAATGCTTTAGCGTGTAATCATGCATGCGCGCAGACATGCGTGCTGGTACGCCCGGGTAGACAGGTGTGTGCCCTCCGACTGTTTGTGCATATTAGCCAACCTGTCTAGTTTCACGTACATGGGTTCTCTCCAGGATTTTGCAGCGGCTGTTAGATCTAATCTTTCCATTCCTATTCCCTGAGTAGTGAAAGCGTTGCTGTTGCATTACACTTATTGCGGTGGCTGTGGCAAGTCATCGGTTCTGTTGCGACTAGTCTTACGATGGCTGCGGAGGGCACTTTACCTGGCACAGAGACCCCAGGCCCCCGAACCCTAAGCCCAACACCCCACGGCCTGGGTCCCTCGAGCCTTACACCCTGAAACCTGAACCATAAGCCACGACTCCCCAAACCCTACAACTGCCAACGCTGATGTACTGCTTCAGAACCCTTGTAGAACGCTGTGGATGCAAAACCCCGCAAGTATTGTTACTATGTGGGTAGGAATTATGAGTAACCATGTCTCTGTATAGTCCCCACACAATGAAACCAGAAGGCACCCCAAAGCTTCCCTAAACGTCAAACCGTAAGCCCTTACATCATCCTTTGACAGCGCAGGCTTCTTGGTGGTCATCGCCTGCGCCCCAGGCTCGCGTCGCTGCTCAGAAGCCCCTGCCGGTAACATGAGGGGTGGAGGGCTTCTAACAATCAAGTTTCTATGGGTGCTTAGCTTCACTGTAAGGTTTTTGCTGCAGCTTTTTTGCATGTGGTTGTATAAAGGGTTTATCCGCCCAGGCTTAGACAACATTTGTTTCGGCTAAACTTTCGAGGCGGAATGCCTCGAGCCCACACGTTCGTTGAGCCAAAAATGAAGACCCTAACCCTAGACCCGACTCACTGAATACTAACGCCGAAGCAGATTCTCCGAAACCCCGCTAACGCTGAAAGAGAAGCCCCTAAGGAAACACTAATCTCTAAAACCAAGCCGTAGACAACATACCAAACCTCAGGCGTCCTAGGCGTCCTAGACCGGAAATACAGCTCTTAAGCCCTAAACCCGAGACCCTCAAAACAAGCACAACAATACCCTAAACAATAACAGCACCCAACCCTGAGCCCGAAGCACCCGAAGCCAGGCAGAAACCCTAGACAACCCCAAGCAAGCAGAAAACTTCTAAAACGTTTCGTAAAAGAGCAATTCTTGGCGCACCGTTGCAAAGACAGAAGATCAAGCCCTGGCAACATAAGGTCGCCATGAACTTTAACTTGCAGAAGTTGGCGTCTGCCATTTCCGAAGCACCAGCTACCGTGGAGCCTTATGGGTTTTCAGATGTTTTTTGCAAGGGGGTCCTGAGGCTGATAAATGTTTCACAAGGCGGGTTGAAGGAGGGTTTCATGAAGCGGTAGGCGGTGTTTCTGACCCCCATGACTGCCGAGGAGGTTTCGGGCTTTAATATTTCGGGCCAGAATAACTAGCAACTAGCAAAAAAAGCAGCCCGTTGTGGCGCCTAAGATTATACCTACAATATAGCATACCCCCCCCCCCCCCCAAATCCCAAATGGGAGTTTCCCGAAATAGGGGACCCTAATGTAGCACCCTGAACAGAAGGATCCTTGTTATAAGGACCCCAAAACAAGGTGCCCGTAATTTCCGGAAACTCCCAAAATCCTGATCTAGTTACTAAGGCCAGTGCATTAGGCTTTGACCCTGCGGCTCTCAAGGTTTCAAGGGCTTCAGTGCTGCCCGGGTTTGGACGTTTCGGTTAGGGTTTAGGGTTAGGGTTTACGATTTAGGGTTTAGGGTCTAGGGGCTTCTTTGCAGGGATCCTTTGTCCCTGCTCCATAGAATCATAACAGAACTGACCCGGAGCCCCCAACCCCAAACTGAGGGCTTCTGAGAGCTTCCGAACGCCGCAGGAGAGCGGGAAGCTGTATCGGAAGCTTAGCGCCTACTACATTTTTCGGTGGGCCGGGCCCTCGGGAGTTTCAGGGCTCATCAGCTTGTGGGATATGTCTTAGGGAATGCAGTGCTTGCACGGGTCTTCCAACCAAAGGGCTTGGAGAGTTACCCTTGGGTGCGGATGCGTCCAAGCTCAGTTTCGTGCGGTATAAGGCTACTGAAAGCGCCCTCCTCCCCCCTCAAGCCTGCACAGGCATGCCTGAGAACGCAAGCTGCAACGACCAAGTTTCAGGTCTTCCTTGGCTTCATCATCGCTCCGACAGTAGAGCTCTTCCTCAAGGTCACTGTGGTTCCTTGGGATGCGCAGCTTGACAGGTGTTTCAGGCACGTGTATGTCCGGTACTTAGGAATAGAGATGGTTGTGCTATCGGGTAGGAGAAACAGTGGGTGGGGCAATAATTAGCGGAGACGTCGCAACAGTACCAGCATCACAGTAGCAAAAGCAATAGTGGTCCACGCCTGTAGCACGATTGACGGCCAGGCCTGGATTTTCTGTGCTAGGGTTACAAGTTACCTTAACCTACCAAACCCTACCTTTTTGTAGGTTCTTATTATAAACCCTAATATGGAATTTATAGGGACCCTACTTTTTTGCAGGTTTTGGTAGGTTAAGGTACAAGTATGTCAGTATGTTCGATGCTTTCTAGGGTGAAAATACACCCGCCCGCGGGAAGTAAGCTGATCGTTGGGGCTGCCGGAGCTCGTCACAGAGCATCTTGCTAAGGCACCATAAAATTAAAAGAACAGGACGGATCAGTCCACGCTCCCTTCCTGTTGGATGTGTTTCTGGGGAGTTCAAGACTTTAGGCTGGGAAGTATTTTCCGGCATTACATGACAGTGCTTGGGGAGGCGGTGGCACCCCCCCTTCTATCCAACGAGCCTGGGAAGTTTGAGGCAATGGCTGTACATCGCCATACAGGAGCTCCGAACTTGGGCTCCTGGGCCTCTCGAGTGGGTCTTGTGGCTCGTTCTTGGGGGTGTTTTGGGAGCTTCAGTGCGTAGTTGAGAATCTTAACCGGCCCTCGTGAGCCCCAGAGAAAAGCTTGGACCCCGTACAAAACACAAACCTACACCTTAAAGCATCGAGCCATTGTGAGCCATACCCATAAACCGTAGGTGCAAACCCTAAATCTCTAAACGCTGCAACCCTAGACACCAAGTCTTATTAATCGAAGCCCCACTTCGCAGCGGGTTTTCACAAACACCGGTACTAAATAGCAGGATCCGAATGTGTAGAAAACACCACACCCTAAACCCTCAACCCTAAACCCACGGCCAAAAAGCGGACGCTACAGATTATGTGTCCGTCTACAAAGCGAATGCGAAGCCACATACCTTGTATAGCAGCTAGTTGTGATGCCAAGAGTGTACCCTGCATCGTAGGTTCGTCCAGCCAGGCGGGAGGCAAACAAAAAGCCTAAACTCGGGCCTTTTGCCCCCCTCGAGTCCTAGGGAGGTTTCAAAAAAAGCCCCAAGTCCATAGGTCATCTACGCGCTGCTGATCTATGCCTTTCGGATGACTCCCGCCTCGCCCCGGGCAGCTCGGCCCCTGAAGGGTTACTATGGTCCCCTTATAGTGACCCTAGACTCTGAACCCTAACCCTTATAGTAACCCCAAGCCCTAAACCAATCCCCTATAGCGACCCTACACCCTGAACCATCGTATTTTTAAAAACTACAAACTATGGTTGATGATATAAATTCTGCATTACCCAGAATAAGGAATATCCCATAATTCCCATAGTTTAGGGTCCTTAAGGTAATGCAGGATTTACATCATCAACAGTATGGCTCAGGGTGTAGGGTCACTTTAAGGATTAGGGTTCAGGGCTTTGTGTTACTATAAGGGTTTGGTTCAGGGTTACTATAAGTAAGGCTTTGGTTTAGCGCCCTTTAGGGTTACTGTAAGGGTCGTTACTACAGCGGCTACTGCAAACCTGCCCGTGTGCGGCTTTGTTCGGATCTGATGGGTTCGGGTTTTGACATAGGGGTTGGAATAAGTGCATATAGTATCTCCTTCGGGGCTTCATATTAGGTATTGTTTTATCACAATATAACGAGTCGGGCTTCCATATTAAGAACCTAAGCCCGGGGTTGAGAGCTTTGGATCCAAGGGTTCGGGCTTCTATACTAAGAACCTAAGTCTAGGGTTCAGGGTTGAGAGCTTTGGATTCGAAGTTGAGGGCTGCGGGTCTAGATTATTGGGATGATGGGTTGAAGGTTTGGGGATGGGTACTTTCGTGTAGAGCAGGGGAAACGACAGTCATGGATTTGGTCAGTTCCAGTTATGGAGCAAGGAATGGAGCAAGGAAAGGCGTCGCAAATTTACTAGTGCCAGGATGTCTTGCTTCTTCGAGCTAAATGGGAGTTTCCGCTTCTTCGGGGCACCTTATTTTGGGGCCCTTATAAGGGTCCTACTATTTAGGGTCCTATATCAGGGTCCCCGATTTTCGGAAACTCCCAAATGCGCACCCAGAACAGGCCTAAGCCTAGGCCCCTTAAGCCGCAAGGCCCTAGAAGCCAAAGCCTCCAGAAGCCCTCAGAACCCGTACTATAGGGGCCTCAATAATTACCTCTACTGTTTTGGGGGATTCCTTATTGCCCTTATAGTTTCATGGGCTCCAACACCCTATTCTAATTTTTAAGGCCCCTATATTAAGCACCCCTTGAAACCCGTGAATTGAGCCTTAAACACCCTTCAGGAAGTTCTTGGGCCCCTTGAACTTACCTTTGGTTAGTAGGGAATGGAAGAGTGGTAGTAGAAGTAGTAGTAGTAGTAGTAGTAGTAGTAGTTATAATTGCACCCCATTCCTCCATTCCCTACTAACCAGAGGCAAGTGAAAAGAGCAAACACTTCATACAACCCCAAGCGAGACTTCAAACGCCAACACACCGAAGGTTTTCGAGCTCACCCGAGAAGTCGTCACACCGCGCGAGGGCGAAGGAGGGAACGATGCCAACAGTGAGGCTGCTTGCTTTGGTGCGACATGGAGTTTAGGCGTTTTGCGTTTTATTTGGGTCTATAGGGTGCGGACTTTCGAGGTTTAGGTGTTCCCGGCAGTCGCAGTAGGCCTGGATGCAAACAAGGTGTTTGTGGGTACTTTACGGCTCAAGCACATTTTTGCTTTCGGGTCTGGAATTCAAAGAAGAATCCACTTGGGGTTTCTTATAAGGGTTTAGGGGTCAGCTATTAAGTACCGCAGGTCCTGATCCATAGCAGGTAGCCCTACCCCCTCCCCTTTACCCCCCTAAGTCCCTAAGGATCCCTATGATCGAACACAGCCCTCCTGATGGCTTATCTAAGTATGGTAAAGGCGGTTTAGGTTTGTTCAGGTTATAGCATACCCAGCAGCATACCCTAAACCCGGAACCCATATCCCCCTACCTACGGTCCTACGGCTTAGTGTCAGGCTTTGCGACACCGAGCTGCCTACTTGAAGGATGGTGGGACTTAGTAACTACCCTAAACAGTATAGAGCCGTTCAGGGAGCCTTATAGCCTTACTTACTACTAGTAAGTCTCCTCCAAGTATCTCTGCCCGGAGGCTGGCTCAGAAGAGGACATGCCGGCACCACCCTGGGCATGATTCTGGCGTGGCCAAAACAGACCGGCGAGCTTGGGGCGTGGGTTGGGGTTTATAGCGTTGAAGGTTTAATCCTATAGCACCCTAGTACCCTTATAATATCCCTTATAGTAGCCCTTATAGACCCTTTGAAAGTAACCCTGGCATTTTCCCAATTAAAGTTGAAGGCTCAGGATTGGTGGTGTAGGGTTGAGGGCTTCAGGTTTCGGATTTCGAGTTGAAGGTTGAGGGAGCTTGCCCCGGTGGGCTCTTTGGGTTTGGTGTTTATGGGGTCCCCCAAGACGAGCCCTCTTAGAAACGGAAGGGAACCACCAAAAACCCTTAACCCCAACTTAAACCGTAAGCCTAAAGCCTAAAACCGACAAGCAACCGTAAATTTTCTCAAGGTCGAGGCGGAGCCCTCGCGACGACGGCACGTTGACAGGCGCGAGATCTTTACTGGCGAATTCGGGGCTGGGGTGGGGGGTGAACCCCACGGCCTGGACCCTACACCGCCAAAACTAAAATGCTCTATTGCCGCTATATACCTTAAACGCCCTAAGCCCTAAGCCCTGCGGCTTGAGGCAACGCAGTGTTTCGGCATGAGGGCTGTATGGGTGTCGTCGCAGAATGTCAGCCTTCGGCCGCATACTCAACTCCATGATGCTCCAAATGCTTCCAACAGTCGAACCTCTAAACTCGCGAACCCAGCATCCTCCTTTCGAGCCCCTTTTCTGAAGTGGTTCAGGGTTTACTGTACGGTTTGGGGATTTGGGCTTTCGGGATTAGGCCGCAGGGCTCCCCAGCCATGCCCTTCGCCACGCGCGATGGTGTGAAGATCTACTACGAGGATTCAGGCGGCTCAGGCCGGTCCGCCCGGATTTTTCAACTTCTTCTAGTGCATTGTCTAACTCAGGTTTTAGCTATGTTTGAATGTCCATCGTAATGTCTTGTTCGGTTCTCATTTGCTATTCTTTTGGTACTTGCCGGCGTTTAACTTGGTATTTCATTGCAGCCCGCTGTCCACGCGACTTGCCTCATTATGGTCGATTGCTACTTTCTGCGCTGGTTCGCAGCTGGTCTATACGTGCTTCTACCCTAGGTTTTATGCTTGGTTGATCGTGCTTACAGTTCGTTGCAACTTATGATTTTGTGTTCCTAGCCGAGAGACATGATGGTCAGCACGTAGCCTGGACACTGTCTTGAATCATAATATAGGAGCTCGAACAATTGCCAAAATTCTTCCCCAGGGCTTCCAGCTTTGGTCATAGTGCGTATGGTATACATGAAAAAACCAAATTTTATACAACTCTGAAAGCCCCTGCACTAGGTGAGACAGCGAGGGCAGCCGAAGTCGAAGTTGACGAGCTGAGTTACTGTTGCTGGAGTCCATAGCCTCCAGATAAACTCAGAGCCAGAGTGTGGAGTATTGCCCGGCAACAGGCGAAGTATGGGAATGATTACCCAAAGGCCCCAAAGTAGTTCTTTTTTGGGGTTCGTATATAGAATCTAATAAGGTAATCCCCAAAAGGAACTACTATGGGGCCTCTGGGTACCTGCATTCTACGTTTCTGGCATTCTGTGCTGACCGTCTGGCAGTATGTTTGCTGATTGGGCCCTAATGCTGCTTCGGTCCACTGGGAAAGCTCTAGGGTCTCGAGCTGTCGTTGCATACTTGGAGGGTTGATGGGTAGGTATTCGTGGGGTTATCAGTACCCTAGTAAGGGTTGTAAGTATAGCTACCTTCTTATAACCCCACTTGTAACTACCCATGAACCTCCAAGTAGGCCCTAAACCCTATACCCTTATGGAATTCCTATAGATCCCTTTAAACGAGACCCTTAAAGGAACCCTTATCACTACCCATGAAGCCCGTTTAGCACCGTCAAAGCCCGAGCTGCTCGCCAGTTACCCGATGCAGGCCCAGTGCTTTTCATGACGCACGGCTTCAGCGGGACAGGTGGCGTGGGTTTGCATTGGCGGAAGGGTTCATGGACAGCTAGTGAGTTCGAGAAAGTAGTGTTGCACTGCACACCATACTCACCACCGGTTTACTTCGCTCGGCTGACTCAAAAATCGTTGAAGCAGAGGTCAGGCAATGCTCAGCGGCAAACCAATAATGTAGCTATATGTAGCTACTGCCCGTTACTACCACAATCAGAGAGTTTGCCTTTGAGAGCAGTTCGACCACCCACAGCGGATCGCCTTGAACGCCAGCATGTCAGGTGAGACCTGGGACGCACAGCTGGAACTGTCAAACGAGTTCCGCATCATTCGTTGGGATATGCGCCCCTCGACTTCCGAACCCTAAACGTAACCCCTAAACCCGTAAAGCCGTAAACCCCTAAACCCTAAATCCTAAACCCCGAATAGCTTGGGATCCTTGCGATCGGAGCGACTTTTCTTGGGATCTGTAGGATGGAGGGAAAGTGTGCAACAGGTCATCCTTTATATGCTCTGAAGCTCCTGCAATAGCGAGTTTAGGATTTAGGGTTTGGGGTTTCTGATCGGCAGAGTCTGGGTTCAAAAAAGGACTAAGCCTGTTGCAAAACGCGCCTTAAACGTGTCCCCTTCCAGTCGCCGACTTCTCATCCCGGCCATGGGTGCGAAGTAGCTTAGATTTCGACTTCGCCGTAAATCCCAACCCAAAAGCCCAAAAGCCCTAATAACTCTAAACCCTAAACCCTTAACCCTAAAGAGGGAAAAAACCCAAATAACTTGAACCCGAAAAAAGCACAGTCTGCTTTTGAGGAGGTCACGGCCGGTCAGACAGTCCAGACGCGGCGGAGTTGTACAGCAAGCAGCACCAGCTTCAGGACGCGGCGAGTTTGTTTGTTTGGGGTTTCAGAACCTGTGAGGTGTCGAAGGTAAGGGCTTATTCCTCTCCTGAGCCTTGTTAAGGTTGAATTTTTGGGGTACTCCGCTTAGATTCAAGGCTTGGGGACCATGCCAGGGTTTAGGTGGCATTCGGGTTGCTTCGGTTCGGCGGTTTGTGAGAAAAGCTCCCTGCACGCTCTGGCAGTTTGTGCAACAATCCTGCTCAGCTGTCATGTTGAACGTTGGTCCCGTCTTCCCGAGTCTCGGTGGCAAACGGCCTGGGGGTAATATTTCTGGAGCCAGCATACCCAGCTTCAGCGAAGGCTGAGGCTGAGGAACAACTCCAAGGTCTAGCCCTCAAGCCCCAAAACCCCAAAACCTGGACTGTACCCTAAACCACCTGCAAGACCTTGCCTCGCTATGCCGGAGTGTGAGTGTCAAAACTGGGGGGGGGGGGGGAAAGGAGGAACCCTTAACGGGGATCCCTACCCCATAACGGGCTATATAACTTAAAGGTCCCTGCTTTTGTCCTTGGACAAGCCCCTGCAAGCTTCCTTCAAGAGCCTCAATGAAGCCCCGAGCGGGGAGAGGACATGGAGAGCGTCCTGGACGACTGTGGCGTGGCATCTGCCACGTTCGTCGGGCAGCATGGCTGTATCATGGAGGTCTGACTACTTAGGAGGTTAATCGGTAGTTATAAGTGGGGTGATAAGTAGGGTATAACTAGAGTTACAACCCACATACCCCACTTCATACTCATGCACCCCCAAGTAGTCAGTAACCTTCTCACCGTAGAGTCCCCACAATTCCAGAACCCTCTTGTCCTTTATTAGGCGAGCAGTTTGGGATGTCAAGGGCAGGGATTCAAGTATTCAGAACTTCCGGGGTTCGGGTTGAGGGCATACGGCGTCAAAGCTTTCGAACAAATGGGCTTGTAGCTATGAGTAGTGACCACTGTCTTTGTCCTGGGTCGGAATTGCAGGATGGTGACCATGGTCAAGATCACTGCACTTTGCGTTGCGAAAGATTAGTAGCATTCCTTGTCGCATTGGCTTGGACTAGTATCTACGAGTACTGTTTAACTTCTTCTCGCCTTGTGTACTGTGAGCATCTTTGTTATCAGAGTCCCGGCTGGCATCCTCATGTTATTGCATGTGTTCTGATCATCCTTCTCCCTATTGTTACAATCAAAACCTCAAGCCCCAAACTTCTGAAAGCAGCCCCCTAAACCCTGAAACATCGACCCTATACCCTAAACCCTATGCTCCAGGACCCGCCCAAGTGCCCTTCAGCAGAGCCCTAATGGCCCTTAATAGTAGGTATTTGGGGTATTGTAGGGTTTATACAGTGGGGGGGTCTAGACTATCCTTCAGCCCCCGATTGTGCCAAAGGCATTCGATGGGGGGCTTCGACTCGCTCCTTTTTCTGCATCTCGGTCGCACGGGTTTCGGAATACTTGGCAGAGCCATCGTATCCCAACTCAGTCCCTATGTGACCATATTATCATCTACCCGAAAACCGCTGTGCAAATCACTACGGCCGCTATATTGCTGTTTCGGCCGGGCCCGAGGATCCAATCGGGGCAGGGCGATTTTCATAACCCTAAACCCTAACCCCTAAATCCTAAACCCTAAATCCTAAACCCTAAACCGTTTCGCGCCGTGCACTCGGATCAGGAAAGCTGAGGCATGGTTGTTGTGTTCTAACATGTATTGTGACTGTACTATAGGGGGCTAAACAGTTACCACTACTATTTTGAGAGTTCCTTATCATGAGTATAGCATAATGGGCCCCAAAACCCTATTAAAAATTTAAGGCCCCTAGATTAGCTGCTTGGCTTGCTTTTGGCTTAGTACAGCTGCCTCAGGGCTGGAGCTGTTCACCCGGGCGTCGCTTTGGGTTTCTGTTGATTTCAGGGTGCTAATCAGCTTTTTCCGGAATCAAGCGCTGTAAACGTGGCAGAGTTTGCCTTGCGTTTCATGCGGCGGTGTACTGCAGTCCCCACCAGTCTACAGCATGCAATATATCGTTATCGCAGCCGTTCTGCATACTATTGTTCCATATCAACCCTACACCCCTAAACCCTAAACCATGGTCATATCGCATCTCGCAGCCCAGCAGTCGCAGCTCTCAGGCTCAGCAGCCCAAGCCGTGCCGCACGGGTGCAGGCCTTGGTGCTGCTCCCTGGTCGCCGAGCTTTTGTTTTTAGAGGGATAAGGGTGTAGGGTTTTCTGTAGCAGAAGGGCGTTTGCCCTTGCTGACAGGGTGTTTGGAGGGTTCAGAGTTAAGGGCATATGCAAGCATGCACTTTCGTCGGCACTTTCAGTTCAACCAAACGAGAAGGACAGGATGACACTTGCACCTTCCAGTTGCCTCCCCAACCCCACCCGTAGGTTTTGAATGACTTCAGAGCCCAAGCTTTTTCCTGCACATGCCCACGACCCCAAGGTTCGATGGGAGTGACTGGCAAAGGTAGCGAAGTCGACCCAGCCGCGAATTGTTGGGATTCAAAACCTTCAAAGTATCTGCCACAAGGCATGGACTCGCATTCGTACTCTGAGGATCAGCACCGGGCCAGGATTTGCGTCCCTTGGCGTGCAGTGGTCTGAAGGATCCGTCTGATCTTCGACGGTGCCCTTCAACTACCACGAACAATCCTAGCACCAAGGCTAAGAATGACGGTAGTGATGGCTTGGACATGTTATGAGCCCCCACATCCTACGCCCTGAACCACCCTGCTGCGTGGGTCGGTCCTTGCCATGCGGCAGGCTGAAGCAGTCAGCATGTCAGCCAGGAGGCTTCTGAACTCCTAAACCTTCACCCAAAGCCCTTCCAAAACTGTGATCCCCAAAACTCAAACCGTCCCCAACACCGTAACCCCCCAAACTGAAGCCCTCCCTGAACCGGGATCGCCAACGATCCCCAAAGCCTAACCCCGAGACTCCAATATCCCTGAATTAAGGAATATACCCTAGATTATGGTAGGATCCCTTATATGACTTAAGGTATATTCCTTAATTAATGTTCCCTTATATGACTTAACGTATATTCCTTAGTTAAGGGATTTTGGAGTCTCTGGGAAACTCCACGTACGCATCTTCCAGGAAGGCCGAGTCGCGGCAGCGCTGGAACAGCCGCGCCGAGGTTCTGGCCGCCGACTTCGCTGTGCAGCTCGGGCCGAGCAGAGGGTTTAAATAATAAAATAATAATAATAATAACAATCATAATGACAATAACAACGATAATAATGACAATAGTGACAATAACAATAATAACAATACCAATTCTCAGGGTCTCACTATGGGTATAAGGATTCGGGATTCGGGCTAGGAATTGTGGGACTCCGTGCGGAAGTTGAGGGTTTAGGCTCAGGGTCCTAGGGCATAAGGACTGAGATTAGGGTTAGGAATTGCGGTGTGATACTGCCGGTTCAGGCGTTTTTTGAGATGCTCGTCAACTTCTTTACACCCTCTCTTGCTGCTTAGCGCACGGATGTGTTCGGGGTATCTTTGGGTGATTCATCTGGATGCTTCAGGGCCCTACACTGTACATTACGAACCCTAAGCTTAAGCCTTAACCCCCGAACCCTAAACCCCAGAACCCTAAACCCTAATCCCCTAAACCCCAGAACCCTAAACCCCAAGACCCTAATCCCCCAAACCCTAATACCCAAAACCCTAATCCCCTAAACCCCAGAACCCTGAACCCCAAAGCCCCAAAACCCAAAACCCTAAACTGAGAGTTTCCCGGGGTGCCGAGGAAGGGCCGAAGCGCGTTGCCGAAGGCGGATCGGGGCAAGGCCAGCGCTGCTTAGGGTTTGGGGATGTTTAGGCTGGAATATTTAGAGTCTTGAGGGCGCTTCATATGATAATATAGTGCAGTTACGGGCTTGGCTTGGATCTTTGGGCTAGAAGACTTCGTAATACCAGTCTTGAGGGCGATGGATATGAGAATCGCATAGTGGAGTCAAGGATTTAGGGCAGCCAGCGAGCCTGGTCTCAAGAAGAGGCGAACTGGAATACTATTCCGGACAGTCGTGAACTTAAGCAGAGCACAATATGCCCAACAACCGTATTCCGAGACCCTTGCGTTCGATCCCAGATTGTTAAATCACAGGAGGGTTGTGCCGTGGGATTCAAAAAATTCGTTGTTTTTAGATGTTGGTATTCGTACTTTCAATTTCTATTCGAGTTAGGTTTTCACATGAAAAGTATTTACGCAGTACAGCAGTAGTAGTAAGAGGAGAAAATTATGGCATTGTTTTCAGAAATAGTCCGGTGCCGTCTTCAGAGTGATGGGACGGAGGCTTTTGATTCCTGTGACAACCCGCAAAACTCACGTACACCTGTGTCGAGATGTTGAAGCGCAAATACCCCGCCCCCCCAAAACAAAGACGAAACTCCAAACCGCCCGGCAGAGCCACAGCGACCGCGGCGTACAAGTGGGCCTGGCGAACTCGGCCAAGATTCTTGGAATCATACAACCATCGGCTGCATTTCGTCCTTCAGTACTGGCGAGCTCTTTTCGCTACCCATGAGTCTTTCTTTGCTTACGAAGTGCCTTCGATTCCTGGGTGCAGAGGCAGGCATCCGGTGATCTTGAATTATGAAGTTCTTTTCTCAGGAACCTCTCGCGTTCTGAGGTACATCTTCGCTCAACTGGAGGAGGCCGGATCATTTCGTGCAGTGAAGGGCGGAGTTTGCTTGCAATGTCAGTACAGCTGGTGCAACCAACAACACCCAAAAACTTGACCAAAAGGACCCACTGCTCAGCACGATGCCTCACGGTGCGGCGAGTGTGCGGGGCTCAAACAGGCAGCTTCATGACAGGGGTCGGAAGTTATCAGTGACCGTATACCCTTGCAGTCCCTATCTAATTGTAGTCTAATGTGCCCAAAGCCCTGTGCGCTAAGGCCCCGATTACCACACCCGGTTTCTTCCAAGAGAGAACAACGCCTCAGAGTCGTAGACTCGCATCACTCTGTGCGAAGTGGAGCCCTAAGCGTAGTCACGTAGTCTATATAAGCCATATAATCCTAAACCCGTGAATCCGAACGCCCCAAAGCCAAAACCTTTAAAACCTCCTACACGCAAGACCCCCAAACTTGCAATCTAAACCCGCCAAACCCCAAAACCGTCAAACTTTGAAAGTTCTCAATCTCAAACTCCCCAAACCCAAAAACTCTGACACACTTAAATCTACGTCCAAGCCCTAGTAAACCCATCCGAGTGAGATCTTTGCAGTGTTGGCTTCAGGCGTCCCCAGCTTCCTGTGCTCTTGGTGCGAAGGTTTTGAATTAAGAAGCACCTGCAGCCCAGCTCGAAAATGTTTCACATGTCACAAACCCCTCAAAGAAAACCTTAGCCATAGAAAGGAACCCTACTCTAACTATCAAGGCCCCTATACTATAGTACCCTTATAGATCCCTTATAGAACCCTTTAACGGACCCCTTTAAAGATTTTAAAGGAACCCTATTCTAATTATCAAGGCTCCTTTTGTGATCTCCTACACCAAGAATTACCCAGAGACTCCAATACCCCTTAATTAAGGAACATACCCTAGATAGAAAAAGGATCCCTAATATGGTTTAAGGAACATATTCCTTAATTAAGGGATTATTGGAGTCTCTGGGTAGAGCCGTGCCGAGGTCGCCCTGAGATTGGATGAGGTCAAAGTGCCGACCCTTGTTCTGGTGGGAGTGCCTCGCCGATCAGTCAGAAACCCTGTGGGTTTAGGGGTTCAGGGTTTAGGGTGTTGCTGCGGGTTTAGGGTTTCGGGCTGTTGAGAGTTTAGGGCCGTTTCGGGTTTAGTGCGATTTTGGGGCTTGTGGTTTTGCTGCTCAAAGCGCGCGAGCAAGCCACTGCCGCATCGCAAAGGCCCATCTCAACACGAAGTCCGAAACGGGAGTTTCCGAAAATTCGGGGAACCTTATTTTGGGGTCCTTATAATAGGACTCCTGCTATTCAGGGTGCTATATTCAGGTCCCTTACTTTCGGAATCTCCCAAACCAGCATCAGAACCTGTATTGCCGATCTTGCGAGTCGAGCATGCCGCGTTCTCATGTGGGTGGTCGTCAAATTATGGTCCTGTTTTGGGTACCCTAAGCATAGGTGCCGTATTATCATAAGGACCCAAAAAGGGACCCTAGTTTTGACAACCACCCATGTTTCTGTTTCAAGGAGCAGGACAAGTCCTTCCATGCTGCCGCACAGATGATGGCAAAGAAGGTCCGGGGCTTATATAGCATTTCTATTCCCTCCTCATTCTCAGGCTTGAGACAGATTTTGTTCTCATGTCTGGAGACCTTTGGGTTGTTTCCCTTCCCCGCATTGAGGCAGCACCAGCAGTACCTTTCTACTGTTTAACTGAGGACGGTCCATCACTATGATTCATTGATCCGGATGTAGGAAGCCGATAGCCCATCTTTTGCCTGCATTCCGCGCCCCGCATGCAACTGATCGAAGGAGTGAGAAGGGTCTCCTTTATCAGTCAGGCATGCGACTATCGCACAAAGTATAACTACCTACAACCTTGGCTGAAGCAGTCAGGCACATGTATGCATCAGTTGTTCCGAACTGCGACAAACCTGCGACGGCGTTAGAAACAAGAATAGCAAGGTCAGAATTGTGAGAATTGGCCAATGACTTTATATTCTGATCATAGCCGAGCATCAGCACGAACAACAATAGCAAGTTGTGGTAGTGGTAGTGGTGTGGCAGTGGCAGTGGTAGTGGTAGTGGTATCAGTCGTTGTGGCAGAAGTCGTCGTCGAAGTGGTAGTAGTAGGAGAGTAGGAGAGTAGGAGAAGGAGCAGGAGTAGGAGCAGTAGTCAGTAATAGTCGTAGTAGTAGCAGCAGGAGGAGTAGTGTAGTCGTCGTCGTAGTGGTGGTGGTAGTGTCGTAGCACTAGTAGTAGTAGTAGTAGCAGTAGCAGTAGCAGCAGTAGCAGTAGTAGTAGTAGTAGTAGTAGTAGTAGTAGTAGTAGTGGTAGAGTCGTCGTCGTCGTGGTAGTAGAAGTGGTTGTCGTCGTCGCAGTGGTGGCAGCGGTAGTGGTAGTGGTGGTGGTAGCAGTAGCAGTAGCAATCTGGGATTTACATTGGAAGGTCGCCGGCGCAAAGCTTGCCCGAGCCTCAGATTCGTTCCTTTCGAGCGTCTGATTTCAGACTGCAGGACACCCAGTACTTAGGCTTTAGGATTCGGTGCCAATCAGGACCCCGCAAAGCTTGCACTTAGAAGCGTTTGGACCTTGAGGGTAGGCTTCAACCACAAAGCTTCTCGAGCCTCGAGTCACGTCAGTGTTTCAGAAACCTGCAGACCTCCCCCCGGTGACGGCCTTTGGGTTGTTGAAGACCTTAAGTTTGAGGGACTGCATGCACCCCAAGCCTCGAAGTGTCAGTCTTACGCCTTGTGCCTTTGCACAAAAGCCTCGCTCAAAGCCCACGGACGATCGATAAGTCAACGACCCTCCGAGCATGCAACTCTGAAGCCTCAGCTGATGTAGTGCGAAGCGTTCTCGAGCAAAGTCGGGCGGTGAAAACAAGAACCGACGCAGCATCGCGAGCGCCGCAAAAACAAGAGCCATGAGAACAGCAGCACTCAGATCAACAACAGTGGCCACCACAACGACTGGAACATTTGCAAGGCAGATCTGTCTCTGCCACGGCTGCTGCCACTACTGCTGCTGCTCCTTTCCCTTTGTTACTGCTACTACTGCTGCTGCTGCTTCTTCTACTACTGCTGCTGCTATTCCTGCTGCTGCTGCTACTGCTACTACTACTACTACTACTACTACTACTACTACTACTACTACTACTACTAATACTACTGCTACTACTTCTACTCCTGCAACTCCCGCTACTCCTGCTACGACGACTACGACGACGACGACCACTACTACTACTACTCTACTACCGCTGCCACCACCACTACCTACTACCTACTGCCTACCGGCTGCCTACTACCTACTGCCGGTTGCTACCTACTACGTACTATTACCTAGTACCTACTACCTTCTGCCTTCTGCCTACTACGTTCTGCCTACTAGCTACACTAGCTACTAGCTACTAGCGACTTACTGGTCGCTACTACTACTACTACTACTACTACTACTACTGCTGCTACTACTACTGCTACTACTGCTACTACTCCTACTACTGCTACCCTACTGCTACTACTACTGCTACTGCTACTGCTACTACCGCGACGACGGCTCCTCACCCCGCCCAGCCGCATCTTCAATACGGCCCATGAAGTCCCGAGGTTCTAATCCCCGGCGGAGGGCACATGGTGCAAGAAAGTGATCCGGCTTTGGGTTCGGGATCGAGAATAGAAGGGTTTAGGGCTTCCGGATTCGGGGAGTAGGGCCTTGAGGTCAAAAGGGGCTTGTGGGTCAGGGTGTAGCGCTTCAGAGTTAACAGTGCAAGGTTTCGGGTTCAGGATTTAGGGATTTTGGCCAGGTGTATGCTGCATGACTTTCCAAGATTTGAAATTTCAGCCTTCCTGGAGCATCTTATCAGATTATCTAAGCCCCTTGACTGGCCTTGTTCAGAGAACAGGTGCGACACATCCAGGCGGAATTCACACAAGCCTGTGCAAGAAAAGGGGCAACCTTGAACACCGCAGGCTACCCGACAGGTAACAATGGCCTGTGGCTCAGAACGTAAGGCCATGTGATTGTTTTTCAAGTTGTTTGCCAGAAGTTGTGTGGGTTTGTTGAACAACATCCGAACGAGTTCTGATTTGCATAGTTCCGGGAAATGTTGGAGGGTATTGGGATTCAGGGCTTGATCCTCTCCAGCAGACTCCAGCATAAATATGAAGCAACTTCACCAATCCGATTCAAGTCCTTCATTGGGCTCGTAACGTCATACATTCACATGTGCAGCCATGATTGCCTCCATCCTGTCAGAGTGGGGTCCATATCGTGCAGAGTGCCTCTGGATCGTTCCCCCACTTCTGTACATGATTCCCTAGTTTGAAGCATTGCTACGTCGACCTTTCATATTCCGAGCAGTCCCACATACATATAAGCCCTACTTGGTGTCCTGTCTTGCTACTGAAGTGCTGCTAGTTGCCATGTCTTTCCCTGTGTTCCCCGGCCACGCATCGCAAAATAGCACCGAAGACTCCCGGGTGCTTAGTCGGGACTGGGGAATGGATATTGGGGACTATTGTTGGGGATTATAAAGGGGCCATTCCCCCATTTCCTACTAAGAACCAGACAGAGGAAGAAGAAGCGCAGAGGTCACGGAGCCGCCGTCACTGCAGCTCTGCGCCAGTTCTGCGCCCTCCGGCAGCCGTCAAAGCTCTGAGTGGAGTGGCAGGATGTTTAGAGTTTACGGCGGGTTTAGGGTTGCAGTCATATCTCGGCCGAAGCCCCAGCAGCACTTTCTGCTAACAGCGTGTGGCATTTCACACTTACACATTTGCCCCGGTTTCTTTCAGAGAATAAGAAACATGTAGCTACAGGAAGCCGAGGCCCTGCAGCTAAAGCCTGCTCAACCTCATGGCCGAAGACGAACATGGAAACCTATTCCTGAAAAGCTTTGTGGTTTCAGCTGTTCCGTGCCGGTGCTAATTGCCATATTCCCAAACCCTCATCCCTGGATCCGTGCCTGCTTTTCGAGTGTGCGTGTCGAAACCCTCAACCCCCACACCCCGAAGCCCTAAATCGTAAAAGTGACAGTGGTTGATCACGAATCTGCAAGTTGAAATCGAGCGGTAGTAGCAGCAGTGAACTGAGAGACAAAGATGTTAATCACAGCAGGTATAGCCGGCATCATCAGCAGAATAGCGCGGAGAACAGCGCAGCGAATAGCTGGCAGAAAGCAGCACAGAAGACAAACAGCCATGAATATGCCTGTTGACATAAGCTTTAGAGCCCTCTGAGCACTTGGCTTGGGGCCACGGACAAAGGGGAGTGCCGGAGAAAAAATCCAGACACATACGTCTCAGGACTTCGGGCGTACGGTGGGTTTAGATTTTTAATTTTCAGTTTAGCTCAAGTTGCTTTTATCCTTGATGAGCCTGTGCAACCTTACCATGCACAAAAGGACGAGGCCACAGCTACTAGGCTTTTACGGTGTAAGTTCGAAAGATTGACGATTGTAAGGGCTTGGTGCATTGCAGTCCCTGCTCAAAAAGGACAGGCCCTGAAGCCTAAATGCTACACTGGATTCAAATTTTGAGAGGTTGCTTTTTGAGTTTTGGAGGTTTCAGGACTTGAAAGTTTCAGAATTTCAGGTCTTCTGAAGGCGTAGGATTCTAGTTGCAGGGAGTTTCAGGAGTTTAGGCATGGGGAGTTCGCTGCTGCTGGTGTATGACTCGCGTTTCAAAGGCGTAGCGTAGTAGGGTTAGGGTTTTAGGTTTTGAGCGCTTGGAGGCTTTAGCTTTGAATATCTAAGCCCGCGGCCCTCAGATTCCTAAACCCTGGAGCACTCAGGCACACATCCGGCCACATTCCCAAACCCAAAGTGAAGCCTAAATACGAGCCAGGTAAACCAAGACACTCAAAGCGTGAGAGATAGCACTTTGCACAGGATTCAGCTTCGGAAGCTTCAGGCTCATCTTTTGGGTGCGGCCCTCAGCACAAATCTCCCGCGTGTTTCTGATCCCATCCTTCGATGCAGCTTGTGCTTCGGTTCCGCAAGCCAGCCCTTGTGAAAAGCATGGTGCGGCGAAGGCTTGGGTCTGCTTCTTATACATCGTCATTGTGGTGGGGCCCTGTGCTGAGAGGGCACCGTGCCTGTCTGCAACTTGGAGCTTAGGAGGGCCATGCGGAGTTGGATCGCTGACCACAATTGTTAGCCGGTGAGTAGATTGACGGTTTAGTAGATTTAGCAAAACTGCCTAAGCCTCAGCGACCCTCCAGCCGGGCATGTCCGAGAGCTTTTAGAGCAACCCTGGTGCGAAAGGGTTCCTTGCACCATCCACGCCTTTCGCACGTCTCGTCCGCTCGTCGCATTTCAGTGGCTTGTGCCAAGATCTAGGTAGCCAAATTCTGGTGCAAAGGGGACCCGGATACAGGCTTGCAGCCTCCCGGAGCAGAAGCATGCCAAAAGAGGCCAAGTTGACAAGAGTATCTTCAGGCACGAATCCCATACCTCTCGTAGGTTTTTTACTAGGACTAGGTTTTGCATGGCTGACCACATGGCCATGATCATCGTTCTGCTGGTGCTGTGCTCAACTCTTGGGAGCTGCTCTCGCGCGTTCCGCACGCGGCGTCCCAGCTGAATCCAACTCCCAGTGGGGCTGAGCCTTTAAGCCCGCCTTCGTTTCTGAATTTTGCAGCAGTCGACAGTGATTGTATCAGTCTTGTGACTGCGGCTCTACGGAGTTTATCGGACAACAATAATCTGGAACCGTTTTTCACGACTCTGTTTGGTTGGTTTCCTGTTGGATTCTTTGATCCCTCTGAAATATCTGAAACGAGGCACGAGTTGCGCGAGGCTGTGGTTGCTTGGGCAAATGGTTCGGCAGGACGCTCCGCGGGGTCAGTTGTGAGGCAAAGGTTGAGACAGGTACCTGAACACAAACGCCTGAAGACGTCTCGATGATCCTGAAGCCTAGTAACACCGAACTTTCCCTAAACCACCGATCTCTGATTGATATTTTCCTTCCGTAATCCACGCTTCTTGGAGGTTCAAGGGTAGTTATAAGTGGGGTTATAAGCCCCCTAATATGGGGTATAACCATAGTTACCCTACTTATAACCCCACTTATAACTACCCATGAACCCTCCAATTTCAGTATGTTTGTGCATGCCTTCGGTCCTTCGTCAAGTCGCCAGAGCCAGCCTTGAGCAAAACAGGGAGCCCTTGCAGCTTCGGGTCCATGAATACCGGGCTTTGTAAGGCTGTAGAGGGTTTTGTCGGGCTTTTGTAAGGGTTTTGTGTGCCTTCTACAGACAAGACTGGAAAAACAACAGATACTATTCCTTAGGGGCGCTTTTCACTAGGCCAAACCCCTTGTCTATTTTGTAAGCCCTACATTACCTTTCTACTGCCCCTACTTGGAGGGTCGGGGGACTTAGTAAGTAGGTAGTAAGTAGACTTATAAGTACTCTAAAAGGGACCCTAATTGGGATGATGGTACTTATAAGTCCCTACAATAACCAGTTACTAAGTCCCCCGACCCTCCAAGTAGACCCAGACCTCCGAAAGACGAAGCCATGGCTGCAACCCATAAATCCCACAAGCAGGAATATACTGATATCATTGATATGGGAGTTTCCGAAAATTAGGGGTACTCTATTTGGGGGTCCTTATAATAAGGATCCTACTCTCTAAAGGTACTTCATTAGGGACCCCTATTTTGGGAAACTCCTATATCTATGTGCCTAGTTTGGCAAGTTTGGCGAGACCCGAACTGGCAGGAAGGAGGGACCTTGCGGCGATGTACGGCGATATTTCGAGCTGGGATGTTTTTGGCGTGACCAACATGAGCGGGCTGTTCCAGGACCCCATCAAAATCTGAATGCTTCAGGGCACCAGTGTAAAGGCGGGAGCTGTTGCTGCTTGAGTCAGTGCTGGATATTGCTATCTGAGGACCTTCCCATGTTCAACGAAGATCTTGGTTCGTGGAATACAACATCAGTGACCAGTATGCGCTCAATGTTTGAGAACGCACGCACCTTTAATCAGCCGATTGGGGCATGGGATACATCAGCTGTGACGGACATGAGCAAGATGTTCAAAGGAGCTCGTGCCTTCGACCAGCCTGTCTTTTCGTGGAACACCTCGGCTGTCACGGACATGCGCGGGATGTTCTTTGATGCTCAAGCCTTCAACCAACCAGTTGGCTCCTGGGACACATCTCAGGTGAAGACAATGGCTGCAATGTTTGATAATGCTTATGTGTTTAATCAGGATATCGGTGCGTGGAATACGTCAGCAGTTACGGACATGAGCTGGATGTTCTACGGCGCACGTGCCTTCAACCAACCAGCTGGCTCGTGGGATACATCCCAGGTGAAGAACATGGCTGGAATGTTTGACAACGCTTATGTGTTCAACCAGCCCATCGGTACCTGGAATACGGCAGCAGTTGCAGACATGAGCTGGATGTTCTTCGGTGCCTACGCATTCAACCAGCAGATCGGCTCATGGGATGTCTCGTCAGTTGCGAGCATGAGAGCCATGTTCTGCATGGCCACTTCTTTCAACCAGCCTGTGGGCTCGTGGAACATGTCTGCCGTGACCAACATGGATGCGATGTTCTGGGACGCGAATGCTTTCAACCAGCCCATCGGTTCGTGGAACACATCAGCAGTGACCACCATGAAGAATATGTTCTTCGGAGCTCATGCCTTCAACCAACCAGTTGGCTCATGGGATACGGCAGCAGTTGCGAACATGAGCCGCATGTTCCTGCGTGCCCATGAGTTCAATCAGCCCGTTGGTGAGTGGAACACATCCGCCGTTGTGGATATGAGCGGGATGTTTCTTGAGGCTTATGCTTTTGACCAGCCCATCGGTTCATGGGACACATCATCGGTGACCAGCATGAACCAGATGTTTTATGCTGCAGAAGATTTCAATCATCCTGTTGGCTCATGGGATGTGTCAAGAGTGACAGACATGAAGTACGTTTTCGGCCGAGCGAGTCGCTTCAATCAACCCCTAGCCTCCTGGAATGTGTCTGCTGTGACGTCTATGCGCGGAGTGTTTGAGAGAGCACCTCAGTTCAACCAGCCTATCTTTTCCTGGAACACGTCAGCAGTTACAGACATGAGCATGATGTTCTATGGTGCCCGAGCCTTCAATCAGCCAATTGGTGACTGGGATACCTCAGCGGTAAGGACCATGTATAGCATGTTCACGCTTGCTGCGGCGTTTAACCAGCCCATCGGGTCCTGGAACACGTCTGTCGTGGCAGATCTGGCTTTCATGTTTCTTGGTGCAATGGCTTTTGACCAGGCTATTGGCTCTTGGAGCACATCAGCCGTTGTCAAGATGAACAGCATGTTCTACGGGGCTATAGTATTCAATCAGCCTCTCGCTGCATGGTCTACATCTTCGGTGGAGGACATGAGCTCGATGTTCCGGCAGGCCTATGCCTTCAACCAGTCTCTTGATTCCTGGGATACTTCAAAGGTATCAAGCATGAAGGGGATGTTTGCCGGCGCGGTGTCCTTCAATCAGCCGCTCTCGTCATGGAACACATCAGCTGTGACAGATATGAGCTTCATGTTCCAGAAAGCCTTCGTGTTTGATCGCTGGATAGGCTGCTGGTGCACATCAGCTGTGAGGGACATGCAGGGAATGTTTTGTGGAGCTCGCGCGTTCAACCAGTCTCTTGCTACCTGGGATACTGCAAGGGTGACAGATATGAGCGGCATGTTTGAACGAGCTTCCACCTTCAATCAGCCCATCGGCGAATGGGATACCTCCGCTGTTACAGACCTTAGCCACATGTTTCACGAAGCTTCCTCGTTCAATCAGCCGCTCTCCTCTTGGCAAACTATGTCTGTGACAGACATGAGGAGCATGTTTGACGGTGCTCACACATTCAACCAGCCCATCGGCTCGTGGAACACTGCAGCAGTAACCAACATGCACGCCATGTTTCGGCATGCATCGTTATTCAATCAGCCACTTGGCTCCTGGGACATGTCGGCAGTCGCCGACGCCAGCTACATGTTCTATGCGGCACCTGTTTTTGACCAACCCCTCAACTCATGGAACATGTCGGCTTTGACGGATGCGAGCTCAATGTTTCAGTTTGCCGTTTCGTTTAAACACGTGGGTGACATTTATCGCTGGCACTCACAATCAGCTGTGAAACCGGTGAACCGTTCCTTCTACGACTTTACGCTGGATGCCATGGCTGATTACACCGAAGAGTTTTTTCGTCTTGCAGAGGAGTTCGCCCGCCCGCCATGTCAAGCCGGATTCGGGCCGGCTTCTGGTGTCTGTACCCTTTGTCCACAGGGGCAGTATGCAGAGGCCGGCGAGTCCGAATGTCAAGAATGTCCAAAGGGAGCTGTTCCCACCCCAGATCGGGGCAGTTGCAAGGACTGTCCCTTTGGAACAAATTCCTTGGAGTGTCGTGACTCATGTGCCTTTCCTTTCATGCTGTGTCTGGGTCATATTGATTGAAACCTTTTCATATTGACGAATGCCTGAAGGCAAGCCCAAATAACGTATCCATCTCCAGAAGCCGAAAAGACGACCGAAGATCAATGGACCAGGTATGACCACGGCTGTGAGCTTTGGCCTTGGCCGGTGATGATTGTCAGCGCTGTGTCCCTGTTGGTGGCTGTGCAGGCGAACGGGCGGCGCTGGGGCGTTCTGGCTTCCTTGCTCTCGGTTCGAAACAGTGGTTGAAGGGTTCCAATAATCCCAAACTCAACTCATCAGACTCCGAACCACATGCCTCGCCTGGATTGTCCGAGTGTGAGCGCCGAAACCCTCGACCCTAAACCCCAAACCCCAGCCCTGAAGAGGCTGGGGTGGCCTGGTGGCGGGCGAACAAAGCGGCGAAGCGCGCTGCCAAGATCAAGACTCTGAAGGTGCCTCCTTTTGATTTCGTCAACTAGAGTCAGCGGAGTTCCCACGCTCTTTTCCATGGTAGGTGCGGAAAAGAGCTGGAAAACTACCCTAACTAGTTGGCATCCCCAGCGTGCATCAATTTTCAACTTGATATGGTCCCAGTTGCCACTATGACCATGGAAAAGGACATTGGGAATTACAGTTCCCAGCATCTTGTCCATGATGTATTCCACAAAATCGGCATCGAATCTGTCTTTTCCTGTTAGAGAGGAATGGGAAACAGCAGTATCCATCTGCTTTTCCAGCGTCCGTGAGACCAAAGAACACAGGACAAGAAGTCTGAAACTAGAATAGTTTTGGGCTTCTTTTCCTTTGCACACTGCCAGGGCGCACAAAAGCCCAGCCCTGAATCCCTGAACCTATACCCTAACCGTAGGTCTCCTACGTATCCCTCAATGCTGGGATACGTGGTAACTCCAGGTCCAGATGTACGACGACCTGTGGCAGGAGCTCCCGGGTACCGTCGCAAAGTATCTTGGCCAGGGAAGCTATGCAAATCAGCAAAAACTTGGCAAGCACTATAGGAGAGCCTAGGAGGTATCAAAGGCCTCCAAGGTGCGCCGGGAAGCGCCCAAAGTCCTCTTCAGCATGCTGCAAGGTTGTCGTTGGCATTGAAGTTGAGCTTAAGTGCCCTAGCAACAGGTATTCAGTCCGCTTGGAGAAGCTCGGTGTTGACAAGGCAGAGGTGGCCAACGAGGTGGCAGAAATGCGATCACGGCAAAGCAACAGCGCAGGAGTTAGTCTGCGGTACCTCCTCTCTCAGGAGTTCACAAGTTTGGCCAGGCAGCGAACCGGCATGAGTGATCCGACCTTTAACGACATGAAGAGTGCCTTCTGGCTAGCTGCGGACCCGATTGGCGAACATGTTCAATGCCCGCGGGACGGCAAGATGGGTTGTGCACTTGTGGACTGGATACCCAAGGATGAGAGGCGAGCTCAAACACACTTCCTGTCTTGGGTGTGGGGATACCACATTTCACAGGTACAGAGTGCTTTGAGCATGTACCGCGTGAGTGCTCATGCGGCAACTGCAGCTGAAAGCATATTCTTTTTCATGTGCTTTTTTGTTAACAATCAGTACAGAATTATCGTCGAAGAGACATCTGCGGGCAGTGAGAACCTCGAGACTATCTTCGAGGAGAACCTGAAGCGAAGCGGGCAGATGGTGGCCATCTTAGACACCTGGAACCAGCCAGTGTACCTGAGTAGGATATGGACTGTGTATGAACAGTTCATGGCGTCCACTCTCGCGATACCTGTCACGATTGTGATGCCAGACTCCGCCATGACGTCTGTTCAACAGCAGATCTCTTGCGGCAAGCAGGGAATTCAAGAGATCACGATATCCTTGAGCCGTGTCGACTCCGAAAATGCAGGGGCATGGAAGAAGGAAGATGAGGCAAAGGTGAAGGGGATCATCGAGGATACCGTGGGTTTCAGGCACGTCAATAGTCACGTGACCGAGGTCATGGTAAGATGGATCGGAGACGTGGTCAAGCATCAGTTTCACGAGTTGATCCAGCAAGCTCAGGGCGGCCAGCAGTCAGAGATTTCCAGGCCGATGAAAGAACCTGTGGAGACAGATATCCTTTAATCTTTGATTTAGTTTTGAAGAACTTGGCACAGCTGCATCTGAATGGCAAACCACGCCACGGTTGCTTGTATATTCGTATCGCATAGTTGTGGTAGTGGTTGGCAGACTCTTGAATTCACAAGTCAGATGGCGCTTCCAAAGCTCAGAGGTCCCTTGGGATGGTTTTTTTCCAGGGGTTTCCCCAAGTGTTGGTATCGAAGCGCCAATGGCACCCTCGACTGTCCGAACAATGCTGCCGGGTGGGGCGGACTTCTCGAAGCCGTCACACATGGTCCCAGCTTCATGCGTAGGTTTCAAAATTAAAAACCACCTCAATGCGCGAGCTCAGCCAGAAGTGCTGAAACGAGGTGCAACTAAGGCCAATCTTGCCAGCAAGCATGCAAAGCTTGTCCAGTCTGAATAAAACATGCTGCCCCTGCAGATTCCAGCCCGGCATGGCCCTTGGCAGTCTTGCTGCATCCCCCTGCTTCTCAAAGATGAGGTTTCAAGCTCGGGGTGGAAAGCGACACCCCCATGTATGCAGCCAGCTGCCAGCGGCCCATATGCCTTAGAGAGTTTTGCGGCGTAGTGCGCTGGATTCAGCTTAAGTTTTCCCGACAGTTGCGGGCTGAGGGTTCTGATGAGTTGAGGATTCTGCTGTCTTGTCTTGGCCGCAGACTGGCATTACCGTAGTCATACTTCTGGCAGATTCTTGAGGTCCTTTGCTTTGTTTCGTGCCTTCCCCATCAAGGTGGAAATGATGATGTGGCTGACCATTGCCTCTCCTTTGTTTCCTGGTCTTCGGCATCGCGACGATCTGCCAGGCAAGCTCCCGCCCTCTGAGAACTTTCGGCGAGGCTTGAAGGCTTCGGGTTTACGGTTCAGCCTTTGCCAAGCAGTTCTTGCGGCAGCTACATGGGTGGTTGTCAAAATTAGGGTCCTTTTTTGGGTACCCTAAATTTTAGGTGCCGTATTATATGAAGGACCCAAAAAGGGACCCTAATTTTGACAACCACCCACATGTACAGACTCTCCCACAAGCAGCTTGAGGCTTTATGTTGGCAATGAAGGTGTTTTCGCCAAGTTGAAGCTGAAGGATGAGGTTTTCTATCCCCTGGATCAAAATACCTAAGCCCTCGACACAGAACTCGGTCCACAGCATGCCACCAAGGTCGACGTTTTGAGTTCTGAAGTCAAGACTTGAAAATGTCCTGACTTGGCTACATAGTGGCAGGAAAACTTTTTGTTCTCGATATCAGTGGGGCCTTTTGGGCGAGTTCCCAGCGTTGATTGATAAAAGATGTCGGAGCTGCTTGAAGCTACTGGCACGAGCCCTTGGACAAAATTTGTGTCCGGGAATTACAAGGCTGGCATTTTGCAATGGGCTTACTACTTGTAGGGAACAAGGAGCAGGATCCTGCGCCAACAAGACGGAATCCAACGCTATTGCGCCGCTATTGCCTGAACCGTACTTCCTGTGGTAACCTGGACCATCTTGGACATTTGTTTCTGCGGGAGGTTGCTGCAGACACAGCGGCCGCGCGAAAGCTGCTGGATGGTGGCCCATGCCCGAATGACCGAATCAAGTCTGTGCCGACAAGATTACCGTCTATGGGCTTACTCCCGCATGCCTCGCCCGGAGAGTCTGAGCTCACCCGGAACCACAGGCCTCTAAGACTAGACCATTCTTGCCACCAAGCGTCAGCTTTGAATCTCTAAGCCCGTGGCCCTCAGATTCCTAAACCCTGGAACACTCAGGCACACATCCGGCCATATCCCCAAACCCAAAGTGAAGCCTAAATACGAGCCAGGTAAACTAAAACACTTAAAGCGTGAGAGATAGCACTTTGCACAGGATTCAGCTTCGGAAGCTTCAGGCTCATCTGTTGGGTGCGGCCCTCAACACAAAACTCCCTCCTTCGATGCTGCTTGTGTTTCGGTTCCGCAAGCCAGCCTTGGTGAAAAGCATGGTGCGCCGAAGGCTTGGATCTGCTTCTTATACATCGTCGTTGTGGTGGGGCCCTGTGCTGAGAGGGCACCGTGCCTGTCTGCAACTTGGAGATTAGGAGGGCCATGCGGAGTTGGATCGCTGACCACAATTGTTAGCCGGTGAGTAGATTGACGGTTTAGGGTTTAGCAAAACTGCCTAAGCCTCAGCGACCCTCCAGCCGGGCATGCCCGAGAGCTTTTAGAGCATCCCTGGTGCGAAAGGGTTCCTTGCACCATCCACGCCTTTCGCACGTCTCGCCCGCTCGTCGCATTTCAGTGGCTTGTGCCAAGATCTAGGTAGCCAAATTCTTGTGCAAAGGGGACCCGGATACAGGCTTGCAGCCTCCCGGAGCAGAAGCATGCAAAAGAGGCCAAGTTGACAAGAGTATCTTCAGGCACGAATCCCATACCTCTCGTAGGTTTTTTACTAGGACTAGGTTTTGCATGGCTGACCACATGGCCATGATCATCGTTCTGCTGGCACTGTGCTCAGCTCTTGGGAGCTGCTCTCGCGCGTTCCGCACGCGGCGTCCCAGCTGACAATACATTTCCCAGGGGGGCTGAGCCTTTAAGCCCGCCTTCGTTTCTGAATTTTGCAGCAGTCGACAGTGATTGTATCAGTCTTGTGACTGCGGCTCTGCGGAGCTTATCGGACAACAGTATATAGTCTGATTGGAACAGTTTTTCACGACTCTATTTGGTTGGTTTCCTGTTGGATTCTTTGATCCCTCTGAAATATCTGAAACGAGGCACGAGTTGCGCGAGGCTGTGGTTGCTTGGGCAAATGGTTCGGCAGGACGCTCCGCGGGGTCAGTTGTGAGGCAAAGGTTGAGACAGGTACCTGAACACAAACGCCAGAAGACGTCTCGATGATCCTGAACTTTCCCTAAACCCCAGATCGCTGATTGATATTTTCCTTCCGTAATCCACGCTTCTTGGAGGTTCAAGGGTAGTTATAAGTGGGGTTCTAAGCCCCCCTAATATGGGGCATAACCATATTTACCCTACTTATAACCCCGCTTTTTCACTACCCATGAACCCTCCAAGTAAGGCCCTAAACCCTATACCCTCAAAGAAACCCTATAGATCCCGTTAAAAGAACCCTTAAGGGGACCCTTCTTTCAGTATGTTTGTGCATGCCTTCGCTCCCTCGGTCCCAGTCGCCAGAGCCAGCTTCGATCAAAACAGGGAGCCCTTGCAGCTTCGGGTCCATGAATATCGGGCTTTTCAAGGCTGGATTATGGTACTTATAGGTCCCTAAAACACCAGTTACTAAGTCCCCCGACCCTTCCAGTAGACCCAGACCTCCGAAAGACGAAAGAGCCATGGCTGCAGCCCATAAATCCCACAAGCAGGAATACACTGATATCATTGATATCTAGGGTTTAGGGTTTAGGGTTTAGGCACATACTCGCTCGGACTGGGCTGCTGGACAACGAGGCCTGCTGCAAAAAGGGATCTATGTGCCTAATTTGTCAAGTTTGGCTAGACCCGAACTGGCAGGAAGGAGGGACCTTGAGGCGATGTACGGCGATATTTCGAGCTGGGATGTTTCTGGCGTGGCCAACATGAGCGGGCTGTTCCAGGACCCCATCAAAATCTGAATGCTTCAGGGCACAAGTGTAAAGGCGGTAGCTGTTGCTGCTTGAATCAGTGCTCGATAGTGCTCCCTGAGGACCTTCCCATGTTCAACGAAGACCTCCGAATGTGGAATACTGCATCGGTGACTGACATGCGCTCAATGTTTGAGAACGCATGCGCCTTTAATCAGCCGATTGGGGCATGGGATACATCAGCTGTGATGGACATGAGCAAGATGTTCCAAGCAGCTCACACGTTTGACCAGCCTGTCTTTTCGTGGAACACCTCGGCTGTCACGGACATGCACGGGATGTTCTTTGATGCTCACGCCTTCAACCAACCAGTTGGCTCATGGGATACGTCTCGGGTCAGGAACATGAGCGCAATGTTTTCGAATGCTTATGTGTTCAATCAGCCCATCGGTTCGTGGAACACGGTAGCAGTCACAGACATGAGCTGGATGTTTTACGGTGCCCAAGCATTCAACCAGCCGGTCGGTTGATGGGACGTCTCGGCAGTTGCGAGTATGAAGGCTATGTTCTGCAAGGCCACTTCTTTCAACCAGCCTATGGGCTCATGGAAGACATCTTTGGTGACAAACATGCGTTCAATGTTCGAGAACGCGCATGTTTTCAACCAGCCCATTGGTTCGTGGGACACATCAGCAGTGACCACCATGGAGAATATGTTCTTTCATGCGCACGCCTTCAACCAACCAGTTGGCTCATGGGATACATCTCAGGTGAAGACCATGCATGCAATGTTTGACAATGCGCATGTGTTCAACCAGCTTGTCGGTAGGTGGAATACGGCAGCAGTTACAGACATGAGCGGGATTTTCTTCGATGCCCGAAAATTCAACCAGCCGATCGGCTCATGGGACGTCTCGGCAGTTGTGAGTATGAAGGCTATGTTCTGCAAGGCCACTTCTTTCAACCAGCCTATGGGCTCATGGAAGACATCTTTGGTGACGAACATGCGGTCAATGTTCGAGAGCGCGCATGCTTTCAACCAGCCCATCGGTTCGTGGGACACATCAGCAGTGACCACCATGGAGAATATGTTCTTCGATGCGCACGTCTTCAACCAGCCCATTGGCTCATGGGATACATCTCAGGTGAAGAGCATGGCTGGAATGTTTGGCAATGCCAATGCGTTCAGCCAGCCTGTGGGTAGGTGGAATACGGCAGCAGTCACGGACATGAGCTGGATGTTCTCCGGTGCTCACGCATTCAACCAGCCAGTTGGCTCATGGGATACATCTCAGGTGAAGACCATGCATGCAATGTTTGACAGTGCTTATGTCTTCAACCAGCCCGTCGGTAGGTGGAATACGGCAGCAGTTGCAGACATGAGCGGGATGCTCTTCGATGCCCGAGAATTCAACCAGCCGATCGGCTCATGGGACGTCTCGGCAGTTGCGAGTATGAAGTCCATGTTCCGCAAGGCCACTGCTTTCAACCAGCCTGTAGGCTCATGGAACGTGTCAGCTGTGACCAGCATGAGTTCAATGTTCATGGAGACGCATGCTTTCAACCAGCCCATTGGTTCGTGGAACACATCAGCAGTGACCACCATGGAGAACATGTTCTTCCATGCGCACGCCTTCAACCAACCAGTTGGCTCATGGGATACATCTCAGGTGAAGAACATGAATGCAGTGTTTTACAACGCGTATGTGTTCAATCAGCCCATCGGTTCGTGGAACACGCAAGCAGTCACAGACATGAGCTGGATGTTTTACGGTGCCCAAGCATTCAACCAGCCAGTCGGTTCATGGGACGTCTCGGCAGTTTCGAGTATGAGGTCCATGTTCACGGAGGCGCACGCCTTCAACCAGCCCCTGGGCTTGTGGAACACATCTTCGGTGACAAACATGCGTTTTATGTTTGGCAAAGCTTATGTGTTCGATCAGCCCATCGGTTCGTGGAACATGACAGCAGTTACAGACACAAGCCGGATGTTCTTCGATGCCCGAGAATTCAACCAGCCGATCGGCTCATGGGACGTCTCGGCAGTTGCGAGTATGAAAGGTATGTTCTGCAAGGCTTCTTCTTTCAACCAGCCTGTAGGCTCATGGAACACATCAGCTGTGACCAGCATGCATGCGATGTTCGAGAAGGCGCATGCTTTCAACCAGCCCATCGGTTCGTGGGACACATCAGCAGTGACCACCATGGAGAACATGTTCTTCCATGCGCACGCCTTCAACCAACCAGTTGGCTCATGGGATACATCTCAGGTGAAGAGCATGGCTGGAATGTTTTACAATGCTTGTGTGTTCAACACGCCTGTCGGTATGTGGAACACGGCAGCAGTTACGGACATGAGCTGGATGTTTTACGGTGCCCAAGCATTCAACCAACTAGTTGGCTCATGGGAGGTCTCGGTAGTTGCGAGCACGAAGGCTATGTTCTTCAAGGCAACTTCATTCAATAAGCCTGTGGGCTCATGGAACACATCGGCAATGACGACCATGGAGAGCATGTTCTTCGATGCCCACGCCTTCAACCAGCCAGTTGGATCATGGGGTACAGCTCAGGTGAAGAGCATGGCTGGAATGTTTCACAATGCATATGTGTTCAACCAGCCTGTCGGTATGTGGAACACGGCAGCAGTTACGAACATGAGCTGGATGTTCCACGGTGCTCAAGCATTCAACCAACCAGTTGACTCATGGGATACATCTCGCGTGAACAACATGTCCGCAATGTTTCAGAATGCCTATGTGTTCAATCAGCCCATCGGTTCGTGGAATACGGCAGCAGTTGCGGACTTGAGTTTTATGTTCTGGGGTTCTCATGTGTTCAATCAGCCCATTGGTCAGTGGAACACATCACAGGTTAAAAGTATGCTGTCCATGTTCACGGATGCCTACAAGTTTAACCAGCCTATTGGATCTTGGAACACCTCCGCCGTCACGGATATGAGCAGGATGTTCCTTCAAGCTTATGCTTTTAACCAGCCCATCGGTTCATGGGACACATCAGCGGTGACCAGCATGAGCCGGATGTTCTATGCTGCAAAAGCTTTCAATCAGCCTGTTGGTTCATGGGATGTGTCAAGAGTGACAGACATGGGGGCAGTCTTCTGCCGAGCGAGTCGCTTCAATCAACCCCTAGCCTCGTGGAATGTATCTGCTGTGACATTTATGAACGGAACGTTCGAGAGAGCACTTGAGTTCAACCAGCCCATTAGCTCATGGGATACTTCAGCCGTGCGCAACATGTCGGAAATGTTCGAAAGGACGTCTCGGTACAACCAGCCCATCTCTTCGTGGAACACGTCGGCAGTTACAGACATGAACCGGATGTTCTATGCTGCCCGTGCCTTCAATCAGCCCATTGGTGACTGGGATACCTCAGCAGTAACGAACATGAACCGCATGTTCAACCGTGCTGCGGTATTCAACCAGCCCATAGGGTCCTGGAACACATCGGCTGTCGAAGACATGTCTTTCATGTTTCGTGACGCCGCTGCTTTTGATCAGGCCATTGGCTCCTGGAGCACATCAGGCGCTGTCAAGATGAGGGGCATGTTCTACGCGGCTCAAGTGTTTAATCACCCTCTCGCTGCATGGACTACATCTTCAGCGGTGGATATGAGCTCGATGTTCCGGAAGGCATATGCCTTCAACCAGCCTCTTGATTCCTGGAACACATCAGCTGTTTCAAGCATGAGAGGGATGTTTGCCGGCACAGTATCCTTCAACCAGCCGCTCGCGTCGTGGAACACATCAATGGTGATAGACATGAGCTTCATGTTCCAGCAGGCATTCGCTTTTGATCGCTGGATAGGCTGCTGGGACACGTCAGCTGTGAGAGACATGAAGGGAATGTTTTCTGGAGCTCACGCGTTCAATCAGTCTCTCGCTACCTGGAATACTGCAAGGGTGGCAGATATGAGCGGCATGTTTGAACAAGCTTCCACCTTCAATCAGCCCATCGGCGAATGGGATACCTCGGCTGTTACAGACTTCAGCCACATGTTTCATGAAGCTTCTTCGTTCAATCAGCCGCTCTACTCTTGGCAAACTATGTCTGTGACAGACATGGGGAGCATGTTTGACGGTGCTCACACATTCAACCAGCCCATCGGCTCGTGGAACACTGCAGCAGTAACCAATATGCACGCCATGTTTCGGCATGCATCGGTATTCAATCAGCCACTTGGCTCCTGGGACATGTCGGCAGTCGCCGACGCCAGCTACATGTTCTATGCTGCACCTGTTTTTGACCAACCCCTCCACTCATGGAACGTGTCGGCTTTGATGGATGCGAGCTCAATGTTTCAGTTGGCAGTTTCCTTCAGCCACGTGAGAGATGTGGAAAACTGGCAATCGGTATCATTCCCTGCGAACCACGCAGATGCGCCTCATTCCATCTACGCGCAGGCGATGGACGGCCTGGCCGAGTCAACTAGCACCGACGAGTTTTTCCATCTTGCAGAGGATTTCGCCCGCCCACCGTGTCGAACCGGATTCAGACCCGTTTCCGGCGTTTGCACCTCTTGTCCGAAAGGGCATTACGCAAGGGCCGGCGAGTCCCAATGTCAGGAATGCCCGAAGGGAGCCGCTCCCACCCCAGATCGGGGCAGTTGCAAGGACTGTCCCTTTGGGACATATGCCCTGGAGTGTCGTGATTCATGTGCCTTTCCGTTCATGCTGTATCTCGGACGCTGTTGTATAAGGCCATTTCACTGTCCGAAGCTCAAACAGCGCACTCATTACCAGAAGCCGTAAAGACTATCAAAGATCAATGGACCAGGTATGACCACGGCTGTGAGCTTTGGCCATGGCCGGTTATGATTGCCAGCGTCGTGTCCCTCTTGGTGGCTGTGCAGGCTGCGGGGCACCCTAGTGCTTTCTAGCTTCATGGCACCGGGTTTGCAACAGTGTTGTTTGCCTTCAGGGTCGTCTACGGTTACCATAATCCCACCTTGAGTATAGATATAGTAGGACCTTACTTGGAGGGTCGGGGACTTAGTAACTGGTTATTTTAGGGACTTATAAGTACCATAACCCGAATTAGGGTCCCTTTTAGGGTACTTATAAGTCTACTTACTACCTATTATAGACTGTTACTGCTTGGGGGCAATACCCAATCCCAGCCCTGAAGAGGTCGGGGTACTCTGGTGGCGTGCGCGCAAAGCTGCCAAGCTCGCTGCCAAGATCGAGGCTACGAAGGTGCCTTCTGTTGCCACAGATGTCTCACGTAGTGGAACAAAGAATGACAGCTACAAGCAAATTTTCGATTTTCTTGTTACAGCAGAGGATCTTCGCGAACCTCAACTGTTTCTCGAGATTTTTTTGTGGCGAAGCAGAAGCTGAAAACATGGTCATGCCACTAGTTTTCATGCCTTCACTCAAGTTTCTTGTTTTGCATGCGACGTGGTAGGAGTGGCAAAGGTGAGTGGATGCTGATGCCATTGTGACGCAAATGAGTGCTATACCTGGAATGATCGGAAAACGGAAACCAGCGTTGCTAATGACGTTCCTTTCCATTGTAAACGGAAAAGAACCTAGTTGCCATCCTCCTTTGTGTTACTTCTAAAAGCCTTGAGTCGTCCGCCTCGGGCCGGTCGGGCACGGCCTCAGAGGCAGAAAAAGGAAAGACTGCCTACGGACAAGCGAGATCCAGAGAGAGGGATGAACAGGAGCGGAAACAGAGGGTTATGAGGAAATGCTAATTTTTTGTGCTGAGCGCCGGGACGAATTAACCGAAGCGGAAGCTGCACCATTTTGCTTTTCAAGTCCAGTATGATTGAGGAAGATGAGGGAGGGAAAACGGCGGCACTCTCCGCCCGTATTTTCTGTTGTCCCATGAGACCACTGCGCCAGAAAGAATCTACCAAACAATTATGGCCAAGGAATTTCAAGCTAGAGTCGTTTTCGAGCTGCAGCAGCTGTTGTTCCACCTTTTACTGTAATAGTCATACTTCGCTGGATCATTGACCACACGGGTTTTGAGAAAAGTCAGTACAACCCTGCCGAAAAGAAACCGAAGTTACATGTAGAAACCTTTTAGAAGTAGGTTGCACGACGCCAGGGCCCCCTAGCCCTGGGTCCTTGAAGTCTTTGGTCTGAACCTCGGCACAACCGGTAACTCCCAGGTGCAGATGTACGATGACTTGTGGCAGGAGCTCCCTGGCACCGTCGTTGAGTATCTGGGCTAGAGACGGAATGCAAATCGGGTAGTGACAGCAGGCGCTAGGACCAGGAGGACCAGAAGGTATTAAATCTGCATGCTTCAAGGTTTTCCTTGGCATTGAAGTTGAGCTTAAGTGCCCTAGTAGCAGGTACTCAGCTCGCTTGGAGAAGCTCGGTGTTGACAAGGCGGAGGTGACCAAGCAGGTGGCATCGATGCGAGCACGGCAAAGCAAGAGCGCGGGAGTTAGCATGCGGTACGTCCTCTCCGAAGAGTTCACAAGTTTGGCCAGGCAGCGAACCGGCATGAGTGATCCCACCTTTAACGACATGAAGAGCGCATTCTGGCTAGCCGCGGACCCGATTGGCCAACACATTCAGTGCCCGCGGGACGGCAAGATGGGCTGTGCACTTGTGGACTGGATACCCAAAGATGAGCGTCGAGCTCAAACACACTTCCTGTCTTGGGTGTGGGGATACCACATTTCACAGGTACAGAGTGCTTTGAGGATGTATTGCTTGAGTGCTCATTCGGCAACTGCAGCTGAAAGCATCTTCTTTTTCATGTGCTTTTTTGTTAACAATCAGTACAGAATTATTGTCGAAGAGACATCTGCGGGCAGTGAGAACCTCGAGACCATCTTCGAGGAGAACCTCAAGCGGAGCGGACGGATGGTGGCTGTTTTGGACACCTGGCACAAACCAGTGTACCTGAGCAGGATATGGACTGTGTACGAGCAGTTCATGGCGTCCACTCTCGAGATACCGGTCACGATCGTGATGCCAGAGTCTGCCATGACATCTGTTCAGCAGCAGATCTCTTGCGGCAAACAGGGCATCCAGGAGATCACGGAATCCCTCAGCCGTGTCGACTCCGAACATGCAGGGGCGTGGAAGAAGGAAGATGAGACGAAGGTGAAGGGTATCATCGAGGATACGGTGGGTTTCAGGCATGTCAACAGTCACGTCACTGAGGTTATGGTAAGATGGATCGGAGATGTGGTCAAGCATCAGTTTCACGAGTTGATCCAGCAAGCCCAGCGCAGCCAGCATTCACAGGACACCAGGCCCCGGAAAGAACCTCCTTAAAGAGCTTTGAGCTGCATCTGCGTGGCTACCACACCACGGGTGCTTGTATATTCGTATAGTAGTGGTGGTGGTTGCCAGTCACCAATTCAACTTCGAAGCATGTAAATGCGCTTCCAAGGCTCAAAGGTCCCATTGGGATGCTTTGTACAAGGTTACTCCTAATCGTACTAATTAATTACACTAATATCCCCCCATCGTTCCGATGCAATTCATGATGCGAGAGATACCCCCTGCACGTTGCTCTACATGTTGGGCCCAAGCTTTTGGTATGGAAGCGCTAATGACGCCCTCGATTTTCCGATCAAAGCGGCCAGCTGGAAGGGATTCTCGAAGCCCAGACACCTGGTCGCAGGCGTTTGCCTAGGCTTGATTTTAAGAAGCACAGCTCGGCCACAAGTGCTGTATCGGTGTAGGGCATGCTCACAGACTCCAAAACCCCTTAATTAAGGAATATACCTTAAATTATAATAAGAGCCCTAGTATGATTTAATGTATATTTCTTAATTAAGGGGTTTCGGAGGCTCTGGGTGTGTAGGGCCAATAGTGCCGGCAAGCATGCGATCTCGTCCCGTCTGAGTCAAACATGCTGCTCCCGTGCTCACAGGGCTCTGGCCTTTGGCTTGCTGGCCCTGCTGGCAGCTTCTCAAAGAAGATAGTGTCAAAGGCATGAAACGTAAGACCTGCATCCGGTGCAGCCAACGGCCAACGGCTTCTGTGCCTCGTGTTTTGTTGCGTAGTGTGCTGAAGTGAATCAAAGTTTTTCTAAGGTTCCAGGCTTCGGGTTTTGATGAATTTGACCTTTGAGGCTCTTGCCGTCTTGACTGCAGACTGGCACTACCATGTTCGCATTCGTGGTAGGTTCTTGTGGGTTTGGCTTTGCAGCCTGCTTTTCCCATCAAGGTGAACATGAAAAAGAGGGCGTGACGATTACCGCCTCTTTGTTGCCGTTTCTTCGCCATCGTGACGACCTCCCAGGCAAGCTCCCGTCCTCGGAGAGGGGTTTGGCACTGATTGAAGGCTTCGGGTTTTGGGGTTTAGCCTTGGCGAAGTAGGTTTTATGGTAGCTAGTCTTCCAGAAGCATCTTGAAGCTTTATTAGGCAGTCAAGATGTTTTCGCCAAGTTGAGGCTGAAGGATGAGGTTTCCTATCCCCTGATTTACAATGCAGGAACCCTCAGCGCTAACCCCGAAACCCTATCCGGATCTGTCCACAGCATGCCACCATGCTTGGGGGTGTGGAGTTCTGAAGTCAAGATCTGAAATCTCCTGACGTTGTTACATTAGCAGGGAATGTTTTGTCCTATAGATCCTAACGACGGGGGCATTTTGTGCGAGTTCCCAGTGCAGCCTTCGCGTGACGCCCCGGTAGCAACACCGGCCCCACAGAAAATGGTTGAAATCTAGGGCGTTAGATGTCACAAAAGCCCTCCTGTAAGTTTTCCTAAGCGGATTCCTGTTAGGGCTCCTTTAACGCATCCTTTCAAGATTCCTCTGATTGTTTCCTAGGTTAGGAACCCCTTCTGAAATTCTAGAATTCTGCTGTGTGTTGCCCGTGCCGACCATCATCCACACTCAGGGCCGTTGCAAGCCGCCGGAGCCTTATCCAGCGGCCTTGCGATCCGTTAGTTTTGCAGTTTGCCAGGCTGCAGGCTCACAGGTACAATACGCAAGCTTCTAATTATTTGCATAGTAGCTGCGTGGGTGACGTTTAGCCGCTTTGGGGACGGAGAATCAGCATCTAGGCCTTTGCGGTACAAGCTCGATCGGCTGAAGGTTTAGTGCAGGCTCAGGTCTCAGGGTTTCTTCGCCACTTTTTGAGTATTCTGGTTTGAGGCGCGAAAGGTTCAGAATGTCAGGGCTTCGAACTTTCAGTTTTGGCTGCCGGCAATTGTCTAGAGGAGTAAAGCCTTTTCCGGGCTTGCGGCGAGGTCTGAAGGTTTGTAGCTGCCTGCAATAGCCTTCACTTTGTGGCCGAAGGCGGTGTGCTTCGTATTTCAAGGGCTTCAACTTGATCTTTTTCCGACCATGTGCCAAAAAGATGGACTCCAACGCAAATCCTTGAACCGTACTTTTTTTGGTGACTTGGACTCTGCGTTTGTCTGGGAGGTCGCTGCAGATGCAGCTGCCGCGTGAAAGCTGCTGCATGGTTGCACGCTGAAGCCTGGTCCCTACGTGGATGTTACAATGATTTACGTCAAGGATACGTGTTGTGGGGGGTGTTCTCATACTACAGAGGTCAGGGTTTCGGGGTTGATACTGGCGTTGCCTGTTTAATTCTCAAATCCCACATCTTCTTTGCCATTGTTTGTGTTTAGCTGTTTGCTACTGAAAACTATTGAATGCATCCCTACTATCTAGCCGCCGGCCGCTACCAGCAGTCAAGCTGTATGAGATCGGGCCGATGGTTTAGGGCTTAGGGTGGGTTTCGGGCTTAGGGCTGAAAGCCTGAGGGTTTAAGGCCTGTGGGTTGGGGTTCGGGGTTTCGCGCGAAGTAGATGGGATGCAACCAATGTTTCATTGATTCTATTCCCGAATTGGAGGTTGTGATCACTACCGAGTCTTGTTTTTGCGGCTTTGCTGGTGCTTTTTTTTTGTGCTTCTGTTTGTGGTCACTGTTAGTAGGCCGGGTGGGATCCCAATGTATGACTGTATGCACGACTCACTACCGAATCACGTCTCTGCTAAACCTTCAGAATGATCAGGACAACCCCCCCCGCCCTCCATCGAGGCTAGGCTCGCATGCCTCGCCTGGCGAGTCCGAGTGAGTCCGGACGCCCGGAACGGATTCCAGGCTCCTTGAGCCGTCGTGCCACCGAACGTCAGCCTTGAATAGCTCAGCCCGTAATCCTCAGACTCCGAAACCTCCCCAGCCCCCACTTAATCCGGCCAAATCCCCAAACGTAAACAAGCAACCCCTTAGGGATGTGACAGCAGTTTGTCCAGGTGCTCGAAGGTTGCCACTTGCGGAGGCTTCTCATGCACTGATGCGTGAGCTCCGGCTTCGCGCCGCGACCTGAGACTGACATGGCTTTCCTACTTTTCTCAGCTTCGGAAGCTTCAGGCTCATCTTTGGGGTGCGGCCCTCAGCACAAAACTCCCGTGTGTTTCTGATCCCACCCTTCGATGCAGCTTCTGCGTCGCTTCCGCAAGCCAGCGTGTTGTCATCATTGAGATTGGAGGGGCATGAGGAGTTGGATCACTGACAACTGTCTGCTTCTGCTCCAAGGGGTCATGCACGAATTTGTCCATTCACCCTAGTGTTCCTCCAAAATGTGGCAGGGCAGGGCTTGGGAGGGATATCCGATGGATGCAACCAGTAAGTATTTCGTGTTTCTATCAATATTATACCGAATGAGCAGCTTTTTCCCAAACCCTATCCCAGTTGCCAAAGCCTCCCACATCAGGGATCCCCCAGCCGGGCAAGTGTAAGAACTTTTCGAACATCCGTGGTGCGAAAGGGTTCCTTGCACACTCCACGCCTTTCGCAAGTCTCGGCCGCTCGTTGCGTTTCTACATCAGTGGCTTGCGCTAAGATGGATGTAGCCAGATTCTGTGCAAAGGGGGCCCGGATACAGGCTTGCAACTTCCCGCAGCAGAAGCATGCCAAAAGAGGCCGAGCATGGCAGCATTGACAACAGTAGCTTCGCACACGAATCCCAAGCTTCTCGTAGGTTTGCTTCCAGTATATTTTGCATGGTTGATCGCATGGCCATGATCATCGTTCTGCTGGCGCTGTGCTCGACTCTTGGGAGCTGCTCTCGTGTGTTCCGCACGCGGCGTCCCGGCTGAATCAAACTCCCAGAGGGGCTAAGCCTTTGGGCCCGTCTCCGGTTCTGAACCTTGAAGTGACCGCCAGCTTTCAGGCTATCCCCTATCGCAGTTATTGTATTTTCACGAGTTCTGCCACACTTTCGTCACGCATACTTCAGCCCTAAACCCTAACCCCTAAACGGCAGTACTTCTGTCAGCCTTGTGGCTGCGGCAGCTCTTAGAAAGCAACAAAAGCAACTTTGATTGAACACACAATTCAGGTTTCTGGCCTAAGTTTTTCGGGCTGTTTAGGGCTTACATAGGGTTTCAAGTTTCAGGGCTTAGGGTTTGGGGGCGCCCTCTTTGAACCCCTTGAACTGAGGCGCGAGTTGCGCGAGGCCGTGGTTGCCTGGGCAAATGGTTCGGCAGGACGCTTCCTCGGTGATCTTGGAGTATACACCAACGTCCAACATGTCGGTCGAGGGTTTAGGAGGGACTGATGAGTTCATGGTTCAAAAAAGGTTCCGAGAAGTGCGGGGGCTTGCGCATATTACCGGGGATGGCAGAGCAACATCAGGCGACAAAAGGCCCAGACTCAGCCGACGGCAACAAGAACTTTTGGGCCCTCATGGTCGCATAGCTATCATGCAGAACCTTTCGACCCCCAGGCCGGAATTCAAGACACCGCAACCCAGCTGGAGTCCTTTTCGGCAGCACCTGTGCGCGCATCTGGTAGGTTCAGCCAGACCCAAAACCAAGCCTCCATCCCGAAACCTGCAAAAGGCGAAGTCAAACATTCGACAGCCTCAGCTCTGCTGTTCTGACAGGAAGGAGGGACCTTGTGGCGACATACGGTGACATTTCGAACTGGGATGTTTCTTGCGTGAGCAACATGAGTGGCTTGTTCCAGGAAGCTCAATCAAAAATTTGAAGGGTTCAGGGCAGAACTCCACCTGGCTCGCCAGTGCTCGATATTGTTTCCTGAGGACCTGCCCATGTTCAACGAAGATCTCCGTTGGTGGAATACTTCATCAGTGACCGATATGCGTGGAATGTTTGAGAACGCCCGCGCCTTTAATCAGCCGATTGGGGCATGGGACACATCAGCTGTGATGGACATGAGCAAGATGTTCCAAGGAGCTCATGCGTTTGACCAGCCCATCGGTTCGTGGAACACATCGTTAGTGACCACAATGAAGAACATGTTCTTCGATGCTCACGCCTTCAACCAACCAGTTGGCTCATGGGATGTCTCGGCAGTTGCGAGTATGCTTGCCATGTTCCGCAAGGCCACTTCTTTCAACCAGCCTGTGGGCTCATGGAATACCTCTGCCGTGACCACCATGCAGAACATGTTCTGGGATGCGCACGCCTTCAACCAACCAGTTGGCTCATGGGATACATCTCAGGTGAAGGACATGAATGCAATGTTTGACAAGGCTTATGTGTTCAATCAGCCCCTTGCTTCGTGGAACACGCAAGCAGTCACAGACATGAGCTGGATGTTTTACGGTGCCCGAGCGTTCAACCAGCCGGTCGGTTCATGGGACGTCTCGGCAGTTGCGAGTATGAAGTCCATGTTCGTGGATGCGCACGCCTTCAACCAGCCTCTGGGCTTGTGGAACACATCTTCGGTGACTAACATGCGTTTTATGTTTGGCAAAGCTTATGTGTTCAATCAGCCCATCGGTTCGTGGAACATGGCAGCAGTTAAAGACGCACGCGGGATGTTCCTTGGGGCGCGAGCATTCAACCAGCCTATTGGATCGTGGGACACGAGCAGGGTGACGAATGCATTCGCAATGTTTCTCGATGCTGCCAGGTTTAATCATCCAATCGGTTCGTGGAATACCACAGCTGTTACAGACATGAGCGCGATGTTCCTCAATGCTCACGCCTTCAACCAGCCCATCGGTTCATGGGATACATCTCAGGTGAAGAACATGACTGCAATGTTTGGCAATGCTTATGTGTTCAATCAGCCCCTCGGTACGTGGAAGACGGCAGCGGTCACAAACATGAGCTTGATGTTCACAGGTGCCCGAGCATTCAACCAGCCGATCGGCTCTTGGGACGTCTCGAAAGTTGCAAGTATGGAAAACATGTTCGAGGATGCACATGTTTTCAACCAGTCCATCGGTTCGTGGAACACATCAGCCGCGATCACCATGAAGAACATGTTTTTCGATGCTCACGCCTTCAACCAACCAGTTGGCTCATGGGATACATCTCAGGTGAAGGACATGCACGCAATGTTTGACAACGCGTATGTGTTCAATCAGCCCATCGGTTCGTGGAACACGCAGGCAGTCACAGATATGAGCTGGATGTTTTACGGTGCCCGAGCATTCAACCAGCCGGTCGGTTCATGGGACGTCTCGGCAGTGACGACTATGCGTGCCATGTTCTGCCAAGCCACTTCCTTCAATCAGCCGGTGGGCTTGTGGAACACATCTCTGGTGACAAGCATGCGTTCAATGTTCGAGAAGGCGAAGGCTTTCAACCAGCCCATCGGTTCGTGGAAGACATCAGCCGCAACCACCATGCAGTTCATGTTCCTTGATGCGCACGCCTTCAACCAACCAGTTGGCTCATGGGATACATCTAAGGTGGAGAACATGCACGCAATGTTTGACAATGCTTATGTGTTCAATCAGCCCATCCGTTCGTGGAACACGCAAGCAGTGACAGACATGAGCTGGATGTTCTCCGGTGCCCGAGCATTCAACCAGCAGATTGGCTCATGGGACGTCTCGGCAGTGACGACTATGCGTGCCATGTTCGTGGATGCGCACGCCTTCAACCAACCACTTGGCTCATGGGATACATCGCAGGTAAAGAGCATGCGCACAATGTTTCAGAGTGCGCATGTGTTCAATCAGCCCATCGGTTCGTGGAATACGGCAGCAGTTACAGACATGAGCTGGATGTTCTTCGGTGCCCAATCATTCAACCAGCCTATCGGCTCATGGGATATATCCTCGGTGACAACCATGCGTTCAATGTTTCAGAAAGCTTATGCGTTCAACCGGCCCATCGATTCGTGGAATACGGCTGCAGTTGCGAACATGAGTTTTATGTTCTGGGGTTCTCGCGTGTTCAATCAGCCCATTGGTCAGTGGAACACATCCCAAGTGAAAAGTATGCTGTCTATGTTCGAGCATGCCTATAAGTTTGACCAGCCCATTGGATCCTGGAACACGTTCACCGTCACGGATATGAGCAGGATGTTCCTTCAAGCTACTACTTTTAACCAGCCCATCGGTTCCTGGGACACATCGTCGGTGACCAGCATGAACCGCATGTTCTATGCGGCAAAAGCTTTCAATCAGCCTGTTGGCTCGTGGGATGTGTCAAAAGTGACAGACATGCAGGCAGTCTTCTGCCGAGCGAGTCGCTTCAACCAACCCCTCGCCTCCTGGAATGTGTCTGCCGTTGTGTCGATGAGTGGAATGTTTGAGAGAGCACTTGAATTCAACCGGCCCATCGGCTCATGGGATACTTCAGCCGTGCACGACATGTCGCTTCTGTTCGCAAGGACGGCTCGATACAACCAGCCCATCTCTTCCTGGAACACGTCGGCAGTTACAGACATGAGCCGGATGTTCTATGCTGCCCGTGCCTTCAATCAGCCCATGGGTGGCTTGGATACCTCAGCAGTAACGAACATGAAAGGAATGTTCACACTTGCGGCGGCGTTCAACCAGCCCATCGGGTCCTGGAACACATCTGCCGTAACAGATATGTCTTTCATGTTTCGTGATGCGACTGCTTTCGACCAGGCTATTGGCTCCTGGAGCACATCAGCCGTTGTCAAGATGAGGGGCATGTTCTACGCGGCGGTAGTATTCAATCACCCGCTCTCTGCATGGACTACATCTTCGGTGGTGGACATGAACTCGATGTTTCTCAAGGCCTATGCCTTCAACCAGCCTCTTCATTCCTGGGATACATCAACTGTAGCAAACATGAGAGGGATGTTTGCCGGCGCAGTATCCTTCAATCAGCCGCTCGCGTCGTGGAACACATCAGCGGTGACAGATATGAGCTTCATGTTCCAGAAGGCATTCGCTTTTGATCGCTGGATAGGCTGCTGGGACACATCAGCTGTGAGGGACATGCAAGGAATGTTTTCTGGAGCTTTCGTGTTCAATCAGCCTCTCGCTACCTGGAATACTGCAAGCGTGACAGATATGAGCGGTATGTTTGAAACAGCGGTTGCCTTTAATCAGCCTGTTGGCGAATGGGATACCTCGGCTGTTACAGACTTCAGCCACATGTTTCATGACGCTTCTTCGTTCAATCAGCCGCTCTCCTCTTGGCAAACGACGGCTGTGACAGACATGAAGGGCATGTTTGACGGTGCTCACACCTTCAACCAGCCTATCGGCTCGTGGGACACTGCAGCGGTGACCAACATGCATGCCATGTTTCGCCATGCATCGGCATTCAATCAGCCGCTTGGCTCGTGGGACATGTCGGCTGTCGTGGATGCCAGCTACATGTTCTATGCTGCATCTGTTTTTGACCAGCCCCTCGACTCGTGGGATATGTCGGCATTAACGGATGCAAGCTTCATGTTTCAGCTTGCCGTTTCGTTCAACCGCGTGAGTGATGTGGAGGGCTGGCACTCAGCATCGTCACCCGCGAACCACACAGGCGCGACTCGTTCCTTCTTCATGCAGGCGATGGCCAGCTCAACTGACGCCGACGGGTTGTTTCATCTTGCAGAGAAGTTCGCCCGCCCTCCGTGTCAAACCGGATTCAGGCCCGTTGCCGGTGTTTGCACCTCCTGCCCACAGGGACATTACGCAGTGGCCGGCGAGTCCCAATGTCAGGAATGCCCAAAGGGAGCCGTTCCCACCGCGGATCGGGGCAGTTGCAGAGACTGTCGCTTTGGGACCTCTTCCTTTGAGTGTCGGGACTCATGCGCTTTTCCATTCATGTTGTATCTCGGTCATAGTTGAAATCAGGCTTCTTTCATTAGGACGAATGCTTAGAGTCAAGCACCAACAACGGTCAATAGCGTACCTATCACCAGCAGCCGTCAAGACTATAGAAGATCAATGGCCAGGTATGACCACGGCTGTGAGCTTTGGCCATGGCCGGTTATGATTGTCAGTGTCGTGTCCCTCTTCGTGGCTGTGCAGGCTTCGGGGGGTCCCTGGGCTAGGGCTTTCTTGCTTCATGGCTTAGGGTTTGCCACCATGGTCTTTTGCATTCCTTCAGGGTCGTACGAGGGTCACCGTTTACCAAAGCCCCGGCCCTGAACAGGTCGGGGTGGCCTGGTGGCGTGCGCGTAAAGCTGCGAAGCTCGCTGCCGAGATCAGGGCTGTGAAGGTGCAATCTTTGGCAAAAGCAGAAGCCCAGAAAGAGCTAGTCACTAGTTTTCACAGCTTTACTCTTGTTTCTTGGTTTGCATAAGAGTGAGAGTGGATGCTGATGCCGCTGTGACCCTGTGCTTTGCAAGCGTTGGAGTGAAGCAACACGGAAACTAGATCTAGAGTTTCTACGGTCTTTTCCATTGTAGGAACGGGACAGAACACGGTTGCCATCCTCCTTTGCACTATGTCTGAATGCCTGGCATCGCCTGCCTCGGCCCTGTCGGTGTCGGGCACGGCCGCGGAGGCAGAAAAGCACGGACACGCGAGATCCGGGAGGACATGAAAATGCACAATCGTGCCCTGGGGCCGGTCAATGAAGTGGAGGGGGGAGGGAAACAGAGAGTTCTGTGGAAACCTGCGCCTCTCTTGGGCGTGGGCCGAGGCGGATGATGACCACTGTCGATTTACACAATGGCAAATGCGAGAAAGACATTGGGAATCACGTTGGCTACAGATGCAGTACCTTGTGCCCATGGTAATGGTACTCCACAAAAGCAGGAAGCTGCGCCAGTTTGAATTGACTTTGCCAGTACGATTAGGAAGATGAGTCTTGAAGATGAGGAAGTTGAAACGACAGTAGTATCCACCCATTTTCCATTGTCCATCACTGTCACTGTCCATGAGACCACCAGAAGATAGAACGACCAAAGAACAATGGGCAAGAAATCTTGCCAGTAGTCAGTAGTATGAACAAGGGCAAGCTACAGTAGCTTCGGTTCTACTTTCCATTGTGATAGTCACATTTCACTGGATCATTGACAGGATGAACTTGCAAAGCCCATTGCAATCCTGCGGAGAAAACACTTAGTGTACCCGTAGGAGCCCACAATAAAAAGTTATTTGAACGACGCCACGGTGACACTATACATCCTAAAATCCCTATGTCCGGTCTGAACCTGAAAACTCCAGGCTAGTCCGAGAGTGAGTGTCAAAAAAACTCCAGGCGCAGATGTACGCTGACCTGTGGCAGGAGCAACCGGGCACCGTCGGTGAGTATCTGGGCTAGAGAAGCTATGCAAATCAAGTATGGCTAGCTGCTAGCATCACATGCCGAAAGCAAGCGCCCGAAAAGCATCCAAAAGCATACTGCAAGCAAGGCTTTCCAAGTTGGGCTTGAAGTGCCCTCGCAGGTATTCAGCTCGCTGGGAGAAGCTCGGTGTTGACGAGGCAGAGGTCACCAAGGAGGTGGCAGCAATGCGGGCACAGCAAAGCAAGATCGCAGGAGTTAGCATGCGGTACCTGCTCTCCCAGGAGTTCACAAGTTTGGCCAGGCGGCGAACCGGCATGAATGATCCGACCTTTATTGACATGAAGAAAGCCTTCTGGCTAGCGGCGGACCCGATTGGCGAACATGTTCAGTGTCCGCGGGATGGCAAGATGGGTTGTGCACTTGTGGACTGGATACCCAAGAATGAGCGGCGAGCTCAAACACACTTCCTGTCTTGGGTGTGGGGATACCATATGTCGCAGGTACAAAGTGCATTGAGGATGTACCGCTTGAGTGCTCATTCGGCACCTGCAGCTGAGCACATGTTCTTTTTTATGTGCTTTTTTGTTAATAATCAATATAGAATTATTGTCGAAGAGACAGCTGCGGGCAGTGAGAACCTTGAGACCATCTTCGAGGAGAACCTGAAGCGAAGCGGGCAGATGGTGGCTGTTTTGGACACCTGGCACAAACCAGTGTACCTGAGCAGGATATGGACTGTGTACGAGCAGTTCATGGCTTCCACTCTTCAGATACCCGTCACGATTGTGATGCCAGACTCCGCCATGACGTCTGTTCAGCAGCAGATCTCTTGCGGCAAGCAGGGCATTCAGGAGATCACGGTTTCCTTGAGCCGTGTCGACTCCGAAAATGCAGGGGCATGGAAGAAGGAAGATGAGGCAAAGGTGAAGGGAATCATCGAGGATACCGTGGGTTTCAGGCACGTCAATAGTCACGTGACCGAGGTCATGGTAAGATGGATCGGAGACGTGGTCAAGCATCAGTTTCACGAGTTGATCCAGCAAGCGCAGGGCAGCCAGCAGTCAGAGAATTCTAGGCCGATGAAAGAGCCTGTGGAGACAGTCACGTTTTAGTTTACAACTGTCTTTAAGAAGTCGCATCTGTGCGGCAACCACACCACTGGTCCTTCTTCTTCGTATAGTGGTGGCGGTGGTTGCCACGCTCTAATTCGCAAGTAAATGGCGCTTCCACAGCTCGGGCGTTCCTTGTTTTCGGATGCTGCAGGAATATCCCTTCATAGTCCCGGTAGAGGGGTACTACAATAGTAACACCCCCCCCAAATTTTCCGCAAACCATACAGGTTCTACATGTTGGGCCAAATTTTGGTATGGAAGCGCCCATGGCGCGCTCGATTTTCCCGACAAAGCGGCCGGCAGGGAGGTCTGCTCGAAGCGGTCCCACCTGGTCGCAGCTTGATGCCTACGCTTGATTTACGAAACCTCAATCCGCGAGCTTAATTAGCCACAAGTGCAGAAACGAGGTTTAATTGGTGTAACTGTAAGGCCAAAAGGGCCAGCAAGCATGCAAGCTCGTCCAGTCTGTTCAAAACATTCTGCTCCAACCATGCTCGCATGGCTCTGGCCTCTGGCTTCCTGTCCCTGCCGACAGCTGAAAGAAGAGAGTGTCAAGCTCGAGGTGAACGCGACCGCCGTCTGTGCAGCCAGCTGCGAACGGCTTATGTACCTCAGCTTCGTTGGGGCTGCAGATGCAGAGCTTTAAGATCTGGAGCTTTAGGGTCTTGTAGCTGTGCCGGATACAGTTAAGGTTGTCTCTAAGATTGCAGGCCGAGGGTTTTGATGAGTTGACACTTGAGACTTTTTGTTGCCTTTTGACTGTAGGCTGGCATTACTCATGCCCGCACTTGTAGTAGCTTCTGCTGATTTTTGCTCTGCTGAGTGCTTCTTTCCACCAAGGTGAACATGATGGTGGGGCGTGCTGATTGCCGCTTCTTTGTTGCCCTTTCTTCGCCATCGTGACGACCTCCCAGGCAAGCTCCTGTCCTCTGAGAAGGGTTTGGCAATGCTTGAAGGCTTCGGGTTTTACCTACTAAGCCTTTGCGAGTAGGTCTTACTGTACCTACTCTTCCGGAAGCATTCTGCAGCTTTATGCAGGCCGTGAAGTTATTGTGTTCGCCGAGGTGAGATTGAGGCTGAAGATTGAGGTTTCCTATGCCTTGAATATCCCTGAATCATTATACCTGAGCCCTCAACGCTAAACTGCTGGACCCTGAACCCTATCCGGATCTGTCCACAGCATGCCACCATCTGAAGTCACGCTCTGAAATGTCCTGACTTGGTTAAATGGAGGCTGGAGATGTTGTGTTCTCGATATGACTAGGGCATTTTGTGCGAGTTCCCAGCTTGATGGAAGATGTCGGAGCACATGGGCAGCATCTGTGTCTAGGATCTGCAGAGCTGGCATTCTTTAATGGGGTTCCTACTTGCGAGTGCCAGGAGCAGCGAGTGTCGTCATGAATAAACAAACCTAGGGTTATGAAACCCGAAACCCTGAAACCCAAAACCCAGAACCATAAAGCAGCGCCTAAAGCCCTAGTATTGCGTGGTGCAGCCTTCGCTTGACACCCCGGTAGCAACACCGGAACTAGTGAAAAATTGCAGAGCATCTGAGCATCTAGGGTCCTGCTACGAGCCCTTTGAGGCATCCTTTCAGGATGCTGTTCGGGTTTTGGGTTTAGGGTTTGCCTTGCGATCTGTTGGTTTCGCAGTCTGTCTGCCAGGCTGCCAAGCTCACAGGCACTACATCAGCGCTTCAAGCGCTTTTGAGGTTTCCGAAAGGTTAAGCAATTCAGGGTTTCGAAGGTTTGGGGTTTTCGTTACCGGAAAGTTTTATACAGGAGAAAAGGCTTGGGAAGCTTGATTGGAGCTGCGGGGGTCGATGTCGTGTTCGGGTTTCAAAGGTTTAGGGTCTCCGTTCGGGGTCAGGGTATAAGGTTTGGGGTTCAGGTTTCAAGGTTGTACAGGTCTGAGAGATGAGGTTTCCGTTTTTGGGGCTTAGGGGTTTGGCGTAGACCCAAGAGTTTAGAGTTAGCCCGTTTGATGCGTAGGTGGTTGGTTGGAGTTTTCCGGGCTTGAGGCGAGGTCTGAAGCTTTGCAGCCTGAGGCGGTGCACTTCGAAATCTCAAGGGCTTCAACTTCGTTTTTTTCCCGGACCCCGCACTGCAAAGCCGGAATCCAGCGCCAGTCCCTGAACCGTACTTAGTACTTCTGACTTCCTTTGGTGCCTTGGACCCTTTGTTTCTGTGGGAGGCCGCTGCAGATGCAGCTGGCGCGTGCGCGAGAGCTGCTGGATAGGGGCGCGCATACTTGTTTGGAGTGTCCTTGTACTAAATACGAGTTCTTTGGGGTCTATAGTAGAGTCGATGATCTCTTTCACTGCCCTGGTTGTTGTTTGGCTGTTTGCCATTGAAGGTGAACTGCTAGTGAATGTAAACTTGCCAGCCGCAGGGCCGCAACAGGCAGTGCTCAAGCTGACTGCCCGAATGACCGAGTCACGTCTTTGCCAAGCCTTCAGAATGAACCAGACAGCCTCCTGCACGCTTACACCCTCATGCCTCGCCTAGAAAGCCCGAGCACACCTGGAACCAGAAGCCACGACTCCAGGCCTCTAGACCATCCAGCCACCGAACTTCAGCAGCTATGAATATCTGAGCCCGTAGCCTTCGGATTCCGAAACCTATGAACCCGCAGGCACAAATCCGGCCGGCCACATCCCCAACCGCAACGTGACCCAGGTAAGCTAAAACATACTAAGACCCTTTAAGCATGAGATAGCACTTTGCCCAAGATCCACGGAAGGGTTCCATTTGCACAGGCTTCCAATGCGGTGACGCCGCTGAGTCTCCGGCTTCGCGCCGCGACCTGAGATGGGAGTTTCCGAAAATTAGGGGTTCCTTATTTTGGGGCCCTTATAGTAAGGATCCCACTATTTATTTAGGGTACTATCTTAGGGTCCCCTAATTTTCGGAAACTCCCAGATCGTGAGATCGCTTTCCTGGTGTTGGTCAGCTTCGGAAGCTTCAGGATCCTCTTCTGGCTGCTGCCCCACTTGTCGATGCTGCTAGTGCTTTAGCAGTGCTTCAGTTCCGAAAGACTTCTTGCGCTCTTTTCCGCCAGAGGCGTGGATCTGCTTCTTGGACATCGCCATTGAGGTGGGGCCGGGCGCACAGAGGGGACAGGAGCGAACGGCAACCCTAAACCGCCCAAGAGCCTATATAGTCTCTACCTTGAAGTCTGGTCTAGTGTCGTCTCTGCAGTGAGCTGGGTGGGAAAAAAGCTTTGAGGGAGAAGAACTCAGGAGGCCAGGATGCCCCCCAAAGGCCCAAAGGCCACAGAGTGGATCTCTTTAGAAATGTGATAACAATAAGAACCGTAACGAAAAACTAATAACAATAGTAACAATAATATTCGTATCAGTCTGGTCAAGTTTTAGCGTGATTTCTGGCAAAGGCGGCCGCTTCTTGGAAACGGTGGCCTTGGGGTTCAGAGTTTTGGGCAGAGTTTGACGCTGTTCCTCCAAGAGTCGGTGGTACGGGGTACGGGGTATAGGGCTATGGAGCGATATCCGAAGGATACCAGTCTCAAGTACTACGTAATGCTCCGGTATCTTACATAGCAGCAGCTAGCAAGCCCGATCGCAATTGGTTGAGTGTTGCATCAGAGATCCTCTGGCCGGGAAGCTTCCTAGCTCTCGAACATCCTGAACCATAGACCCTTCCTCTAAACCCTAAGCCCTAATCCCTGAACCCTGAGTAGTACCAAGTAGGAGGGGGAAAAAGTACCAAGGCCATGCCTTCAGGCCTTCCTTGCACCCTCCACGCCTTCGGCACACCTCGACCGTTCGTTGCGTTTCTACATCAGTGGCTTGCGCCAGGATGGAGGTAGCCAGGTTCTCGTGCAAAGGGGACCGAGATACAATCTGGCAACTTCTCGGAACAGAACTAGGCCAATAGGGGCAAAGCACAGCAGCATTGACAAGAGTATCTGTTATCTGAGTATCCCGCTACTTCTCGTAGATTTCTACTGCGTCTTGCGTGCGCGGCTGATTGCATGGCCATGATCATCGTTCTGCTGGCACTCTGCTCGACTCTTGGGAGCTGCTCTCGTGCGTTGCGCACGCGGCGTCTCAGCTGAATCCAAGTCCCAGAATGGCTAAGCCTTTGAGCACGTCTCCGGTTCTGAACTTTGAAGTAGTCGCCAGTTTTCCGACCATCCCCTATCATCGTCATTGCATGACCACTAGTTCTGCTACACTTTCGTCATCGATACTTCAGCAGCACTTGTGTCAGCCTTGTGACTGCGGCAACTCAAAGAAGACAACAACAAGTTTCTAGTAGTCCAGGTTTTGGGGATGCTTTTAGGGCTTACATAGGCTGAAAGCTTAAGGGTTAGGGCCTAGGGTTTGAGGACATCGTCTTTGACCCCCTTGAAATGAGGCTCGAGTTGCGCGAGGCTGTGGTTGCTTGGGCAAATGGTTCAGCAGGACGCTCCCGGGGCTCAGTCTCGAGACAGTTCTCGGTGATCCTGGAGTACACGAGTACACCAAAATATGTCTGTCATTATTTTGACAACCCCCCATGCGTCTGTCACTGGTGCAGGGCTGAGGAGAGACTGAAATCATGCGATGAGTGTCACGCCCAAGCATCCACCACATCTATTGCCGAGTTATAATTCGGGCAACTACCATTATAACCCTTTTTAGGGGGCGTATAACCCCACTTATAACCATGAAGCTCCAAGTACCAGGGGTGGCAGAGCAACATCAGGCGACACAGGCTGAGACTGAGACGACGGCAACAAGAACTGTTTGGTCCTCATGTTCGCATAGCTATCACGCAAACCGTCCGCAAACCTTTCAGCCCCCTGGCAAGAATCAACAGACACCGCAACCCAGGTGGATTCCTTGTCAGCCGCACCTACAAAACCAAGCCTCCATCCCGAAACCCATAAAACTCGAAGCCAACATTCTAAAGCCTCAGCTCTGCTGTTCTGACAGGAAGGAGGGACCTTGCTGCGACATACGGTGACATTGCGAACTGGGATGTTTCTGGCGTGAGCAACATGAGCGGTTTGTTCCAGGACCCCCAAGCAAAAATCTGAAGGCTTCAGGGCAGAAGCAGAACTCTACCTGGCTGAAGCTGTTGCGCTGCTGCTTGTGCCAGTGCTGGATATTGCTCCCTGAGGACCTTCCCATGTTCAACGAAGATCTCCGTTTGTGGAATACTTCATCAGTGACCGATATGCGCGGAATGTTTAAGAACGCACGCGCCTTCAATCAGCCGATTGGAGCATGGGACACAGCAGCTGTCATGGACATGAGCAAGATGTTCGAGAAGGCGCATGCTTTCAACCAGCCGGTCGGTTCGTGGAACACATCAGCTGTAACCACCATGGAGGACATGTTCTGTGATGCTCACGCTTTCAACCAACCAGTTGGCTCATGGGATACATCCCAGGTGAAGGACATGAATGCAATGTTTGACAACGCGCACGTGTTCAATCAGCCCATCGGTTTGTGGAATACATCAGCTGTCACGGACATGCGGTTCATGTTCTCCGATGCTCACGCCTTCAACCAATCAGTTGGCTCATGGGATACATCTCACGTGAAGAACATGTCCGCAATGTTCCAGAACGCTTATGTGTTGAATCAGCCCCTCGGTTCGTGGAACACGCAGGCAGTCACCGACATGGGCTGGATGTTCTTCGGGGCGCAGGCATTCAACCAGCCGATCGGTTCATGGGATGTCTCGGCAGTTGCGAGTATGAAGGCCATGTTCTGCAAAGCCACTTCTTTCAATCAGCCTGTGGGCTCGTGGAACACATCATCTGTGACCGACATGGACTCGATGTTCGAGAATGCGAAAGCTTTCAACCAGCCCATCGGTTCCTGGGACACCTCAGCTGTAACTACCATGCAGTTCATGTTCTCCGATGCGCTCGCCTTCAACCAATCAGTTGGCTCATGGGATACATCTCACGTGAAGAACATGTTCGCAATGTTCCAGAACGCTTATGTGTTGAATCAGCCCCTCGGTCTGTGGAACACGCAGGCAGTCACCGACATGGGCTGGATGTTCTTCGGGGCGCAGGCATTCAACCAGCCGATCGGTTCATGGGATGTCTCGGCAGTTGCGAGTATGGAGGCTATGTTCTGCAGGGCCACTTCATTCAATCAGCCTGTGGGCTCGTGGAACACATCTTCGGTAACAAGCATGCGTTCAATGTTCGAGAACGCGAAAGCTTTCAGCCAGCCTATTGGTGCATGGGACGTTTCGGCAGTTGCGAGTATGAAGTCCATGTTCATGAATGCGCATGCCTTCAACCAACCAGTTGGCTCGTGGAACACATCTCTGGTGACAAGCATGCGTTCCATGTTCGAAGACGTGCATGCTTTCAATCAGCCCATCGGCTCGTGGAATACGGCAGCAGTTACTGACATGAGCTGGATGTTCTTCGGTGCCCAAGCATTCAACCAGCCGGTCGGTTCATGGGATGTCTCGGCAGTTGCGAGTATGAAGGCCATGTTCTGCAAGGCCACTTCTTTCAATCAGCCTGTGGGCTCATGGAACACATCTCTGGTAACAAGCATGCATTCAATGTTCGAGAAGGCGAAGGTTTTCAACCAGCCCATCGGTTCGTGGAAGACATCAGCTGTAACCACCATGCGGAACATGTTCTGGGATGCTCACGCCTTCAACCAGCCAGTTGGCTCATGGGATACATCCCAGGTGAAGGACATGAATGCAATGTTTGACAACGCGTATGTGTTCAATCAGCCCATCGGCTCGTGGAATACGGCAGCAGTTACTGACATGAGCTGGATGTTCTTCGGTGCCCAAGCATTCAACCAGCCGGTCGGTTCATGGGATGTCTCGGCAGTTGCGAGTATGAGGGCCATGTTCTGCAAGGCCACTTCTTTCAATCAGCCTGTGGGCTCGTGGAACACATCTCTGGTAACAAGCATGCGTTCAATGTTCGAGAAGGCGAAGGTTTTCAACCAGCCCATCGGTTCGTGGAAGACATCAGCTGTAACCAGCATGCAGAACATGTTCTGGGAAGCTCACGCCTTTAACCAGCCAGTTGGCTCATGGGATACATCCCAGGTGAAGGACATGAATGCAATGTTCGACAACGCGTATGTGTTCAATCAGCCCATCGGTTCGTGGAATACGGCAGCAGTTACTGACATGAGCTGGATGTTCTTCGGTGCCCAAGCATTCAACCAGCCGGTCGGTTCATGGGATGTCTCGGCAGCTGCGAGTATGAGGGCCATGTTCTGCAAGGCCACTTCTTTCAATCAGCCTGTAGGCTCGTGGAACACATCTCTGGTAACAAGCATGCGTTCAATGTTCGAGAAGGCGAAGGTTTTCAACCAGCCCATCGGTTCGTGGAAGACATCAGCTGTAACCAGCATGCAGAACATGTTCTGGGATGCTCACGCCTTTAACCAGCCAGTTGGCTCATGGGATACATCCCAGGTGAAGAAAATGCATGCAATGTTTGAAAACGCGTATGTGTTCAATCAGCCCATCGGTTCGTGGAATACGGCAGCAGTCACTGACATGAGCTGGATGTTCTTCGGTGCCCAAGCATTCAACCAGCCGGTTGGTTCATGGGATGTCTCAGCAGTTGCGAGTATGAGGGCCATGTTCTGCAAGGCCACTACTTTCAATCAGCCTGTAGGCTCGTGGAACACATCTCTGGTAACAAGCATGCGTTCAATGTTCGAGAAAGCGAAGGCTTTCAACCAGCCCATCGGTTCGTGGAAGACATCAGCTGTAACCACCATGCGGAACATCTTCTGGGATGCTCACGCCTTCAACCAACCAGTTGGCTCATGGGATACATCCCAGGTGAAGGACATGAATGCAATGTTTGACAACGCGTATGTGTTCAATCAGCCCATCGGTTCGTGGAATACGGCAGCAGTCACTGACATGAGCTGGATGTTCTTCGGTGCCCAAGCATTCAACCAGCCGGTCGGTTCATGGGATGTCTCGGCAGCTGCGAGTATGAGGGCCATGTTCTGCAAGGCCACTTCTTTCAATCAGCCTGTAGGCTCGTGGAACACATCTCTGGTAACAAACATGCGTTCAATGTTCGAGAAGGCGAAGGTTTTCAACCAGCCCATCGGTTCGTGGAAGACATCAGCTGTAACCACCATGCAGAACATGTTCTTGGATGCTCACGCCTTCAACCAGCCAGTTGGCTCATGGGATACATCCCAGGTGGAGGACATGAATGCAATGTTTGACAACGCGTACGTGTTCAATCAGCCCATCGGTTCGTGGAATACGGCAGCAGTCACTGACATGAGCTGGATGTTCTTCGGTGCCCAAGCATTCAACCAGCCGCTCGGTTCATGGGATGTCTCGGCAGTTGCGAGTATGAGGGCCATGTTCTGCAAGGCCACTACTTTCAATCAGCCTGTAGGCTCGTGGAACACATCTCTGGTAACAAGCATGCGTTCAATGTTCGAGAAAGCGAAGGCTTTCAACCAGCCCATCGGTTCGTGGAAGACATCAGCTGTAACCACCATGCAGTTCATGTTTCTTGATGCGCGTGCCTTCAACCAACCAGTTGGCTCATGGGATACATCCCAGGTGAAGAACATGCATGCAATGTTTGACAACGCGTATGTGTTCAATCAGCCCATCGGTTCGTGGAATACGGCAGCAGTCACTGACATGAGCTGGATGTTCTTCGGTGCCCGAGCATTCAACCAGCCAGTCGGTTCATGGGATGTTTCGGGAGTTGCGCGTATGAAGGCTATGTTCTGCAAGGCCACTTCGAAAATCAGCCTGTGGGCTCATGGAACACATCTCTGGTAACAAGCATGCATTCAATATTCGAGAGGGCGAATGTGTTCAATCAGCCCATCGGCTCGTGGAGTACGGCAGCAGTCACGGATATGAGCAGGATGTTCTTTCAGGCTTATGACTTCAACCAGCCCATCGGTTCATGGGACACATCGTCGGTGACCAACATGAACCGGATGTTCTACGCTGCAAAGGCTTTCAATCAGCCTGTTGGCTCATGGGATGTGTCAAGAGTGACAGACATGGGGGCTGTCTTCTGCCGAGCGAGTCGCTTCAACCAACCCCTCGCCTCCTGGAATGTGTCTGCCGTTCTGTCGATGACTGCAATGTTTGCGAGAGCACTCGCGTTCAACACGCCCATTAGCTCATGGGATACTGCAGCCGTGCGTGCAATGTCGCTCATGTTCAAAAATGCGGCTGTCTACAACCAGCCCATCTCTTCCTGGAACACGTCGGCGGTTACTGACATGAGCGGCATGTTCTATGCTGCCCGTGCCTTCAATCAGCCCATCGGTGGCTGGGATACCTCAGCGGTAACGAACATGAATGGCATGTTCACGCTTGCTGCGGCGTTCAACCAGCCCATCGGGTCCTGGAATATATCTGCCGTAACAGATATGTCTTTCATGTTTCGTGACGCGACTGCTTTCGACCAGGCTCTTGGCTCTTGGAGCACATCACGTGTTGTCAAGATGAGGGGCATGTTCTACGCAGCGGTTGTATTCAATCACCCACTCGCTGCATGGACTACATCTTCGGTGGTGGACATGAACTCGATGTTTCGCAAGGCCTATTCCTTCAATCAGCCTCTTCATTCCTGGGTTACATCAAAGGTAGCAACCATGAAGGGGATGTTTGCCGGCGCGGTGTCCTTCAATCAGCCGCTCTCGTCATGGAACACATCAGCAGTGACAGATATGAGCTTCATGTTCCAGAAGGCCTTCGCGTTTGATCGCTGGATAGGCTGCTGGGACACATCAGCTGTGAGGGACATGCAGGGAATGTTTTCTGGAGCTCACGCATTCAACCAGTCTCTTACTACCTGGGATACTGCAAAAGTGACAGATATGAGCGGTATGTTTGGAGCAGCAGTTGCCTTTAATCAGCCTGTTGGCGAATGGGATACCTCGGCTGTTACAGACTTCAGCCACATGTTTCATGAAGCTTCTTCGTTCAATCAGCCGCTCTCCTCTTGGCAAACGAGGGCTGTGACAGACATGCAGAGCATGTTTGACGGTGCTCACACATTCAACCAGCCTATCGGTTCGTGGAACACTGCAGCAGTAACCAACATGCACGCCATGTTTCGGCATGCTTCGGTGTTCAATCAGCCGCTTGGCTCGTGGGACATGTCGGCTGTCGTGGATGCCAGCTACATGTTCTATGCTGCATCTGTTTTTGACCAGCCCCTCGACTCGTGGAATATGTCGGCATTAACGGATGCAAGCTTCATGTTTCAGCTTGCCGTTTCGTTCGACCGCGTGAGTGATGTGGAGGGCTGGCACTCAGCATCGTCACCCGTGAACCACACGGACACGACTCCTTCCTTCTTCGAGCAGGCGATGGCCAGATCAACCAAGACCGACGAGTTTTCTCATCTTGCAGAGGAGTTCGCCCGCCCGCCGTGTCAAGCCGGATTCGGGCCGGGTTCTGGTGTTTGCACCTCCTGCCCAAAGGGGCAGTATGCAGAGGCCGGCGAGTCCCAATGTCAGGAATGCCCAAAGGGAGCCGTTCCCACCGCGGATCGGGGCAGTTGCACGGACTGTCCCTTTGGGGCGTATTACCTGGAGTGTCGTGAATCATGTGCTTTTCCCTTCATGTTGTATCTCGGTCATAGTTGATTTCAGGCTTCTTTCATTATGACGAATGCTTAGAGTCAAGCACCAACAACGGTCAATAACGTATGTATCACCAGAAGCCGTCGAGACTATAGAAGATCAATGGACCAGGTATGACCACGGCTGTGAGCTTTGGCCATGGCCGGTTATGATTGTCAGCGTCGTGTGCCTCTTCGTGGCCGTGCAGGCTTCGGTGAGGGGGGCCTGGGCTAAGGCATTGTTTGCCACAATGTTGTTTTGCATTCCTTCAGGGTCGTACAAGGGTCACCGTTTACCAAAGCCCCAGCCCTGAACAGGTCGGGGTGGCCTGGTGGCGTGCCCGTAAAGCTGCGAAGCTCGCTGCCGAGATCAGGGCTGTGAAGGTGCACTCTTTTGCGAAAGAAGAAGCCCGAAAAGAGCTAGTCACTTGTTTTCACGGCTTTACTATTGTTTCTTGATTGGCGTAAGAGTGGCTAAGCTGAGTGGATGCTGATGCCACTGTGATGCTGCACTTTGCAAGCGTCGGAATGATGCAAGACGGAAACTAGACTTTCTACGGTCTTTTCCATGGTAGGACCGGAAAAGATATTGGTTGCCATCCTCCTTTGCACTAAGTCTGAATTCCTGGCCGCCTCGGCCCTGTCGGGCGCGGCCGCGGAGGCAGAAAAGGGAAAGACTGCCTGCGGACACGGGAGATCCAGGAGGACATAAACATGCACAATCGCGCCTTGGGGCCAGTCAATGAAATTTGATGGGCGGAGGGACGCAGAGAGTTCTGTGGAAACCTGCCCCTGCTTGGGGCTGCGGCCGGGGCGAATTCTGACCACTGTCGATTAAAACAGTGGAATACTGGGAGAAAGACATTGGGAATTACATGGATTTACACTGGCTACAGTTTGCAGTACCTTGTGTCCATGGTAATGGTACTCCACAAAAGCAGGAAGCTGCACCACTTTGCTTGAACTTTGCCAGTACGATTGGGGAAGATGAGGAAGCGGAAAAGACAGCAGTATCCATCCGTTTTCCATTGCCCACCACTGTCCATTAGACCACCAGAAGATAGAATTACCAAAGAACAATGGACAAGCACTCTGAGCTTTGCATGAACAACTGCCCCAATCTCAAAGTTCTTGTCTATTGTTCTTTGCCAATTCTATCTTCTGGTGGTCTAATGTGGCGTTGCCAGTAATATGAACAGAGCGAGGCGAAGCTACAGTAGCTTCGGTTCTACTTTTGACTGTGATAGTCATGGTTCACTGGATCTTGACAGCATGAATTTGCAAATCCCCCGGCATACAACCCTGCAGAAAACACCTGCGTAGTGTTACCTGTAGGAGCTCTCTAAGCAGTAGGTTGCACGACACCCTAACATCCCTAAGTCCTGTCCGAAGCTTGAAGACTCCAGGTGCAGATGTACGATGACCTGTGGCCGGAGCTCCCGGGCACCGTCGCTGAGTATCTGGGCTAAAGAAGCTATGCAAATCTAGTATGGCTAGCTGCTAGCATCAGGTGCCGACAGCAAGCGCCCAAAAGCATCCAAAGGCATGCTGCGAGGTTTTCCAAGTTGAGCTTAAGTGTCCTCGCAGGTATTTAGCTCGCTTGGAGAAGCTCGGTGTTGACGAGGCGGAGGTGGCCAAGGAGGTGGCAGCAATGCGGGCACGGCAAAGCAAGATCGCAGGAGTTAGCATGCGGTACCTCCTCTCCCAGGATTTCACAAGTTTGGCCAGGCAGCGAACCGGCATGAGTGATCCGACCTTTAACGACATGAAGAGAGCCTTCTGGCTGGCCGCGGACCCGATTGGCGAACATGTTCAGTGTCCGCGGGATGGCAAGATGGGTTGTGCCCTTGTGGACTGGATACCCAAGGATGAGCGGCGAGCTCAAACACACTTCCTGTCTTGGGTGTGGGGATACAATATCTCGCAGATACAAAGTGCATTGAGGATGTACCGCTTGAGTGCTCATCTGGCTGAACACATGTTCTTTTTTATGTGCTTTTTTGTTAATAACCAGTATAGAATTATTGTCGAAGAGAAAGCTGCGGGCAGTGAGAACCTTGAGACCATCTTCGAGGAGAACCTCAAGCGGAGCGGGCAGATGGTGGCCATTTTGGACACCTGGCACAAGCCAGTGTACCTGAGCAGGATATGGACTGTGTACGAGCAGTTCATGGCTTCCACGCTTCAGATACCCGTCACGATTGTAATGCCAGAGTCCGCCATGACATCTGTTAAGCAGCAAATCTCTTGCGGCCAGCAGGGCATTCAAGAGATCACGATATCCTTGAGCCATGTCGACTCCGAACATGCAGGCGCATGGAAGAGGGAAGATGAGACGAAGGTGAAGGGCGCCATCGAGGAGACAGTTGGTTTCAGGCACGTCAACAGTCACGTGACGGAGGTCATGGTAAGATGGATCGGAGACGTGGTCAAGCATCAGTTTCACGAGTTGATCCAGCAAGCGCAGGGCAGCCAGCAGTCACAGAATTCGAGGCCGATGAAAGAACCTGTGGAGACAGTCACCTTTTAATTTGAAACTCACTTTAAAGAGTTGCATCTGCATGGCAACCACACTACTGGTCCTTCTTCTTCGTATAGTGGTGGCGGCGGTTGCCACGCTCTAATTCGCGCGTAAATGGCGCTTCCAAAGCTCGGGCGTTCCTTGTTTCGGATGCTACAGGAATGTCCCTTCATAGTTCCGGTAGAGGCTTAGTACAACAGTAACACCCCAAATTTTTCCTCAGACCAGACAGGTTCTACATGTTGGGCCCCAAATTTTGCCATGGAAGCGCCCATGGCGCGCTCGATTTTCCCGACAAAGCTGCCGGCAGGGAGGCCTGCTCGAAGCGGTCCCTCCTGGTCGCAGCTTGATGCTTACGCTTGATTTACGAAACCTCAATCCGCGAGCTTAATTAGCCACAAGTGCAGAAACGAGGTTTAATTGGTGTAAGGCCAATAGTGCCAGCAAGCATGCAAGCTCGTCCAGTCTGTTTAAAACATTCTGCTCCAACCATGCTCGCATGGCTCTGGCCTCTGGCTTCCTGTCCCTGCCGACAGCTGAAAGAAGAGAGTGTCAAGCTCGAGGTGAACAGCCAGCTGCGAACGGCTTATGTGCCTCAGCTCCGTTGGGCTGCAGATGCAGAGCTTTAAGATCTGGAGCTTTTAGGTTTTGTAGCTGTGCTGGATTCAATGAAAGTGTTCTCCAAGGTTGCAGGCCGAGGGTTTTGATGAACTGACACTTGAGACTTTTGCCTTTTGACTGTAGACTGGCATTACTCATGCTCGTACTTGCAGTAGCTTCTGGTAATCTTTGCTCTGCTGCGTGCTTTTTCCATCAAGGTGAACATGATGGTGGGGCGTGCTGATTGCCGCTTCTTTGTTGCCCTTCCGTCGCCATCGTGACGACCTCCCAGGCAAGCTCCCGTCCTTTGAGAAGGGTTTGGCGGTTTGGCAATGCTTGAAGGCTTCGGGTTTTTACCTACTTACCTGAGCCCTCAACGCTAAACTGCTGAACCCTGAACCCTATCCGGATCTGCCCACAGCATGCCACCAGGGTCGGTCTTTATTTTGAATTCAAGCCCTGAAATGTCCTGACTTGGTTACATGGAAGCAGGAAATGTCGTGTTCTCGATATGACGAGCATTTCGTGCGAGTTCCCAGCCTGATGGAAGATGTCGGAGGTGCTTCAAGCTACTGGCACGAGCACATGGGCAGCTTCTGTGTCCAGGATTTGCAAAGCTGGCATTCTTTAATGGGCTTCCTGCTTGCGAGTACCAGGAGCAGAGAGTGTCGGCAAGAATCAGCGAACCTAGATCTTAGGTTCGTCCTAGCCAGGCGGGAGGCAAAACAAATCAATGAAGCTAGGGTTTAGAAACCCAAAACCCTGAAACCCAAAACCCAGAACCCTAAAGCCCTAGTATTGTGGTGCAGCCTTCGCTTAACACCCCGGTAGCAACACCGGAACTACTGAAAAATTGCAGAGCATCTGAGCATCTAGGGTCCTGCTACGAGCCCTTTGAGGCATCCTTTCAGGATGCTGTTCGGGTTTTGGGTTTAGGGTTTGCCTTGCGATCTGTTGGTTTCGCAGTCTGTCTGCCAGGCTGCCAAGCTCACAGGCACTACATCAGCGCTTCAAGCGCTTTTGGGGTTTCCGAAAGGTTAAGCAATTCAGGGTTTCGAAGATTTGGGGTTTTAGTTACCGGAAAGTTTTATACATAAAAAAAGGCTTGGGAAGCTTGATTGGAGCTGCAGGTGTCGATGTCGTGTTCGGGTTTCAAAGGTTTAGGGTCTCCGTTCGGGGTCAGGGTATAAGGTTTGGGGTTCAGGTTTCAAGGTTGGACAGGTCTGAGAGATTGAGTTTTCCGTTTTTGGGGCTTACGCGTTTGGCGTAGACTCAAGAGTTTGAGAGTTCACCCGTTTGATGCGTAGGTGGTTGGTTGGAGTTTTCCGGGCTTGAGGCGAGGTCTGAAGCTTTGCAGCCTGAGGCGGTGCACTTCGAAATCTCGAGGGCTTCAACTTCGTTTCTTTCCCGGACCCCGCACTACAAAGCCGGAATCCAGCACAAATCCGTGAACCGTACTTCCGACTTCCCTTGGAACTTTGTTTCTGTGGGAGGTCGCAGCAGATGCAGCTGCCACGTGCGCGAGAGCTGCTGGATAGGGGCCCGCATACTTGTTGGGAGTGTCCTCATACTAGATACGAGTTCTTTGGGTTTATAGTAGAGTCGATGATCTCTTTCACTGCCCTGGTTGTTGTTTGGCTGCTTGCCATTGAAGACGAACTGCTAGTGAATGCAAACTTGCCAGCAGCGGGGTCGCAACAGGCAGTGCTCAAGCTGACTGCCCGAATGACCGAGTCACGTCTTTGCCAAGCCTTCAGAATGAACCAGTCTCAGACAGCCTCCTGCACGCTTACACCCTCATGCCAAAGCCCGAGCACACCTGGAACCAGAAGCCACGACTCCAGGCCTCTAGACCATCCAGCCACCGAACTTCAGCAGCTATGAATATCTGAGCCCGTGGGCTTCGGATTCCGAAACCTCTGAACCCTCAGGCACAAATCCGGCCACATCCCCAAACGCAACGTGACCAGGTAAGCTAAAACATACTAAGACCCTTTAAGCATGAGATAGCACTTTGCCCAAGATCCACGGAAGGGTTCCATTTGCACAGGCTTCCAATGCGGTGACGCCGCTGAGTCTCCGGCTTCGCGCCGCGACCTGAGATGGGAGTTTCCGAAAATTAGGGGTTCCTTATTTTGGGGCCCTTATAATAAGGATCCTACTATTTATTTAGGGTACTATATTAGGGTCCCCTAATTTTCGGAAACTCCCAGATCGTGAGATCGCTTTCCTGGTTTTGGTCAGCTTCGGAAGCTTCAGGATCCTCTTCTGGGTGCTGCCCCACTTGTCGATGCTGCTAGTGTTGTGAAGCCCCTTAGACCTAACTCTATGATTTGCGGAAATAATATTTTGCAAAAAAAATGCAAAACAAATGGGTTCCAAAATGCGAAAGGGCCCCCAAAAAATGGGTTCCAGGTGTCGGGAAAATGGGTCCGCAAATCATTCCCGGGTCCAAAAATGGGTCCAAAAATGGGTCCAAAAATGGGTCCAAAAATGGGTCCGAAAATGGGTCCGGAAATGGGTCCCGGGAGGCTAGTTTGGCCAAAACCCTAGCAAAATGCAGAAAAAATGGGTCCGGAAATGGGGCCGAAAATGGGTCCGGAAATGGGTCCCGGGAGGCTGGTTTGGCCAAAACCCTAGCAAAATGCAGAAAAAATGGGTCCGGAAATGGGTCCGGAAGTGGATCCCGGGAGGCTAGTTTCGCCAAAACCCTAGCAAAATGCAGAAAAAATGGGTCGGGTTTTTGCAATAAGTTGCCTGCCGGATGCATTTCCGGACCCATTTCCGGACCCATTTCCGGACCCATTCCAAACCCATTTCCGGACCCATTTCTGGACCCATTGTTTTCGCATTTCGGAACCAATTGTTTTTGCAAATGTTTCGGAATAATCTTATTTCATAGAAACATAGGAGTTAGGTCATGAGGGGGCTTCACAATGCTAGTGCTTTAGCAGTGCTTCAGTTCCGAAAGACTTCTTGCGCGCTTTTCCGCCAGAGGCTTGGATCTGCTTCTTGGACATCGCCATTGAGGTGGGGCCGGGCGCACAGAGGGGACAGGAGCGAACGGCAACCCTAAACCGCCCAAGAGCCTATACAGTCTCTACCTTGAAGTCTGGTCTAGTGTTGTCTCTGCAGTGAGCTAGATGTGAAAAAGCCCTGAGGGAGTCGACAGCAGGAGGTGAGCTCAGGAGGCCAGGATGCCCCTCAAAGGCCCAAAGGCCACAGAGTGGATCTCTTTAGAAATGTGATAGCAATTTTAACAATGTAACCGTAATGAGAAACGATACTAACAACAGTAACAATAGTAATAATAGCACCAGTCTGGTCAAGTTTTAGGCTGATTTCTGGCAAAGGCGGCCACTTCTTCGAAACGGTGGCCTTGGGGTTCAGAGTTTTGGGCAGAGTTTGATACTGTTCCTCCACGAGTCGGTGGTACGGGGTACGGGGTATAGGAGCGATATGCGAAGGATACAAGTCTCAAGTGCTACGCAATGCTCCCGTATCTTACATGGGTAATTGTCAAAATTAGGGTCCCTTTTTGGGTACCCTAAATATTAGGTGCCGTATTATAAAAGGGACCCAAAAAGGGACCCTAATTTTGACAACCACCCACATAGCAGCAGCTAGAAAGCCCGATCGCAATTGGTTGAGTGTTGCATCAGAGATCCTCTGGCCGGGAAGCTTCCTAGCTCTTCGAACATCCTGAACCATAGACCCTACCTCTAAACCCTAAGCCCTAATCCCTGAACCCTGAGTAGTACCAAGTAGGAGGGGGAAAAACAGTACCAAGGCCATGCCTTCAGGCCTTCCTTGCACCCTCCACGCCTTCGGCACACCTCGGCCGTTCGTTGCGTTTCTACATCAGTGGCTTGCGCCAGGATGGAGGTAGCCAGGTTCTCGTGCAAAGGGGACCGAGATACAATCTGGCAACTTCTCGGAACAGAACTAGGCCAACAAGGGCAAAGCACAGCAGCATTGACAAGAGTATCTGTTATCTGAGTATCCCGCTACTTCTCGTAGATTTCTACTGCGTCTTGCGTGCGCGGCTGATTGCATGGCCATGATCATCGTTCTGCTGGCACTCTGCTCGACTCTTGGGAGCTGCTCTCGTGCGTTCCGCACGCGGCGTCTCAGCTGAATCCAAGTCCCAGAATGGCTAAGCCTTTGAGCACGTCTCCGGTTCTGAACTTTGAAGTAGTCGCCAGTTTTCCGACCATCCCCTATCATCGTCATTGCATGACCACTAGTTCTGCTACACTTTCGTCATCGATACTTCAGCAGCACTTGTGTCAGCCTTGTGACTGCGGCAACTCAAAGAAGACAACAACAAGTTTCTAGTAGTCCAGGTTTTGGGGATGCTTTTAGGGCTTACATAGGCTGAAAGCTTAAGGGTTAGGGCCTAGGGTTTGAGGACATCGTCTTTGACCCCCTTGAAATGAGGCTCGAGTTGCGCGAGGCTGTGGTTGCTTGGGCAAATGGTTCAGCAGGACGCTCCCGGGGCTCAGTCTCGAGACAGTTCTCGGTGATCCTGGAGTACACGAGTACACCAAAATATGTCTGTCATTATTTTGACAACCCCCCATGCGTCTGTCACTGGTGCAGGGCTTAGGAGAGACTGAAATCATGCGATGAGTGTCACGCCCAAGCATCCACCACATCTATTGCCGAGTTATAATTCGGGCAACTACCATTATAATCCTTTTTAGGGGGCGTATAACCCCACTTATAACCATGAAGCTCCAAGTACCAGGGGTGGCAGAGCAACATCAGGCGACACAGGCTGAGACTGAGACGACGGCAACAAGAACTGTTTGGTCCTCATGTTCGCATAGCTATCACGCAAACCGTCCGCAAACCTTTCAGCCCCCTGGCAAGAATCAACAGACACCGCAACCCAGGTGGATTCCTTGTCAGCCGCACCTACAAAACCAAGCCTCCATCCCGAAACCCGTAAACCCGCGAAGCCAAACATTCGACAGCCTCAGCTCTGCGGTTCTGACAGGAAGAGGGGACCTTGCGGCGACATACGGTGACATTGCGAGCTGGGATGTTTCTGGCGTGAGCAACATGAGCGGTTTGTTCCAGGACCCCCAAGCACAAATCTGAAGGCTTCAGGGCATAACTCTACAAAGCTGGAGCTGTTGGTGCTTGAGCTAGTGCTCGGTAGTGCTCCCAGAGGACCTTCCCATGTTCAACGAAGATCTCCGTTTGTGGAATACTGCATCAGTGACCGATATGCGTGGAATGTTTGAGAACGCCCTCGTCTTTAATCAGCCAGTTGGAGCATGGGACACATCAGCGGTGATGGACATGAGCAAGATGTTCAAGGGAGCTCGTGCATTCGACCAGCATATCGATTCGTGGAACACCTCAGCTGTCACGGACATGCGTGGGATGTTCCTTGATGCTCACGCCTTCAACCAACCGGTTGGCTCGTGGGATACATCTCAGGTGAAGAACATGCGTTCAATGTTTTCGAGTGCTTTTGTGTTCAACCAGCCGATCGTTTCGTGGAATGTCGCAGCAGTGACAGACATGAGCTGGATGTTCTTCGCCGCCAAGGCATTCAACCAGCAGATTAACTCATGGGATGTCTCGACAGTTGCGAGCATGAAGGCTATGTTCTGCCAGGCCACTTCTTTCAACCAGCCTGTGGGCTCATGGAACACCTCTGCCGTGATCAACATGCAAGCGATGTTCGAGGATGCGCACGCTTTCAACCAGCCGATCGGTTCGTGGAACACATCAGCCGCAACCACCATGAAGAACATGTTCTTCGACGCTCATGTTTTCAACCAGCCAGTTGGCTCATGGGACATATCCAAGGTGACAGACATGGCCGGAATGTTCGACAATGCTTATGTGTTCAATCAGCCGATCGGTTCGTGGAATACGTCAGCGGTTGCAGACATGAGCTGGATGTTTTTCGGTGCCCAAGCATTCAACCAGCCTATCGGCTCATGGGACGTCTCAGCAGTTGCGAGCATGAAGGCTATGTTCTGCAAAGCCACTTCTTTCAACCAGCCTGTGGGCTCATGGAACACCTCTGCCGTGAGTAACATGAAAGCCATGTTCGAGGATGCGAGTGCTTTCAATCAGCCCATCGGTTCGTGGAGCACATCAGCGGTGGCCACCATGCGGGAAATGTTCTTTGCTGCGCACGCCTTCAACCAGCCCATTGGCTCATGGGACACGTCCAGGGTGACTGATGCAATCGCAATGTTTTACAATGCCTCTTTGTTCAACCAGCCCATCGGTTCGTGGAATACGACAGCAGTGAAGAATATGAGCTGGATGTTTTTCGGTGCCAAAGCGTTCAACCAGCCTATTGGCTCATGGGATGTCTCGGCCGTCACGAGTATGCGGGCTATGTTTTTGGATGCTCACGCCTTCAACCAACCGGTTGGCTCGTGGGATACATCTCAGGTGAAGAACATGCGTTCAATGTTTTCGAGTGCTTTTGTGTTCAACCAGCCGATCGTTTCGTGGAATGTCGCAGCAGTGACAGACATGAGCTGGATGTTCTTCGCCGCCAAGGCATTCAACCAGCAGATTAACTCATGGGATGTCTCGACAGTTGCGAGCATGAAGGCTATGTTCTGCCAGGCCACTTCTTTCAACCAGCCTGTGGGCTCATGGAACACCTCTGCCGTGATCAACATGCAAGCGATGTTCGAGGATGCGCACGCTTTCAACCAGCCGATCGGTTCGTGGAACACATCAGCCGCAACCACCATGAAGAACATGTTCTTCGACGCTCATGTTTTCAACCAGCCAGTTGGCTCATGGGACATATCCAAGGTGACAGACATGGCCGGAATGTTCGACAATGCTTATGTGTTCAATCAGCCGATCGGTTCGTGGAATACGTCAGCGGTTGCAGACATGAGCTGGATGTTTTTCGGTGCCCAAGCATTCAACCAGCCTATCGGCTCATGGGACGTCTCGGCAGTAACGAGTACGAAGGCCATGTTCCTGCATGCGCGTGCCTTCAATCAGCCTGTGGGCTCATGGAACACGTCCGCGGTGACGGACATGCAAGCGATGTTCGAGGACGCGAATGCTTTCAACCAGCCCATCGGGTCATGGAACACATCAGCGGTGGCCACCATGCGGGAAATGTTCTGTGATGCTCATGCCTTTAACCAGCCTCTCGACACATGGGACACCTCCAGGGTGAAGGACATGATAGCAATGTTCGACAATGCTTCTACGTTCAATCAGCCTATTGGTTCGTGGAATACGGCAGCAGTAACGAACATGAGCTGGATGTTTTTCGGTGCCCAAGCCTTCAATCAACCGCTCGCCTCCTGGAATACTTCATCTGTGATTGGAATGCGTGCCATGTTCTGCAAGGCTCACACCTTCAACCAGCCCATCGGCTCGTGGGATACATCAGCGGTGACTAGTATGCGATCAATGTTTGACCATGCCTATGCCTTCAACCATCCCATCGGTTTGTGGAATACAGCGAAAGTGGCGGACATGAGCTGGATGTTTACGAATGCTCACGTGTTCAACCAGCTAATTGGCGAGTGGAACACGTCCTCTGTGACAAACATGCTGGGAATGTTCGAGGATGCCTACAAGTTCGACCAGCCTATTGCATCGTGGAACACGTCCGCCGTCACGGATATGAGCAGGATGTTCATTCAGGCTTCTTCTTTCGACCATCCCATCGGTTCATGGGACACATCAGCAGTCACCAACATGAACCGAATGTTCTATGCCGCACGCGCTTTCAATCAGCCCGTTGGCTCATGGGATGTATCAGGAGTGACAGACATGCAGGCGACTTTCTGCCGAGCGAGTCGATTCAATCAACCCCTTGCCTCTTGGAATGTGTCTGCTGTGATGTTTATGAATGGAATGTTCGAGAGAACACTTGAGTTTAACCAGCCAATTGGCGCATGGGATACCTCAGCTGTGCAGAACATGACGCGAATGTTCGAAAGGACGGCTCGGTACAACCAGCCCATCTCTTCCTGGAACACATCAGAAGTAAAAGACATGAGCCTGATGTTCTATGGTGCTCGCGCCTTCAATCAGCCCATTGGTGAATGGGATACCTCAGCAGTCACGAACATGAACGGCATGTTCAAGCGTGCTGCGGTATTCAATCAGCCCATCGCGTCCTGGAACACCTCGGCTGTCGAAGACATGGCATACATGTTTCGTGACGCGCCTGCTTTTGACCAGGCTATTGGCTCTTGGAGCACATCAGCCGTTGTCAAGATGAACAGCATGTTCTACGCGGCGGTAGAATTCAATCACGCACTCTCTGCATGGACGACATCTTCGGTGGTGGATATGAGCTCGATGTTTCGCAAGGCCTATTCCTTCAATCAGCCTCTTGATTCCTGGGATACATCGGCCGTATCAAGCATGAGAGGCATGTTTGCCGGCGCAGTTTCCTTCAATCAGCCGCTCGCGTCATGGAACACATCAGCTGTGACAGATATGAGCTTCATGTTCCACAAGGCATTTGCGTTTGATCGCTGGATAGGCTGCTGGTACACATCAGCTGTAGCTGACATGCAGGGAATGTTTTCCGGAGCTCACGCCTTCAACCAGTCTCTTACTAACTGGGATACTGCCGAGGTGACAGACATGAGCGGCATGTTTGAAAGAGCTTTCGCCTTCAATCAGCCCATTGGCGAATGGGATACCTCCGCTGTTACAGATCTCAGCCACATGTTTCATGAAGCTTCTTCGTTCAATCAGCCACTCTCCTCCTGGCAAACAATGTCTGTGACAGACATGAGGAGCATGTTTGACGGTGCTCACACATTCAACCAGCCTATCGGCTCGTGGAACACTGCAGCAGTAACCAACATGCATGCCATGTTTCGGCATGCATCGGTATTCAATCAGCCGCTTGGCTCGTGGGACATGTCAGCTGTCGCGGATGCCAGCTACATGTTCTATGCTGCATCTGTTTTCGACCAGCCCCTCAACACGTGGAATATGTCGGCGTTGACGGATGCAAGCTTCATGTTTCAGCTTGCCGTTTCGTTCAACCGCGTGAGTGATGTGGAGGGCTGGCACTCAGGATCGTCACATGCTCAACGCACAGGTGCGACCCATTCCTTCTTCGAGCAAGCGATGGACACCATTGCTGAGTCAACCAACACCAACGAGTTGCTTCAAGTTGCAGAGGATATCGCTCGCCCACCCTGTCAAACCGGATTCAGACCCGTTTCTGGCGTTTGCACTTCCTGCCCACAGGGACATTATGCGGTCGCCGGCGAGTCCCAATGTCAGGAATGCCCAAAGGGAGCCGTCACCACTCCAGATCGGGGCAGTTGCAAAGACTGTCCCTTTGGGACATATTCACTGGAGTGTCGTGAATCATGTGTTTTTCCGTTCATGTTGTATCTCGGTCTATCTTGATTGCAATCTTTTAGTTGGTTACCACTGACCATCACAGACATCTCAAGCCAAGTATAAGTAACCTACGCATCACCAGAAATTGTAAAGCCGCCGTAAATACCATCAAGGTATTGGCTGTAAACTCAGCTTCTCAACTTTTGGGGGTTCTGACAAGGTAGTCGATTCTGACAGTTTCAACTTTTATTTCCTTGGGTTTTCGGCCAGTGAGTCAAAGATCAGGTATGACCACGGCTGTGAGCTTTGGCCTTGGCCGGTGCTGATTGTCAGCGCCGTGTCTCTCTTTGTGGCTGTGCAGGCCAAGGGGCGGTCCTAGGGTAATTTCAGTTCCATAAGGATTACCACAACCCCAACCGTTTCGTGCAGGTTGGTGTGGCTTGGTGGCGCGCGCGCAAGGCTGCAAAGCTCGCTGCAGAGATCCAGGCTGTGAAGGTGCCCACTTTGGCCAAAGATAGCTCCCAGTGCAGCCACTGACCTCTAGCAGTATTCCCATCATTCAAGGCCTTGGTCAACACGCTTTGTATGCCAATTCTTGTTGAATCAGGCATCTGTTCGGTTCTGATTTTCATCGTACGTTCTCAAAAACGAAGACTACTGCTTCCCGGCTTCATAGTACAGATCAGAAGAAGACGAACACTCCGTGGTTTCCCGTCGTGTGGTGAGCCCACTGACCCTGAGCGGTCATCCCACCCTTCTTTGAGATGTTCTTTGCCATCATGCTCGTGGCAATGGAGTGGAGAACTACAGTACTCGTGCTAGGCATATTCTTTGCCAGAGTAAGGGTTGCAAAGGCGAGTGAACGTCACAGTGCTTTTCCAGTGCCACAGTGCTCATAACAGGAAACGCTGCAGTTCTCATGTTCTTTTCTCCATTGTGGGTGATGGAACAAACACGGTGCATTCCATCCCATTTGCATCACGAAGCTTGGGCTTTATGGCATTCTGAATCTTCTTGCCCAGACCCTCCAGCGCTTGCCCAAGTCTTGATGCAAGACAGAGCACTCTTCTCCATTATAACATAACATGTTATAACAAATGGAAGGACAAGGACATCGGGAACCATTCTGGTACCCCAAAAGCAATGGGCACCTGCACCAGCTTCTTTTCTCAGCATAATCATGAAAGAGGAGAGTGCTACATGGACTGGGAAAACCCGTTACCGCACTGCAGACAACTCAGCTTATCAGCAGGAGCCCCTTCAAAGGCAGGTTGCACAACGCCAAAGGCCCACACAATTAAGTCCTGAACCTGTTTCCATAAGCCCAGACCCTCCAGCCCGAAGCCGAGTTGCGAGAGCGTAAACCCTCTTACCCCTAAAACCTAATAAACCCTAAACCCTATGTAGGAGGGAAAAAACCCGAATCCGCGGCTGCTTCGTGACACCAGGCCCAGATGTACGACGACCTGTGGAAGGAGCTCCCGGGAACCGTCGCCGAGTGTTTGGGCTAAGAGCATTATGCAAATCAGATGGTCGTAGCTGATGTAGTAGTGGTTATTTTAGTGGTCGTGGTAGTGGTGAAGGAAGCGCCCAAAGGGTTCTTCAGCATAATCAAACTTGAGCTTAAGTGCCTTAGAGGTATTCAGTCCGCTTGGAGAACCTCGGTGTTGACAAGGCGGACGTGACCAAGCATGTGGCATCAATGCGAGCATGTCAAAGCAAGAGCGCGGGAGTTAGCATGCGGTACCTCCTCTCCCAGGAGTTCACAAGTTTGGCCAGGCAGCGAACCGGCATGAGTGATCCGACCTTTAACGACATGAAGAGTGCCTTTTGGCTAGCTGCGGACCCGATTGGCGAACATGTTCAATGCCCGCGGGACGGCAAGATGGGTTGTGCACTTGTGGACTGGATACCCAAAGATGAGCGGCGAGCTCAGACACACTTCCTTTCTTGGGTGTGGGGATACCACATCTCACAGGTTAAAAGTGCATTGAGGATGTACCGGCTGAGTGCTCATTCGGCACCTGCAGCTGAGCCCATGTTCTTTTTTATGTGCTTTTTTGTTAATAATCAGTATAGAATTATTGTCGAAGAGACAGCTGCGGGCAGTGAGAACCTTGAGACCATCTTCGAGGAGAACCTGAAGCGGAGCGGGCGGATGGTGGCCATTTTGGACACCTGGCACCAGCCAGTCTACCTAAGCAGGATATGGACTGTGTACGAGCAGTTCATGGCGTCCACTCTCGAGATACAGGTCACGATCGTGATGCCCGAGTCTGCCATGACATCTGTTCAGCAGCAGATCTCTTGCGGCAAGCAGGGCATTCAGGAGATCACGGTATCCTTGAGCCGTGTGGACTCCGAACATGCAGGGGCATGGAAGAAGGAAGATGAGACGAAGGTGAAGGGTATCATCGAGGATACCGTGGGTTTCAGGCATGTCAACAGTCACGTGACCGAGGTCATGGTACGATGGATCGGAGACGTGGTCAAACATCAGTTTCACGAGTTAATCCTTCAAGCCCAGTGCAGCCAGCAGTCGCAGAATTCGAGGCCCCGAAAAGAATCTGTGGAAACAGCTACCTTTTAATTTTTGAAGTAGGAGTTGCATCTGCGTGGCAACCAAACCACTGATTTTCTTCGTATAGTAGTGGCGGTGGTTGCCAGGCCCTAATTCGCCAGTAAAATGGCGCTTCCAAAGCTCAGGGGTTCCTTGTTTCGGATGCTACGAGACTATCCCTTCATAGTCTCGATATATGGCCATCCTCTCGTACACCGCAACGTCCCACTGAAACTCCTATTAGGTTTTTCATGTTGGGCCCCAAGTTTTGGTATGGAAGCGCCCATGATGCCCTCGATTTTCCAAACAAAGCGGCCGGCAGGGAGGCGTTCTCGAAGTGGTCCCACCTGCTCGCAGCTTGATGCCTAGGCATGATTTAGATTTTAACGCACCTTCAATGCACAAGCTCAGCCACAAGTGCAGAAACGAGGTGTAATTAAGGCCAATAGTGCCAGCAAGCATGCGAGCTCGTCCAGTCTGAGTAAAACATGCTGCTCCTGCAGATTCCAGCTGCCTGGGCCCACAAGCAGCTTCTCAAAGATGACTGTCAATCTCGAGGTGGAAACCGAGACCACCAGCTATGCAGCCAGCTGCCAACGGCTTATGTGCCTCAGCTTCGTTGGGGGCAAAGATGTGAGATGTAGGGCTTTGCGATTTCGTGGCATGGTGTGCTGGATTCAAGCTGTGTTTTTCCCGAAAGTTGCAGGCTGAGAGTCTTGATGAGTTGAGGCTCTTGCCGCGTTGACGGCAGACGGGCCTTACGGTAGGTTGTTCTGGCGTTTGCTCTGTTGTGTGCTTGGTGCATAAGGTGAATATGATGGTGGGGCGTGCTGATTGCTGCTTCTGTGTTTCCCTTTATTCGCCATCGCGACGACCTCCCATGCAAGCTCCTGCCCTCTGAGAGCGGTTGGCGAGGCTTGAAGGCTTCGGGTTTACGCGGTCTAGCCTTTGCGAAGTAGGTCTAGTGGTGACTCCTCTCACGAAAGCACCCTGTAGCTTTAAGTGGGAAGTTTGTCTCCTGCAGCGTCATGTTACGGGTGTGGTGTCCTCCACAGCCTTAGACCCACAAGGCCCCAAATCTTCCCGGATGTGTCCAACAAGCTCGGAGCATTTCAATTCTGAAGTCACGACCTCAACTGTCCGGGCTTGGTTACATAGAGTAGCAACACCGGATCCACTTCAACGGCAAAGAATACCAGGGTATTAGATTAGATGTCACAATGGCATCTTTGAGGGTTCTTATCAGGGTTCCGTTAAGGGTTCCTTACAGGATTCCTCTTTCAAAATTAGCATTCCGCCGTGCGTTGCAGGCTTTGTCCATCATCCAGGCCCAGCGCCATTGCAAGCCGCTGGAATCTTACGAAGCCGTGCTCGCGATCTGTTTTGCAGTCTGCCAGCCTGCAAAACTCACACGCACTACATGCAAGCTTCTAGGACCTTGTCCTGCCCTTCCTGTCCTGAGCATTCCTGGCTGCAGCTGAGTCTTATCATTCTGTACGTGTGTGATGCTCCAGTACTCCCGAAACCGAAAGACACAAAGCCCCCTGGGCGATCGTTCGATTACACCAGAACGTAGCGGTGAAGCGATCCCAACCTCAGCCAACACAAATCCCGTTATGGGCTTAGGGTTAAGGGTTCTACTTGTGGCTAGACCTGAGTCCAGTAGCAAAGAAAAGGGTTCTAATTCTACTTGTACCCATGCTCCCTTACCACCAAAACCCCCTTCACCGTCACCATCCGTCACCTAACCCCCAGAGTTGCACCCATCTCGCATGTCATCAAACTTGCCATGCCCATGCCATGCCGGCCAACCGCGAGGAGGCCGCGGAAAAGAGAATGAAGGAACTGCTCTGAACGGCATGGCTATCTTCTGGAGATGGTTAGCATGCAGTGTATCTACACGAACATGAGAGGGACTGCGGCCCATGAAAGCTTGTGTTCAAGGGGCTCAAGAAGCGACAGCCGCACGACGAACCCATGATAAAAACTCATACGGCCTCAGCGTTGCCTCAGCAGGGCCAAAGGCGCAATTCTTCCCGAACCCACGAAGCACCGCTCCTGTTTGCCTTCCGAGTCCACAAGGGGAGGCGGTTTATTTCCGGCACACGTTCCTTGTCGCTGTCTTCATGGGGCATGGCGCCAGCTACTGCCACGAAGAAGCCTGCAGCTGCGCAGCGCCCGCGGGAAAGGCCCCGAAGGAAATCGTGGAGGCGACGCCCACATGCGACGATCCGGATGGCCAGAGGCAGCCAGTCGCCGAGCCTGGTGAGGCCTCGAGGTTCAAAGGGTTGAATGTAGGAACCTGATTAAGCAACCCTGGGCCTATAACCCCCAAAACTAGTAGGATTCATAAAGGGAACCCGAATAAAGGCCCAAGGCTTCTTAATCAGGTTCCTACATCAGGGGAATTTGGGGTTGAGGGTTTAGGGTGTGCTAAAGGGTTCCAACACGAACAACCGCGGCGATGACCACACACCATCACCACACCCTGATCGCACCATCAGCACCGCCAACGACAACAGCAACCACAACCCCATCAATCTAAACACAGCAAAGACTGTGGCAAGTAACTTAACTAACCGTCGTGGCAGTATAGTAAGCGTAACAGTAGTTGTAGTTAGATCGAAGCAAATTGTTAGTCGTGGGAAACGGAGTGGCAGGACTAGCAAGGAGGTCCCAACTACGACATAAGATGAGCATTGAGAGCTGGTCATTACTGGTAGCTACTACAGAGAGAGAATGACAGAGGTGGAGCCGACGTATCTCGACGACTTCCCGAGCTTTTGGTGAGAGCAGACAAGCATGACTAATACTAACATGATGAGTGCGCTTAAATCCTGTCCGAGTCTAGACCCGAGACCCCGAAATTCATGGAAGTGCGTATCTAACCGAATCTAATCAGCAGCCCTCAGGTAGACAGACATCACAGGCAACACAAGGGAGTAAGGAGCACTTTAGCGGCCCCACCTGTTGAAGGTTGTTTCTTGCTGCGCGACATGACAGACTTCAGCCAATCTGGAACCCTTGCAAAATCCTCATCATAAAACCGGTTAGAACCCTCAACAAACCCTCCAGGACCCATTCAATGAAGCGCTAACCCAGGATGGGCAGCTGGACATGATCGCAGAAGTTGTCGGCAGAAGGGCATCTCTGCAGGCCAGGCTAGCGAACGTACTTCGGTCTCCATGCAGAGCCCATGTCAACCCTAAACCCTATAGTCCGGCTGCGCACCAAGAGCCTCGGCTGGCTGTGTCCGAGTTGCGAGAGACCCTAAACCCTAAGCGCTAAAATATCTAAAGTGTCTCGCACCGGAATTTTCGCAGAAGTTCGGGGTCTGCGGGCCACGCAGCCTCGGAAACGACTCGGATGAATCCCTGAGCTAGTATGATGGGGCCTACATAATTACCTTGTACTATGTGGGGGGTTCATTATTATACCTTTTAGTTTAATGAGCCCCAAAACCCTATTCTATTTATTAAGGCCCCTATAGTACACCATTTCGCAGCCTCAGGTGGACCTTGGTATCAGCCCTAAACCCTGAGAGCACTCCTCAGGTGGACGATGAATCGAAACATCTTCTCCGCGCTATTCCTCTAGCGAGGGCGCCTCTTTGTTGCACCTTCAGATCAAATTTAGACCCAGATTCCAGCACTCCGAGTAACCCGAAATCCCCATCTCCACTGCTTTGTACATCCCAAATCCAAACTATCTTGATACCTTGAATCCCACATCGCAAAGCTGCACAGCCGTATACCCTGGAGAACTATCGAACTCTTATAGAGCCCTTAGATTCTCTCTAGAAGCCCGATAGCGTAGAAACCCAGCAGAACATGTACCACACCTCAGCCCTAAACCCCTGCGCCTTCATGAATCAGGCTTCGCCGACCCAACCTCTGGCGCACCTCGCCCGTGGATTTGGACCCTGCCTCTCGTGAGAGGCGCGCGGCACGCCTGGGGGGTGTCTGTCTGTTGGAACGCTGGGGTTGCTGTAGGGACCTTTGATTAAGGTTTGTGCCAATCAACTTAGCAGCTGAGTGGATACACTTTGCACTTTTTGGGATAAATATTACCCACTATAAAGCTAAAAGTGTGCATTTTTTGGGTCTTATGAACTCAGCAACTGCGTCAACCCTCCTTTGAGGACCGCGAAGTATCAAGTTGAGACCAACTTGGGGTCTCGGAGGGTTGGGTGTTGGGCGCGTTAGGCCCCTTGCAAGGGTTCAGAGCTATGGGTGATATGGCGGCCTGGGGTTTGGGGGTAATGCTAAAATTATTATAGTAAGGAACCCCCAAAATAGTATTGGCAATTGTTTGGGCCCCTAGATTACTTCTTTCGAGGGCTTTGTGTTGGCGGGGTTCTTCATTAGCATCGCGGTTGGTAGTTCTAAGTGGGGTTACAAGTAGGGCAACTATAATTATAACCCATATTAGAGGACTTAGAACCCGACATTAATATAGGGGCCTAAATAAGTACCTATACTATTTCGGGGCTTCCTTCTTGCAACTGTTGTTTAAGGCCCCGGCAGTACCCTATTCTAGATCCCTTATAGACTTATAGAGCCCTTTTAAGGATCCCTTTAAAGGAGGTTTGTTCTAATTACTTAGGCCCTACAGCAATTCAATAGAGAACCCTTGCAGGACCCTTTTTAGGATCCCTTTACAGTTTTACAGGCACCCTATTCTGGGTATTAAGGCCCCCCCCCCCATATTATGCGAGATCTGCACGAGAGTCTCTTGGTTCGGTTTGGGGATCCCAGAGCTGCTCTTTAGATCCATCATCTAGCTCTGTGCTTTAGAGTTCAGGGTTTGGGGTTTAGGGCTTATGGCTTCTATCATCTATCTGTATGCTTTAGAGTTCAGGGTTTGGGCTTTGTTTAGCATTTAGGTTTATGGGCCTTTGGGTTCCACCATCTATCTGTCTGCTTTAGGGTTGAGGGTTTTGGGGCTTTGTTTAGCATTTGGGGTTTATGGGCTTTTGGTTTTATGGTTTAGGGGTGTACGGTTTGGATGTATGGCTTCATTGAAAGAGTCGGTTTCTAACAATGCTGGTGTCAAAGCTTGCTCTGAGTCCCAGGCTGTGGGAAATGTCGACCCAAGTGTCCTCATTCGACGTGTTCATTTCTCACACTTGGCAGACGTCTGGACTTCGGAAGTATCTGTCCCTTCTGCTGCAGACTGGCTGGAAGGCCCGGATTGCCAAAGTAAACCTACTTCAAGCCCAAACATACCCGAAACCCTTCACGGTTAGATTGAATCCTAAGCCCTGGAGGTCTGCTTCTTGTTCTGAGCATTTTCGATACCGGGTTTTCAGGGATTTAGGGATATTCAGGGCACGGGTTTAGAGCATAGGCTTGGGGCGGTGCTTAGGGCGCAGACCCGGACACAAACCCTGTATATCCTCGATATCCTTGTCAAATCCCGATAGAGTCCGATAGAGCCCCTTCCCTTTCGATAGCCCCTTCAAAGTCTCCTAGTAGTAGAGTAGGTAACCTTTAACCAAAAAACGCGAAGCTCGTCTCACGCCTTTCGCTGGGGACGCAGCTTATTCCACGTCGCGCTTTAACCTTTTTTTGGGTAGTATAGTCCCAATATAATCCCTATATAGCCAAAAAGGTTATCCTGTAGTTCCCCATGATACCCGACAAGTAGGGTCTAATATATAGGAGCCTGGGGATTCTTTCGTTAAGGTTCTTGATTAATATAGGGGACGAAAGCATAGCCAATACTATTTTTGGGGGGTTCCCTTTATACATACAGTATAATGGGCCCCAGAACCCTGCTCTAGTCATTAAGGACCCTACATTATAGTGACTGGTAAGGTCCTTCCACTAAGCCCGCAAAGCCATGTAAACTCCCAGGAGGATGACAAAGACCCTACAGAGCCCTAAGGGTTTAGGGTTTAGGGTTGCTTGAGTCAGAGGGACTAGGGACTAGGGCTTAGGGCTTAGGGTTGAGGGGTTTGAGGAGTAGGGTTTAGGGGTTAGGGAAAGGGGTTAGAAAGCCTTAAAGCTTAATCTCCAGTAAAGCCACTCAAAGCCTAACGCCGTAGATTTTACCCGTATTCAGCCCATGAAACAGCTTGAATTGCAGCCCACCCTAAACCCTAAACCCAAACCCCCATGAGGTGGCTACTCTTTCTGGCGTTACCGCCATGGCTGCGGCTTTCATTCTCGGCGCCACATCGGTGCTCCCATTGCCTTTCCAGCTCCTGGGTTTTCCTTTGGATTACTAAAGGATTACTACAAGGGGTATTATGGGGATTTAGTACAGGGGCCTCCATAATTACCTACACCTACACTGCTTTGGGGGGTCCTGATTATAGGGCCCCAAAACCCTATTCTAATTATTCAGGCTATGAAGGCCGCTGTAATAGAGTTTATGCTTTTGTGCTTAAGGCTTGGGGTTTGGGGTTGAGGGGGTTCGGGGTATGATTTTTGGGCAAGGGTTTGGGGTAATGTAGGGCCAGATACCCTGCAGATTTGAGAGGTTGCAGAGGCGCAGGAGCCCCCCCAAACGAACCCAAGGCTCCCAGCTTTGCAAGGGCTCCGGCAACTTGGTAAATACTGTTGTTTATTCCAGAACCTTATCTCAGTATGAGGCTTGTTGCAATAGCTTCCCGAATGAGCTTAGGCGTCAACCGGAAAAGAACTAGATTTGGGTGGCTTGGTCGTCTTGAACGGTGTGGGATGGGCGAAGGCCCTCTGCGGTCGGGTTCTTTGCTGCTGCAAAGTGCCGAGCACTGGATGCTCTATGCCGCTTTATTCTTCATGCTGACGCACAGCATCACAAGCAGACCCTAAACGCAAAGCCGTATATCCTATAAGCCCTAAATGTTACTTGCTGAAATGTATCGTGTAGACAGTTGTGGTCTGTGTTGGAAGACCCTGAGCACGCTGACGTACGACGAGTGTTTCGAGTTCTAGGGGTGGTGCATGGTACGTATTTTGGTTTGGTTGGTGGCTTGGAAAGAACACCTTCGCATGTGGCTGAATATCAGCTTAGCTATTCTGACAGACTTGTTGCTGGATTCCGTGCCTGCCTGTGCGAGCGTGCTGGCAGGTGTAAATTTTGGTATCTACTGTGTACTGCCTGTAGCTTTACGAAAATAACCTTGACTGACAACTGAAATTTGCAGACGAGTTTCAACAGTAGCACTGCCACCCTAAGCCCTCATTACTGAAAGCTGGTTTCTCCTTATAAAAACCTACGAAGGCCTGGTAGACTCCTTCTAACCCTTCAAGTAGGAACCCCTCCAGACCCTAAGCCCCTTACTAACCCTAAACCCCGGACCCTAAACCCTAAGCCCTTAGAAGCCGACACGAACGCATGGACCTCGCCTGGATTGCCCGAGTTGCGACAGTTTAAACTCTAAGACCTTTCCACAGCAAAGCCAGAGGGAAAAAAGATCCTGAGCCCAAAGCCCGAGAGTTGAGGATAACGCCATTGCAGTGGGACTTTGAGGAGGCGTGCCCTTTTGGGCCCTGGGGCTGCCCTTGGGTCTTGTTGTTGGTGTAGGATCAAGGGTTTAGGGTGTGTGTGTGTGTGCGTGTATAACTGTATGTATGGGTTCTTGTGAAAGAAATATCTATGTATGGGTTCTTGTGAAAGAAATATCTAGGCATTTGTTTATGTAGTGCTTCGGGTATGTATGTATGTCTGTTGGTGTGTATGTGTATATACATATATATATACACACACACACACATACAGATTTGTATGAATTTAAGGGTTTCGGACATAGGGGCTAGGGTTTCAGGTTTGGGTAAAAGGGCTTCTGTCAGGGCTGAGAATTTAGGGCACAGAATGCATCAGGGTTTCGGGTTTAAGTTACATATCCCCGTTATAGTAACTTGGAATCACGCTCCTTGACAAGAGCCAAGGTCTTTCCGGCAGCTTTGTCTCCCTTCTTGGGTCACACGGTGGCATTTTGTGATACTTCTAGTATTCCAGTGTCTAGGGTTCAGGGTCTCGTTGGGTTATAGTTTCCTCTAAAATCTGACAAAGGCATCCATTTACACCCGGAACCTTAAACCCTAAACCAACAGCCCAGGTTGTTCATCTCCCCCCACCTCCCTTACCGCAAATCTTCGATGTGCTTCCTGGACATCGTCAGCATCAACCAGGTCAACCCAGATCTCACCGAGATTGGAGTTTATGGAATCGGAGCTTTCCTGAGTGTCGCAAAGGAACTGCGAATTCTATGGTCTGTACCATACATGTCCAGGCTCTGGTGTCTCGGCTTCACGTTCCCACTGTGGCAGTTGATTGGCCTTCTTTGAGGGGAGGATGCTACGAGTTGACTTGGGTCCGGTTGCTAAAGCCGCTTGAAGAAGCATTCCACAAAATCCCATTCGAGTTATTCAGTAAGACCCCCAAGGTGTGTCTTCGAGATCGCAGCATACCGACGTGCGAACCCCCAGGGCAGGATTGTCATGGCACCCATCTTTGTTGAGACCGTGGTATTCTGCATGTGGGCGTGCCTGATGATTTGTGCAGCGTGGATTTGGATGTCTGCAGGTTTCATCCTGGGCGAGGGAGGCTTCTTTGTCATTCTGGCTCTCGTGGTGGTTCTTACGCCCGTGTGCGTGGCGATACACCTTCTGCGCCGCACGCTCAACAGCAAGCATGTGCTCCTGGAAGGCCTTTCCACTTTCGAGCTCCAGCATGCTCCTTTGTCATAGTTGGGTAACATTTTACATCTTTATGGGTACTTAAACCCAATAAGGAATACAAACGTAAACTTTTTATCCTATCCCAACCATGAACTAGGCTCATTGTCGACTAGAGCACGACCGTCTCTTCGTGCAGCTGGGTTCTGGTTCAGGTAATAGACGTCTTCCGCACAGTAGATAAATGATGAAAAGTGTTCATCGAAGCCCTGTGAAATCGGTACGTCACCGAAAGCCCTTAGTTCCTTCAAACCCTACCTCAACCCGGAGTAGCCTACCTTTTTTGCTCATAATCAGGAACCCAAAACAGGTAGGTTATTCAGGGTTCAGGTAAACCTCTCTTTCAACTTTATGTAAACCTTAATGTCTTCGCTGGCAAGGGTGATTTTTTTTCTGCATTTCTTCGCTGGGTATGGCGATTTCCTGTATTTCTTCGCTGGCAATGGCGATCCACTACCAGCGAAGAAATACCGATCGCCGGAAAACTAGAAACCCTTCGCTGGCAATGGCGATTTCTCGGTTTTTTGCCACTGTCAGCCAAGGGTTGCTGGTTTTCCTGCGGAAAACTGGTCTTGCTTCGCTGAAAGTGCGATTCCCGGTATTTCTTCGCTGGCGACGGTATTCCTTTGCTGGAAATGGCGAATTCGCCATCGCCAGCGAAGAAATACGATTTTCCGCCGGAAAACATGTAACCCTTCGCTGGCAATGGCGATTTTTTGTTTTTTCGCCTTAGGGCTTGGGCCGTAGGGGTTAGGGCTTAGGCCTTTGCGTTTAGGCCTTCGGGTTTCGGCCATAGGGTTCAGTAGGCTCAGGGTTTATAGGCCGCAGGGTTTAGGCCTGAGGGTTGGGTGTAAAGTTTAAGCTTTAGGGTTCAGGGCGAAGTGCGAAGCCTGCTGCAAAAAAGGTTTCAGGATCTAGGTCTTAGGGTTTAGGATCTGGGTCTGAGCTTTAACTTTAGGGTTCGTAAAACAAACACTGCTTTTCAATGTTATGGCTTCCCGGGCGGGTGGTATTTTTTCTATTATCGAAGAGGCTGCGCGATCTGGAGCGGCTGAACCCTAAACCCTAAACCCCTAAACTATGTGGAGCCTTGCCTGCCTGTGCGAGTGTGAGCGTCGAAACCCCTAAACCCCTGAACCCTAAACCCCTGAACCCCTAAACCTCTAAACCCCTAAACCTCTAAACCCCTAAACCCCTAAACCTCTAAACCCCTAAACCCCTGAACCCTAAACTTCCCAAACCGTGAGGCACAGGGCGATCAACGACTGGTACGGCAGTGCTGATGCATTCACCGAGCACGTGCGAGGGCCCCTGCGGGAGGAGTTGCTAAAGTCTTCTTCAAACTTTACGGTTCCAGTGTATTACTATGCTCTTCTCATGATGCCGCTTCTTGGGCTGTTTTTGGAAGGATTTTTGCATGGTTTGAAGGTTCTGCTATGGGCTCTGACGATTTCCGAATGTTTCGCATGCTTTAGGGACAAAGCCTTCATCAAAGTGTCAGTTTTTCCCTGGCTTCCTGACTCGACGGTTGCTCGAGGTTTGTGGGCGAGAGCCTGGATGAGGTGCTAGCATTGTACATGGGAGGTGCTTCTTGGAGGAACATCCTTGCCCATCTACTGGCTCACACCGTCGGACTCTGCATGTGGTACAGCATGGCGCTCGAGCTCTGCGTTTTCATGAGCTACCGCTGGGCGGCACCTTGCAAGCAAGTTTCCTCGAACATCGGACAGACCGTCGCCATCTTCTTGCTGCCAGCTCTTGTGATTGGCTTTGGTTCTATTGTTGGCCGTGCTTCATTTCGCAGAGGCTTCGCTCAAAGCGTAGTCTTTTCGCTCTTCGCGGTGTCTGTATCTACCTTCGTTGTGCGTCGTCTTCGCCGGCAGGTGCAGCTGTGCAATTGCTGTTAACCGTCGCCGGTCACGACGGACTTGTTATCTGCGAAAAGGGGCTTCGTCTAATCAGTTCGATGATCTTATGTTAAATGGTGATTAAATGCTATTGCATTTCATATTCTACTATGTGTTACTGCATGTACGTATAACACATGTATGAATTCATAGACAAACCCTACACCCTAAGACCCCTAAATCCGACGCTCCTATACCCAAAGCGCCTACACCCTAGACCCTTAAGACCCCGAAACCCTAAACCCACCCCCCTAGGCCTAAACCCCTCAACCCTACACCCCTAACCCCCACGGTATCCACAGCCGGTCTCAAGAGACGCAGGTGCACCTCAAAACCACCCAGGACTAAACATCTGACTTACAAAACCTAAATCCCCAACCGTAGACCCTGTAGGGTTTAGGGTTTCGGGTGCTATCGTGAGCATCTTCGAGAGCCTTCTGACGGGTGTCGAATTAAAGCCTTCGACGAGACTTTCATCCGGGAGCCTAGACGTAGGGCTTTGGGATTGTCCGGATTAGGGTAAACCCTCAAGCCTGAGCTCTATCTCCATACCTGCAGCCACCTCCTCCCTGTTTCCGAAGCCTAGCACTTCAATCCACTTGAACAGAGACTCCAAAACCTTTCAATGAAGGAGCATAGTTTGCATCACCTTAATTTCGAAATCCCGGTGCAATTTAGCATGTAAGGCGCGTTGAAGCGGTTTTGGAATGCCTGGCTAGATCCTAACTCCCATGCCAGGATGTAGAGGGTCTAGCATCCAGGACCGTCCCGAAAGTGCAGGGTCTGAAATCCGGTTTTTTCGGCATACTAGACCCTCGCCGCCGGGCGGACGCTAGACCAGCACGAAAATCGCTTGACAGAAATCGATTCTAAGCGCATGGCTCCCGGTTCGTACTCTTCGAGGTGTAGCGGGTCACCAGATTGAGTTACACGTCAACCAGCACCGAAATCGATGTGAGTTTGGTGCCTTGCGGTACCTTCTCGTGAAAGTCGCTTGCCAGGATCGGGTTTTAAGCGCATTGCTCCCGGCTCGTACTCTTCGCGGTGTAGTGGGTCACCAGATTGAACTACAAGCCAACCAGCACCGAAGTCGATGTGAGTTTCATGCCCTGCGGTACCTGCTCGTGAAAGTCGCTTGACAGGTCTCGGTTTCAAGCGCATGGCTCCCGTTACTACTCGCGGTTTAGAAGATCATCAGAGTCAATGACAGGCCAACCTGCACCGAAACGGATGTGAGTTTTGTGCCCTGCGTGCCTTCTCGTGGAGATTGCTCGAGAGAAAGCGAAGTTAATCGCATGGCCCCCATGTCTGGGGAATCCACTCAAACTAAATAAACTGTTGAGTTCATGCCAGAACCTGCCCCAAGACGTCAAAACCCTATTCTGACTATTAAAGCCCCATATTGCACAACCTAAGCTCTACACGCTATCACCCGAATCCCGAAGCCCGCAAAGCCTTGCACCTCAAAACCCTTGACGAAACCCTAGAGCCTTAACAAGACACCCTACGTCTACGTAAGCGCAATTCAAGAACCTCAACAGCCCAACTGCCCTTCAAACCAGAAAGGCTCCAAGCACCCTTCTCAATGCCTTGTGAAGCCCTAAGCCTGAACCTTCAATCCCAAACGCACCCTAAACCCTAAACCCTAAACCCTAAACCGAGAGAGAGAGAGAGAGAGAGAGAGAGAGAGTGGGCATCGCTCAACATCGAGATGGGCCTTGAAGACGAACTGTCGCGAACCGTTGTGGGGGTGGGCCTTCGGGCCCGGGTCTCCCCGGGGACCCGCACTCCTTCGCATAGGGTTTAGGGTTTAGGGTTTAGGGTTTTAGGGTTTTGGGTTTAGGGTTTAGGGTTTAGGGTTTAGGGTTTTGGGTTTTGGGGTTTAGGGTTTAGGGTTTAGAGAGCAAGAGAAATCCTGCAATGCAGGCTTGTCCTTGTTGGGTACGAGGCAATAGCCGCCCCAGACCGGTAAACCGCAAACCCCAAGGCCCAACACTGTAAAAGCCGAAGCCCTATGGACCCTCAACCCGAAACCCTTTGTGGGTACTTAGTGGTTTTGGGTACTGTCTAAACTTGCGCTCACATATCACACTCATGTCAGTGTAGCAAACCCGGGCCTCTTGAATCCGTGCTTGCCTTCGTGCGAGTGTGCGATTCGAAAGCCTAAACCCCAGACCCTTCACCACAAACCCTAAACCTAAAGCGAGTGTGAGCACCGAAACCTAAAGCTAGGCTGCCTAGTAGTGCCCTTATTCCCTTTTTGTAGTCCTAGGTTCCTTGTAAAGGTACCCAATACCAGAAAAGGGAGCCCGTTTCATTCCTAGGTTACTGGGCATCCTAGAAAACCCCCGAAGGAACCTCGCCGGGCTTGTCCGAGTTGTAAGAGCTTCTTGGAGGTTCATTGGTAGTTATAAGTGGGGTTATAGGGTTCCTTAAAGCGTGCCATATAGGGGTTAGGGTTTAAGGCTAAGGGTTTATGGTAGTCATAAGTGGGGTTATGAGTCCCCTAATACGAGTTCGGACGAGTTCCCTGCGGTGCGACATGTTCGGCTGGGCGGGTGGCAAAAAATATGAGTTAAACATGTAGTTACCCTATTTATAACCCCAGTTATAACTACCCTAAACCCTAAGCCTTAAACCCTATATGGCACCCTTTAAAGGAACCCTATAACCCCCACCTAAAACTACCCATGAACCTTCAAGTTCTGCACCCCGAAGGCCCATGGTGCGTGGCGTCGACTGTGAGATGGTCGGGGTCGGACCAGCCGGGAAGCCAGAGGCTTAATGTAGGAGCCTTATGAATTAGAATAGGGTTTTGGGGGTTCCTTTTTATAATTATAGTATAATTCCACCCAAAAAAAACTAGGTGGCAATTTGGGAAACTTTTCAATTTCCCTTATGGTACCTATTCATAAATACTTTTCAGAGCCCCAAAACTACAACCCAGTAATGTAGGGGCCTTAATAATTAGAATAGGGTCGTGGGGGTTCCTTTTTATAATTATAGAATAATGCCCCCCCCACCCAAAAAAATCCTATTTAAATTATTAAGGCCCCTACATTAGGGTCCAGGGTTTGGGGATTTAGGGTTTTTGGGGTTTGGAATTTGGGATTGGGGTTTGGAACCTAGGGCTTTGGGATTTGGGATTCAGTGTTTAGGGGTTTTGTAGGTTCGAAGTCCAAGAAGGTTGGGATCTTTTGATCATTTTGGGTTTGGGGTTGAGGGATTTTGTTTGAGGCTGTTGATTAATGGCCTTATGGAGGGGTTTCTAGTTTGCTTAACAAACAGCTGCTGTGGATCATTATTGGGTTACCTTTGGGTCTTTATCATCTTCCCTGAGAGGCCCAACAAACCTCAAACAAGGCTGTAGGATGTGTTTCGTCTAATGTCTGGTCCTGAAGACTATAGGATTCAGTTTAATCATACTTTTATCTTTGCATAATAACGGTTATCGCAACTTAACTCCATGTCTTATGTTATCACTAAGGCGATCAGTATCCCACAATGCCCCAGAACCCTATTCTAATTATGGGGGCCCCTAGGTTCGGGTGTTTTTGGTGGGTCTCGCCGGGATGGTTTCAGCTGCGGCTTGGGGGTTCTTTGGGACTATTGGGTTGAGCGGTTTCGTGTTCGGGGACCGTCGAATTTGGGAGTTTCGTATTCGGGGACACGAAACTTCGGGAGTTCTAGGAGTTCCATGGTTTACAGAGAAGGGTTGGTTCTTGCATTTGTCAATATGTTTCTTTTCGGCTGGCGCAGTTTGGAATGAGTTTCCGGCTGCAGTGGGTTTTACTCTAGAGGGCTTGTGTTTCAGTTCGGGTTGTCCGGAGGCCATGCGGCCAGGCATGCCAAACCCCAAGCCCATGGAAGTTGCGACACAGCCACCGTGCACGTCACAAGCACTTGTTTATGCGTGCTAGTTGCTTTCTGCTGCAGACTTATTAAGGAACGCGGACGTTTATCTGGATGAACGGTAATCGTATCACCAAGATTTCAAGAACAAGACGTAGCAACAGTACTGGGGCTGAAGTGCTTGACCGAGCTTTGGTCTTGGTTGCTACCACCACTGCCGCCCCGGGCACTAGCACCAGCACCAGCCCCACCACTCCCGCCAGCCCCACCAGAATGCAGAACCACCACTCCCACATCACCATCGGGGTCATGGCACACCACCCTGCTTGCCGGGTGCATGTCTGGGTGTCTTGGTTTGGTCTCAGCTATTTTTGCTGGTGTCTCTCAAGTTTCCTGTGTCAATCGCCTGTATAGGCAGGGCTTCTGACTTCTGAGAACCAAGCTGTGCCGCAACTCCGTTCCTTTGGCTAGACAAAGCGACAAGGGGCTTTGCACTCCTCGGAACATTGTAGATTCGCAGGGGTGGCAGAGGAATAGGGTTAACCATTCAGCCTTAAGCACGCGGAAGTTTGTGCGCTACTCTTTGAAAACAACAAGTTAACCACACTAACACAACCCAGTGTGAACTACGAGTCAAAACCGCACACCTCTGAGCCTGATAGCGAAGTCGCAGTATTTTGTAGTACTATTCCCCATTCTGGAATTCTATGCCCCAACACCCTATTCCAACTATCAAAGCCTCTATAATACTCCAAGGCGGTCCGTGCTCATTCGGATCTCGGTGGTTAGCTGGCGCGGTCGAGCTTCTCGGTGGCAGAGACTTTTGGGAGTCGGAACTTCGGGGTGCTTGATTTAGGGGTCCTGACGAAAAGACGAGTACCGCAATTTAGGGTCCAGAGCGCTGGTGCCCTTGTTGCTGCTGGTGCCGTCCTGATATGCACCATGCAAAGAATATGCAGTAGCTGTAGCTGTAGCAGAGCAGTGGTGATAGGGGTGGCAGCAGATGTGGCAGTGGTAGTAGTGACTCATTGGTAGTAGTGGTAGTGGTAGCAGGAGCAGCAGCGGCAGTAGATATTAGGAGGCGGAGGAGGAGGAGAACAGGAATCCTTAAGGCACACTCGTCTCCGCGGCGTTTCTGAAGAAACAGT